TTGATTAGCTGCCCACCGTCTTTTAATTACCGTCACTGTCTGGTCCGAGGGGGATCATCTCTGCTATTAATGGTCACCCAAGCCTTCCGACCTCCGCCTATGGCCCCGCATGCGGTCCAGACTCCAGTAGCTAGTAGGTCAGTAGGTCAGTAGATCAGTAGAGGATCAGTAGGTCAGTTGCCCGTCAGTTGGTGGATGAATGGTGGCGAGCGAACTAGTACCTCGTGGCGTGACGGTGAGGGCAGCTTTCATGCTGTCAAGTTTCAGCTGGACAGCTGAGCAAGATTCCGGTCACAGAGAAGTTGAAGGGTGTCTAGTGTCCAGCATTTTCTGTCAGTCCCTAGCCTATTGTCTCGATAGGTACATATCTTTCACATTGCAGAGGTCCTTCTAACCTCGGAGCGACCGGCAGCCTCCTCCGAAGTTCTTCCTCACAGCCATGGCTGCTGCGCGCTCCTTCCTTGCGCTTCTCCTGCTGACAGCGGCAACTGCTGCCTTTGCGCATGCCGACGAAGGCCGCGCCTTTGACATCACGACAGCCGCGAGTACGCCGCGCAAGGTGCTGAATGGCGGGTCAGATGGTGAGTTGCCAAGAAGTGGTAGCGGAGACTAGTAGCTCGAAGTCCTCTGATGTGCTCAATGGCAGACTCTGCTCAAGTCTTCTGGCTGCAGGGTCCCTGACATTCCTTTAGCGCTGTACACTCCCACGGTTGGATGGATGGGCCATCATGATGGATTAGGTACATTGAATCTGTCCAAGCTCAGCTCAAAATTCTTATGACATGTACGATCAGCTTAGAAGCATGGAGATTTGCAAGAGGATCTGTTGGAATCCTCGGGCTCTAGGTCACTGGTCACTGATCACATATCAGAAAATTCGGGGAGGGATGCAGGTTTTCCTCTATGTGACTTGCATGCACATTTTTCTTACTTCGTGGTGTTGCTTGCATTGTCTGACACACACGAATGATCACCTGAAACACAATCACAAATGAAGCTGCAGATACCGTATAATCTTGCTCCTCTTTCAAAAGAAGAGAATAAAGCTCTCCTACACACATTAATGCAAATCGACATGAATTCCTTCTGTCTGTTTGATCAAGAAAGCAACGCGGTGTAATGTTGGGTCTGGCCCCTTCAAATATGTGTGACCTCTATTTCAGGGCACTTGGCTTCAGCTGCCAGCCAGGCTGTCTCTGCGCTGAAGACCGCTGTGGAGGCCATCGAGAGTGTGTTGAACATCAATGCACCGGGAGCCCTCGGCGCGAGCAACGAGGTCAAGCAGCTGTCTGGCTTGGATAACTTCAAGAGGGTCATCGCCACAGAAAAGAAGGCAAGTGTACACACTTAATGATGCATGGAAACAAAAGTTTCAGCCTGACCCCTGATGGTGTTACGCAGTCCACACCATCACTCAAGTTTGACGCACGCCTCGTCATGCAGTCATGATATGTTCTGGATTGAAGGTGCCAGGTTTGAGTGTTCGTTGAAGCATTGGCGCACTGCACTCACTTTTGTCAACTTGGCACTCTCGTCCATTCCTTGTGTCCACATGTGTTGCCTCTCTTCTTACAGGTGGTGGTCATGTTCACGGCAAACAAGAAGTGTCGTGGCTGTAAAGCTATAGAGAGTGTTTATGCAGATATGTCCGAAGATTATGCGGCAGTGGCGTTCTACATCGTCGACGCTGATGCCGAGGAGGTTAGTGCTAGCCCTTTTTATGACGATTATTTTCCCAAGAACTTCGTATTGATTGCCTCATGGTTGGCTGGAGGATGGTACAAATACCGAAGGTTTAGGTGACTCGTTGGGTTTCGCATTCAAGTCGCGCAATCTGCTATATTGTTTCCTGATCTGTGTAACTTTATCCACTACAGGTTTACGAGTTACAATTGAAAATCATAGCAGCAACTATCTTGCAGTCTGCAAAAGCAACTCTCAGCTCGTGTCTTTCATGAATGGACTCTTGATGAAAGATCTTAGGATTCTAAGACCATCCTAGGCTCGTCCGAATTCTAATCGAGCTAATGTCCGAGAAAATACCTCCTTGTTGTGAGTGGTGCTTTCAAGAATGCTTCCTTCTCCTGCGCCGCACGGGGCATTTGTGTAACTTCAGAGTTGAAGCACATAAGTGGCTAACGTAATTTACCATGTACACAGGAAATTGCCGCGAGCTTCGCCGACCTGTTGTACCGCCTGCCTGCGGTCATTGCATTCAAAGACGGAGATCAATTTGGATACGCTATTGGACAAGACGTGCTGGGAGATCTTGTACACTTGCTGGAGCGGCTCGTGGCTTGAGTGTCGGGAGGATTTGCACCAGCTGGCCCGATGATGAACCTCAAACCCCAAGCAGGAAAAACTCTCAAGATTTTAATCATCCGCCCTAATCATGTTGAATAGGCGACCCCACAGTTAGTTCAAGGATCTCTATTGGTTGAATGCCGCCTGTAAGTCGAATGTAGTAAGCTCTGAGGGCACCGCTCTACTTGGACTCTGTGTTGATCTTCAATTGTGACAGGGATGTTTTTGGAATTGCGTTTCTCCAATTTTGTCTAGAATTCACACAGAGCGATTCATGCATGTTCAGTAAACCTGATGAGTCGGTTATTGTTGTATGATGTTCAACTGTGCGTTTTGCTAGTCGTTGATAAGCGGCGCGCAGCCTTCGTTTGAGTATGGCAACATGACACACTTCCCTTGAGATTACGGGGGGTAGAGACCTACTCTACGGCCATGCACATGTCGGATCGTTTCAAGTTTACAACAAACATTGACTGCATGGTGATTCCTTGACGGATCGACATCCAGCTAGGGAAGTCTAGGGCACTCTTATTGCACTACAATAGAGCGCGCGCGCCGAACGCTTAGTTACCAACTTTGCATCTAAGTTCGGCAATGCGCAACAGTAATTACCTAGTCAAAGACGAGAATCGATTGCATGCATAAGGCATGCACTGGGCATAATCTGTGAAATGAGGGGAAATCAGCTGCCTCCTCGCGATCGAATATCGTTTCCTTAGCAGTATATCAAATCGGCGTCTCTGCCCATGCAGCCGCATGGTGACGCTTCGGCCAGCGCTCGTATCATGATGTGTTCTACAATTGCATGCAAACATAAACGACGTATCTGTTCATTCTGTGCTACCGTGCTATCATGCATGATTTCCACACCGTTGAGCAAAGATTGGTTGTGATAAACCATGGCACAGGGAAGATACGAACACGAACAATCCTACGGCGCTGACAGCTACTTACGCAGAATGTTACGCAAAGACAGTTGGCATAAGCCTCATCTTGGATCGATGTAAAAAGCGGCTTGCTGATCAAAGTTGCACGCATACTCAGGATGCTCTAAATTATGCCGCCCAACCTTCCAAGAGCTGTGGACGCTCTTGGTTCGACACAAGAAACATTCCCGCGTCATTCCGTTTTTCCTACTTTATCAAACAGTACTTATGCAGTCGTGCCATGCGACAGATCGAACCCATCCTGTCGTTTACCGGGCCGCGCAGCAACAGACGTACGTCAATGAGCACAAGCAGTTCCAACTTCGTCCCTGCGTTTCAGCAGTCCGTTAAGAGCCTTCTCAACGCCTGGCACCTCACGCAGTCTTGTTCCGTAGGGCAGACCTGCACATATCCAATGTATGGTGCTTGGGGTCTGGTTAACGGGCTTGTTAGGGCGACCAAGTTTTGAAAGTAGACCTCGGCCTTGCTCGTACAATTGCAAATCGGACTCCTGACAATATTACGTCGGAGCAGTGAAAAGCTCGTGAGATTCCTTTCAGATGGACCGCTTCTGTCGCTTTGAGGCTGCTTCTCTGCTCATAAGTCGTATGTCCAAATGAATGGTATGAATGCTTAGGTGACTGGACCTGAGCACTAGTGAGAGTAGCCCAACGTGAAACTAGACCGAATCTCGGAAAGCGGAAAACAAAGTTTGCAACAGCAATCCTGGCACAGTACCAAACGGGCCTTTGAAGGGGTTCGATTCGAACGTCTTACTATGATTCCAATGAACAAGCAATTTTTAGACTGATACCGGGGGCCTTTGAAGCCTTCCGCTAGGTTCGCAGTCAGTGTGAAAGGTTCTCACCGCGGAAAAGGAGCTCGTCCCCGAAATCGTCCTTCAGTGCTTTGATGAGCGCATTCACACTCGTAGCGCTCTCTAGGACAGCCTGATCTAACCGCATTTGCTCTTCCAAGAGCTGAAGTTGGGAAGTCCCTTGGAGTGGTTGGAAAGCGGTAGAGTTGGCGCAACCCCACTCCTGCGAGTTGGAACGCGTGAGTTTCGTTACGAATGACAAAGGAAAGTCGTCCTGCAAGGCGCTTGTCTTGATCCGAGTTCAAAAGTATTCAGCAAGAGGTGGAACTTTAAATGGAGAAGCTGCCGCACAATCCACAGAGTTCCCAGCCCTGCAATATCCGACAAGACTGTGAGGACGTTGGGAGGCCTTGTTGAAGCTTTCAGACCGTGAAGACAGTCACCAGAAGGGAACGTTATCAGTTTGCTCCTCAGTACTTAGAACCAGATCCCAAATTCCGTTTTCCTCTCGTTTCTCTGTTCTTTGGACGCAAGATTGTGCCGAATTCAACGTCCGGATTGAAGCTCCGAGTCGCTCCTCGCTCACCTCTTGCGCGCGCTCGTGCGCGAGCACCGCGGCCGCCGCGCGCTCCCAGCACTGCAGGGCGCCCTCCAGCAGACACGTGTTCCCCCGTGACGTATATTTTATTACCATGTCCACCTTTGCTGACGTCGGCGTCTCCAAGACAGCCCAAACCCTCTCCAGCCGCGCCTGGAGCATCTCTGCAACGCTCTCCCAGTCCGGGCGTTCTGGACCGGACGGTTCCGCTTCCAGCTCCTCGACAGAACCGTCGTTCCGCTCTGGCACCGCCGGAAAGGGCTCCCCTTCCGAGGTTCCCGTAAAGACATCGTCTTCAGAGTCCGCAAGATACTCCCCGAATTCGGAGCCGTCAGGCAGAAGTTCCTCGCTGTCGATTCCGCTGAGTTCAACAGCAGAAGGAACGGATTCCGGTTGCTCCGAGTATTCGGCGGCATTGGTTTCCGGTGCGAAGGTCAGACGTGCGGACGAGAGGCTGCTCTCCAAGGCCGCCCAGCCCTGTGCGGTGCGAGTTCGATAGCACGGCGGTTGCCTTCCGCTCGTTCCGGCTTCCGTTTCCTTCCGATTCCGCTGGAGCGCGGCCACCTGTTCCTCCTTTATCGCCAGCTGCATCAAGAAATGTATTGTCTGGTTTAGCCTTTGGTAAAATCTGGCGTCGATCGGATTCAAGGGCCCATCTGCGATAATCTTGAAGAATGATAGAGCTCAAATGATGACGTGCTATCAGTCGTTCGTGACGGGTACAGACCTTGATTGAGCGACCTTTTACGTGCGCGTAATTGGACAAGGGACAAGGGACAAGGGGTGAGAACCTGACACTTTCCGGTTGATGCAGAACGTAGCCCTTGGCATCGAGAGCAACGGGGCTCACTTCAAAAGTGGAAGTGAGTTACCCACCAAGCGCCAGAGATATGATCAGGATAGGAATATGCTACGCCGCTCTTGGCAAACCTGATGTGACGTCAGTCCTCAATTGTCTGGAACCCCTCCGTCTCTGAATCCTCCAGTTCCGGCAGCGGAATCCAATAAGATGATTCCGCAAGACTCTTGTGATCAGAATCCCGAAACCAAATCACAATAACAGCGCCCACCTTTCCAGCGCGGTCGATGAGGTCAGCAGCAACATCTATACGCAGAGACTCTCCCCCTCCGGAAGAGCGACGCCCCAAGCTTGCCCTCCCCTCTTCCTGTCGCCCTCGCGAGCCGCTTTTCTGCCGCGACATCGTGCGGCTAGGAGCTCTTTCAGAGCTGTAAGTTTGACCTCTGGCCCCCGACCCGCCTGTACTCTTCTCCGCTTTCTTCCGCTCCGTTCCGTTCTCCGTTCCGTTTTCCGTTCCGGTCTCTCGATCTGCGCCCGCTGCAGACGCACCCGTTAGCACATCCGCGTCGCTTCGCAAACTCCCTGTTAAACCTCGTAACCCGGCTTCCCCTTTAAAACCCCTTCTTAACCCTTCCGTCTGCTGAACACCCTTCTCGCCAACAGACTCTTCCTTCGCCCCGCTCGCGCCGTCCAAACCTTCCAAACCCTCTTCTGCCTCCGCGCAGTAGCCGCGCGCGAAACGCGCGAGCCGCGTCGCTTCGACGCGCGCCAATACCTCCCCCTCGGTCGCTTGGACGCGCGCACGAAACCGCGCCACGATTTCGTCCTTGGCCCGCCGCGCAGCTTCCTCCGTTTGCTCTGCGTCACGAACAATCTCAATCCCGTTAGCACAAGTATATCTGCACTGAGGTGCAATAACCTGGATTTGCACGTATTGAAACCTTTTGCCTTCCGATACGGAGCGGATCGTTGTAAGTGAGGAAAGGATTTAGGTGGAGCGGAATCCCCGAGCTCGCTCCTCTCGACTTTAATCTCAAAAACAGCTGCAAAGAACTTGGAACGGATCCTACATTTACCTGCCTAATCAAGGCACAACCTCGAGTCGCATCACCCTCTCACATACAACTGCTCAATTTGTACCTCTAAGGTGCCTCAGGAAGGCGACTTTGCTAGCCTGGAGCCTCTTTCCTGATCGCCGAAATATTCATTTCTGACATTACGGTCGGTGGCGACAATCAAGCCCAGCGTCCTGCTCTACCGTTACCGTGTCCTGCTCCAGCCCTGTTTGACAGGGCGTTGCTATGTTTCCATCGTATGTTGGGGGCTGGGCAGAATATTAGGTGGTTGTTCCGTTTTGAGACCAGATACATCAACGCGACCGTCTGTCGCGTGTGCTTATTTCTTCCGAGCGCGCTCGTCCTGGCTTTGCACCGCCCGGAGTGTAGGTGCTGACGTCACACGCTAGAAAAGGCTGGCGGTACGTACCGTGCACCTTCTCCGCGAGCGCCCGCGTCCTCTCCAGCGTCAGCAGGTCCAGCTTCGACGGCTGTGACGTCAGCACCGTCTTCCGCCGCGTCAGCCGCCGCATCGTCGCGCGGCGCGTGAGCCGGCGCTGTGACGTCAGCCGGATGGTCTGATTCTGGGGTGACCCCAGCGTGTCGTCCTGAGGAAGAAGGATAAATGATTGCGGTGAATGCATGGATAATATAAGAGGTCGTGAGCGCCATCGTGACTCGGCGACGCATCAGAACACTACACGTTCTCCTCAGTCGCTGCGAAAAGCCCACAAGATTCTTCAGGGCGACTGTTGTGATCAGATCGTTGCGAAGAGATCGCCCAAGCCCTCTTCGTGAACCCTCGTTTTTCAGTGACATTTGTGTGCGCAAAAGGCAACTTCTCCCGAAGCAGTCTAACACTTTGTACTTCTTAGAGTATTCGTGACCGCTCAGTCTTCTGATTGACATCCGGCGCAGGAGCGATTGATTTGTGCCAGATGATTGCAACCCTTAAGGAGAACACTAAACTACCATTTAACAAATAAAGCCGGGCCACTCACGTTAAGGATCCTGTCGAGTTTGTTGTGTAGGCCCGGGGGAGGAGGAGGTGGAGCCACAACGAAAGCCTGCTTTTCCGTTTTGAGCTCCGGCTTCGGAGTCGCGTGACTGCTATGGGTCGCGCTCTTCAGCCTGCCGGAGCGAACCAGATTCCGTTTACTATTCTTTTTATTCTTTTTGTTTATCATTGAATCTCGATCATCGTTTGTCAACGTCGACTGTGGACTGTCGACTGTCGACCGTCGATTGTCGATTGTCGATTGTCGATTGTCTTCTATTAGTATTCCTTTCCTGATAATGGATCAGTGATAACACGAACTGTTCTAGACGGATTCACCCAAAGGACGCGGGTTGACGAATGTGGTGAACGATTCGTTCAGGTCATTATACCTGGGCATTGGAAAGCCATTCCTGTTGTCTCTCATCCGGTTCTGCCCAATCTGTATCTTCCTTCACGAGAAACAGTATGCAGACCACCTAGGCACATTTCGGACCCTTATAGAGAGTTGAGGGATGGAGACCCAGAGTGCGGCCATCTTTTCCTACCACCCTTTTTGTTTGTAGCCTTTGAAGTCTGTTTCGTCCCAGCGTGCAGCCTTTGAAATCGTACAACTAAAGTCCCCAACGTCTTTTCTGGTTCCACTTTCAATTCTTACTCCACCACATTATTTACAAGCGAGCAAACTCTGGAATGCCCATTCTGAATCGTAAATTCGCGGCTGCCGCCAGGAAACAGCGCCCTGGGTTCCTTTAAGCTCCCGTCCAGTGTCTCGGGGCACGTGACGAACTTTTGACGTCAACTTTTGCTCACCTCTTTGCGAGCTCCACGTGGTAGATGGCCCGGGCGCGCACGATGCTGACGTGTGGCTTGAACACTCCAAGGGCATTAAACTCTGAACACAAGAAGACGCTTCAAAGTCTAGTTGATCTCTCAGCTCACAAATCTAAGTATGGTGCGCGGTCCACAGATTCTTGGATTTTTCTTGGCCGTTGTAGGATCTCATACTATTGTCAAATCAGTGAAGACGCCTTGGAAGCATCAACCAGCAAAAGGAGAGATTGTCTTTCGCAAGTGGTGCGCTTTACCTTACGTGCCTAAAGCGTGAGCCTCCAAAGGAAACCAGCACTGGTCTTGCAGAAGATGCCGATGCTTCATATCTTCTCCCTTTGAAATTCAAACTTCGCATTGGCCCTCTCACAAGAGCGTGACTGCTCAGCGTATCACTTTCACATATTGGACAAACATTACTTTTTCGAGCACTTTTGAACTCTGCAATCCACATCTGAATCTCTGAATCCATTTCGTCGACGTTCTCGCGACTCCGAAATGAGCCGCTTCTCAATCGAAGAACAGATGCTCATCCGTGAAGCAGCGAAAGAAGTAACAGCCACAATCAAGGCAAGCAAAGCAAGCACGGTTAATATCTCACTCCTGATCCGGTCCTCTTGTCTCTCTAGCAGCTCCACTTTGTCCCTCTCGACCACTGCCGACACCCCCGCGCCATCGGGAAGCGTCCGGAAACTGCCCGTCAGCTTTTCCAGCTGCCGCGTCAGCTGGGCCGTCGACCGCCGCGCTCGGGTCGGCGGGGCTGCATCACGGTCCAAGGCACGATGTCAGCATGATGTCAGCATGATGTCAGCAGGACAATAGAATGCGTTTCCAAGAGTGCCACATCTGCTGGGACGTCGACCGCCGCGCTCGGATCAGGGGCGCTGCATTCAATGCGACCGAGCAGCCAGTCTGACGTCATCATGTGATGTCAGCATGAGCAGGATATTGGCTTTAGGGAAGCTTGTACAGCTGCTGCGGAGCTGGCTGGTCGGTCGGTGCGCTCGGGTCGGGGTTGCAGATGATATGGCGGGAGGCAAGAACAACGTCAGCAGGCGGTCAGTATGATGTTATCGAGCTCAAAGATAAGGCGGGGTGTCGCTTCAGGTTTATCATGTATCGTGAGGGCGGTTGTGAGAATATGCTTCTAAGGAACTTGACATACGGAACAGTCTCGTTTGGGCCTAAGGTCCAAAGTGTCACCAGGTGACTTCCAATTGTCTTGCAAACACTGAAAGTCCCGTGGATCTGTAGTATTGAACCGTCCTTGCACCCCGATCCCAAGAATGTAAAGTTAAGCGGGTCTTCCCAAAAGGTACCGCTTTGACCGTTTCTCCTTTGGTTGCTTTCTGCAGTTCGTCAGTTGCGTGAGCTCAAAGCTTTCAGCTGATCCACCAAGCTGAACTTTCGGTTGAAGCCATGCAACTCTGATCTCTAAGTAATGAAGCGGAGACTTTGGAAGTTAAATAAAAATTCACCTTCTTGTCGACTCCTTGGTCTTGGGGGCGCAGATTTGGCGGCAGCGCTTCGGGGGGATACAGGAGGCTGGCAGGGAACACAATTGGAGCAGGTCAGAATTCAAGTGCAAAAGCTGTAGGAGCAGAAGAGAGCCGTGAGGCGCTACGAAAGAGTTGACACCAGGGCGTCTGACAATACTAACTGGCTACTTAGAGCCTAGGAGTGTGTCATGGAAGGAAAGGCATCAGCTGTCTGTTGCGAACAGCCTTGGCATCTTCAGGTCAAAGTGAGCCTTCTTTGGACCGCAGGATCAGACGGTTTGTGGGAGCAATCTGAGAAAGGGTGTCGTACCAAAACACTGTCGCTACGGATAATGGGCAACAGACAGCATGATCAGAAGGGCAAGTGCACCATTCAATCTTTGAAGTACAGCTTTTCTGCGTGCGTATTGCATTTCCTGCATACATCGATCCCTTGGTCTGAGTGGTGCACTGAACAGTTACCTTGCCTCAGTACAAGAGTAAAGGGCTATGAATTAGGAACTCTTGACAGACTGAGATGCCGCAACAGTATCAGAAAAAGAAAGACTTTGATGAGGTGCTTAAAAGAGAGACAATGAGGTCGCTTGAGCTTGGTTCGCCTCTGAGAGAGGAAGAAGCCGATCAAGCAGAGCAGGTAGGTTGTTTGAAGACTAGGAAAGGCCTGAAGGTGAATGCTTGGCAGTCAGGGCTGACTGTTGAGTTTTGAGATAGCTCAATCAGGGCCAGTTTGAAAAGACCTTCCCTAATGCTGAGCAACCATTCGACCATCAAAGCTGGTCTTCGCTTTCTTGCTCAGAACAGGACAATTGAGTCCTGTTAAGAGCTGAGCAATCTTCCAGTCAATTCCAATTAAGCATAGATTGGCTTGCTAAAAAGGAGTTGGTCTCTTGGGAGCTTCGGCTGACCTCTCACCTCAGTGACTGCTGCAAGCGGATGCACCGCTCTATTGTCCAAATGCGGCTCGCTGCCACTTTGCCAGCCATACCCTGCCAAGAAGCGGTGCGCCTCTTCCTCATTGTCCATTCTGATCACTCTCGGGTCGCCCTATTTGGTTGTAAGAGTTGCTGTCTTTTCTGTCTCGGCGTTGAAGAAAAAGCGTTCGTATGCCTTGTTTGGTTCTACAGTGCTTCCAGTGAGTGAAGACGAATGCATGCGACTTATCACGTTCGTAAACCCTGGCCTTGCAATCGCGTCTTCTTTCGCACCTCTGTGCCTTCTCTGTTCGGGTATGCCACCCGCTTCAAAACAAGTGCCATCATAGAGTCATTGCGGCATATTTTTCACAGGATGTTTCCGCCGGTGTACATTCTGCTTGCAATACCCTGCCTTTCATGTAGATAACAACTCAAAGTCGCCTTTGTTTGTCGCCTTTGCTGTGCATGTTCTGGCAGTTTGCAAAAGCAGACGAATGTCTTCAAGGTGCCAAAATGATTACAATTCGGACTCAAGCGGAACCCTACCAGCTTCACTGCCGTCGCTCTGGGACCGTTACAGTCCAATATTTGTTTCACAGTGCTGGGGCGCTCTCAAGATTGACGCGTAACGCAGAGCAAAACCGGCACCGGCAAGTCCAGCGTCGATCGTCTAGGGTATGAGGGGGATCATCTCGGCTACGACTCGCATGGCGATTGCAAGGAGCGTCAGCGAGGGTGACCATCTCGCTTCAGCTAGCCGTTCAGAGCCACTCAAGTTCACCATCCTTGACCTTGATGGCTTGACAGACTCGCTCTGAACTCGCTGAAAGTATGCCGGGGATATTGAGAGCTGGAAGCAAACATATCCATATAAGATTAGTGCCTGCAATCAACTAATCTTGAGCTGATCAGGTCAATCCTCATTCCCATTTTGCTCGCAGGAGGGTCGCTGTTCAAAATGCAGACCTCTCCTTCGCGGCTTTTCCTCACAACCCGTATGCGTGCTATGCCGCTCCGACTTGCTCCCGTTCTTGACTGCTGTTTGAAATAAGGTGGAGGGCAGGCCGCGGCCGCCTGAGGATACATGCAAAAACTGTCTCTGTGCATATCGAAGGCTAGGAGTCTAAGACGTCAATTGCACTTTGGAGATAACCTGGACCAGAGCGCTGATCAGAAAGGCTTCAATGAACTAGAGTATTTCTCCAAACGGTTGCAACCAATCTTTTTCAAGCAGCTGCCTCGTGCGGCTCAAGTGGGACCACCTCTTAGCAGCATGACTACTGAAGGCTCCCTGTCGCCGCATGAGCCCGAGACTCTCTCCTTTGGCCCTCTAGTGCTGCAAGCATCGAGGATCTTCCGCAATCATGTCAGCACTTTGGTGTCCGCCTCCCTAACGCTGATGGCACTCCCTCTGCTGACATCATTCTCAGTCGTTGCTTTTTCGGGGGCCCAAGAGCCTGGGACCAGTCCCCTTGGACCACCGAAGCTCAGTCCCGCCCTAGTCGTGCTGCTTGTTTTCATTCCGCTGATGTCAGCGGCCGCCACAGTGGCTCTGATCGCTGTTGTTGTGCATGTGGTTGTTGGGGATCATCTTGGAAGGACAGCTGGCAACGTGTGGTTGGCTGTCAGGCGCAGCTTTTGGCGGCTGGCAGGAACCCTCTTGGCAAAAGTGTGGGTGCTGTTCCTGCTGCTCACTCTGGACCTCATTGGAGGGTGCGTAATAGTGCTGCTCGTTGCAGGTGAGCAAATAACCTCAGCCGCAGTTCCTTCCCTGGAAGCTGGCTTTTTCTTCAGGCACTTTTGCCAGCCACTTTAGGACCAGGAAGGTACAGAAAAGAAGCTTGTATTTGAGTTTGTGACCTTAAGTAGGCCTTGCTAATTTATACATTGCACTTTTCGCTTAAATCTGAATTTTCTGAAACTTTGTCGAAACTGCTGGCAGGGATATCATGACAGTACCTTGTGTCTGACTTAAGTAACACTTCGAAGGAACGTGACATGAATTGCGGACTCTTTCGCTACGTGTCCTTCATTACAGTCTGTTCTAGGTTCTTGAGCCTGATTGAAGATTGACGGCGGCCTGAAACGCTGATTTGAAGACATGTTGAAACCTGTATCCTCAGACAGTTCATGATCGAACTCATCATCCCTTCATGAGAACTTTCTTTGAGAGGATGCAGCCCCCTCTTGATCCTATTGACTACAGCGCCACTGTCGACTGCTCTTACTTCTCGTCCTCTATCTTTTTCTATCTTGCCTTGTAATCGAGCAATTGGGTCACGGCGTCAATTCCGTTTTTCCAATCCAAAGATCATGCCAACTCAAACCGTCAGTCAAGATGACTTGACCTCTTTCTCCGGGTCTAACAAAAGGTCTGTTTCCCCCCCCTTCCTGCAGCTGGCCACCCAGCCCCCTATCCCATCCTCTACGCCTACATCTTGCTAGTGTTCATCACGACACCGACGGTCGTCTTTGTCAGCATGACCCTGAGTCTTGCCGATCATGCAACCGCCATCGAGGGGGCCGGAATCTGGGGTTTCCAAGCCCTTCGCCGCAGCTGGGCCCTGTCCAAGGGAAACTGGTTGATCATTGTTAGGATGAAAGGCCTGGACTTTGCGACCATGTGGACTCTCGCAGGGCCTCTGGATTCGCTGGCTCTAAAACTGAGGACTGAGCAGCCTGGCTTGGGCCACGGTTTTGTCTTCGCGGCATACTTGGTGGGTGCGCTTGTGCTGTGCGCGCTGGTCATCTGCCAAAGGTCCTTTTTCAAGGTGAGCGCCTAAGTTTGCGAGGGACAATAAGTCTATCAACTCGGTCATTGGCACAGGGATCTGGCGGTTAACAATGGTCGTGGAGTTCAATGACCCAGACTCGAGCATTTTGAAACGGTTACATCCGGGTTATCGTCCAGATCATAACGAGACCCGAACCTCGTTAGCAACCAAAACTTCCCGACTCGGAGATCTCACATCTAGCAGAGTCTCTAGTTTGATAGCATCTCGTTTAATAGCATCTCGTTTAATAGAAATGTGCAACAGAATCAACGCTGTCTTCCTAGTGGTTGCACGACTGATGGGTACCCTTATTTTGTCACAGCGCTTACTGTCCTAGCAGAAAGTGCAACGGGCTTGTACTTATGTCTGAAAGAAACGACGACTGGTAAAGATTAAGGTCATCTTGTTTCGTCATTCTAGGGCTATGCTTCTCTTTTAAATTGCAAACCTTCGTTGAACGCAAAACAACAGACCTTGTCAACTTCAAGGTGATCTCTAGTGACAGATGGGTTGGCCGATTCATTGTCGAGAAGCTGGACATTGCCCTGATCCAATGCATTCCTGTAGGAACGAATACCATGGTGAAAGAGTGTTTTCGTAAATGCGTTAAGAAAGGTAGCAGATGTTTCTCTCAAGTCACGCGTAGAGGGTCATAAACTTGTGGTTCTCCTATCGTTGATTCGAATATCCTCGTCTATTACAGCCCGTCCTTGATCTTATGTGCAGGTCGCGTGGTGCCTCGTTTATCTTTCCGCGCGCAAGAAGGCGGAACCAGAATTCGGACTGTCCACTCTACTGCAAACCTTCGAAGCGGACTCGTCAAGCCCGGAAGGCTATGCCGGCCTCATGAGCACCTCAAGCGAAGTATAAGTAAACAAAGTTGCAAATGTACGGGATACGATGGTACCCGCGTTCTGTGTGATTTGGTGGCTTGATCACTATAGTACATCTCTGCATATTTATCGAAGTGATTGTTTCCACTATAAGTTCACAGGCTGAACTTCAGTACGATCGTATGCTCACAAGACGAATCTGGGTGTTTGGTTGGTCTCAGTACTGAAAGCTGCGGCGGCCGGGCTGCACACGACACGTCCGACGGACGGTCTACATTGACGAGGCAGGCACATGGTAGATTACGGTGAATCCTGGGTTCCAACGAGAGTCAGCTCCATGAGATATAATGATCATCTCGATCATGGGCGGCTTGCAACCAACTTTGTTTCCATATCCTTTTATACCGCTGATTGCAAGCGATCATTAGAAGATTGAAAATGGCATCACATGCAGCCTGCCACATGCTTTTCATGCCGCCACGGACTCGATCCGGCGTTAGAGCTGCCGCGCTTGAATTGACGGTTGCCATCTTTCTAGTGCTTTTCAATGACACGCCCCATAGATAGGATCCAACTCGATGCAAGGACGTCGGGGTGCTTTGCAGCCGCCAGGATCACGGATTCCGTGGGTCGGCCCGCGCGACGCCCGCAGCGCAAATCTGAGGCGCACTCGGACATGGTATGGGCCGGCCGCGCTATATATTCAAGCATGGATACCGCTACTGAGCCGCGTAGGCTCAGTCATCACGAATAACAGTCGCGGGCTTCAGCTGGCATTGTAGATGGTCACTTTCCTTGCACAATCCGACGATCAAGTGTGACCGTTGAGCTTGCATTTGGGTGGGCTCCCGGCTGCATTGGCGTTGTCAGGACGACGGTATACGGTACAAGTTCATTGCGACAACGATCAATGAAGCCCCATATGCTTCGGTCCGGGCTTTATAACGTACTGTAGGGTCGGAGCATATTGCATGCAGCAGTCTGACCCTCGTGGCAAAGTTTGTCGACATTAAACCGCTGCCAGATCTAGATGACGCGCGCGCCGCTGGCGCCCGTTTTGAGTCAAAGGGTTCAGATGCCAGAGAAGCACAGGCCGCGGGCGGCTGACAGTCACCTCAATAGAAATCACAATAGCACGACCGTCGAATTGCTTACAAAACACTTGGAGCCGATGCAGTGTAAGTCATCCAAGTAGCTTATTCGAAGCTTGGTCCCTGCTCATTGGTTCATGTCCGTCCTTTCAATCTCTTCTTTTAGCATGGTTAAAAGCTGTGTGCACCTCTCTACTTTGGTCATTGGCGTGCACATCAAGTATAGCACATTCCCGAGCGCGCGCGAATAGACGCCCCTCTTTCGAAGCCGCAACACGATGCCCCGACTGACGGGTGACCCATACCCTACGCTCTGCGACCGCAATTCTAACGCGAAGACCGTGCCCAGCGCAACAACGCGCGTTACTTCTGGCATGCAGGACATTTCTTCGAGCATGTCTGGAGCCCACATTTCTTTCATGACATGAGACGCCGAATCGTAGTTGGGGTTCTTCGAGGGGTTTGTAAAGAGGTCGAGGGCCGCAACGGCCGCCGCGCATCCGGTGGCGTGTGCAGTGTACGAGTGGCCGTGCAAGAGCGCCTCCAGCTTGTTGTCGCTCAAGAAGGACTTGAAGACATCCTGTGAGAAGGGAAGAAACTCTCGGTTGGGTTCTATCTTGCCCTGCAGGGAAAGACTGATTCCTAAGGTTTTTTGTTGCATTTGCGCAGCCGGGGATTGAAGCGGAGTCTCCTGGTTACAGTAGACTGAATCTGAGAGGTAAAGGAAGATATAAGCAGTCTCAAGAGAAGCTCCTACATGCATGGAACAGATATGCCCACATTTTCTTGACCACAGCTTTGTAAAACCGAGAATTCAGTCCGTTGCAATCGTGGTCGTAAGCTGACAGGTTCGCCCTCGCCCATCCCAAAAGATGTGAGCTAGCACTCTGTCCGAATGCAAGACTTACCAGCAAGCCAGACTCCTACCGCAATGTGTCAGACACGTAGCAGTATGTAGACTTTCAGGAGAATGTCAGAGAATTTGCAGTAAGCCAAAAGCTTAGCAGTATGTCACAGCTTGCCACGCACCCTCATGCCACGTGACCGCAAACACCCTGTTGCGCAAATGTGTATCGGCCTCGCGATTATGGAAAAAGCGGGGTACAACTTCACCCAACGATTTCACCGCTTGACTTCGCGTCGAGTGCCCACGTGAGCGGCAGCACTCATAAGCCGGCTCGCGAGGCCAGCTCCTCCCCCAAAACTGAAAGTGAGAGAACCAGAACCGGCGAACTCAGGAAAGTGTAACTGAGTCCTCAAACCAAGCTCGAAACCCGGTTACCCACCTCCGTCGCCAGAGTCACTGCCAGCGGTAACATTCCGCCGGTCAGCAGTTTCGCGTAACAGGCGATGTCGGGAGTGCAGCCCAGGAGTTCCGCTGCCGTTTCCCGGCCGAGCCGCCAGATTCCGGCGAAGACTTCGTCGAGGATGACCGGAATGCGCGCCTCCTTGCAGTGCTGGATGAGCGTGCGCTGGAAGAGGGGGTCGATCAGCTCCATACCGCCCGCCCCGTGGATGACTGGAAGCGAAAAGTGGGGAATCAGTAAGGTGTCTGTGTCGTCGAGAAGGAAAGGGTGCTTTACGGAAGACTGGTTCGGTGTTGAGTAATTGATGGAAAAGAGGAGGTTCAAAGTTGTGTTGAGCTGCTGAGAAAAAGGAGCTCCGTGAACGACTGGCTTGCTGTAGACGGAGCCTCGGTCTCCTTTTGTTGTGCGGAGTGGGAAGAATGACGACGGGCTTGCCTGAGTGAATGCGTAGAAAATGTCAGCAACCAAAATCTTATATGGACTCGGGAACAAAAACCTGTGTTTCCGGGTCAAAGATCGACCAAGACGGTGAATCGGTACCATGGAGCGAGCCAGTCTTTTGCATATCAAGCTGTCGCTGGAATGCTCCATCAGCCGTGACAAGCTGGCGAGCAGGACGAATACGTTTAGTGGACCGGCCTTGTTTTAAACTGAAATTCTTCTAAAGCGGCACAACATGCCTCGGCAGAATCTTCTAAGTCGACAAGGCGCTGTTTTCTGGAACCGTGGACCTACTGCGCTCGTCTGACAATCCCTCACCGCTTGACACGTGTCGGGGAGGGAATTTCACGTCAACCATGTCGCATGATATACAAATACAAAAACCACTAAATCAAGCAGATTCTGTTGTGATGACGCTGACACCTGAGTTCAGGTCTTGGAAGAAAAGGAGTCGCCCAGGTTACACCAACCGAAACGAAGAGACTTTCCGGTGTTGAATTCACCTGGTTCGAGAATAAGCCCCCCCAGCCGCACCGGCCGCTCTCCGCTCCCCCCTCCCTCTTCAAACTCCCGTATCGTCTCCCCAATGTACCGCCGATACGCTTCCGCCTGCTCTTCCGTCCCCGTTCTCTTGATACTAAACACCTCATCTCGCGTTCCGTACTCCGTAGTGTCAAGCTCAGCCACGTCCCATCGCACTTGCCACCGCCCGCGAACGAGTTCCACTTTAGGGGGGTCCAAGAAGCAGCCCCGGCCGCGATACCAGGGCTGTTGGAGGGGGGCGGTGTAGGGGGTGGACGCCTGGGCTTCCATGGCGCCGAGAGTGTCGCCGTGGTAAGAGCCGTTTAGCGCAAGAACCTGAACGTGAAAAATACATAATGTTAGAAGTTGAAGTTACGCTGTTCGCACGTGAACTATTCTGGTGTTTGTTTGGGCGTTCATGGCGCCGAGGGTGTTGCGGTTGTAGGAGCCGTTTAGCGCAAGGACCTGGACATGAAAACGGCTTCATTTTCTTAACCTTCGATAAGGAGTTGAGCTGTTCGCAGCCAAAGGACTTTGGTGTGTGGGTTGCGCTTCCAGGCGCCGAGAGTGTCGCCCTGATAAAAGCCAGTCAACGCGAGGACCTGACGTCAGGGACATACAGGATTGATCTGCTGTTATGTTGTACGCTTTGATACCAGAGTTACGTGTTTGAAGCGAAGAAAGATCTGGTGTAGGGGTGGGGCTTCCATGCCGCCGATAGTGTCGCCGTGGTAAGAGCCGTTTAGCGCAAGGACCTGGACGTGAAAGGGTTATTCGTTTCTGAACCAGAAAAGGGGCTTCGATTATGGAGTTACGCTGTTCGCACGTGAAAAAATTTGTGGTGTGTTTGGGCGTTCATGGCGCCGAGAGTGTCGCCATGGTAGGAGCCGATCGAAGCGAGCACCTCACGTCAGGGACGGAATTTGGTTGGGGGATATACGGTTCAATATCCACAAATACGTGTTTTAAAGTTCCAGAAACGAACCGGTGTAGGGGTGGGGCTTCCACGGCCCCAAGAGTGTCGCCATAACAGGAACCGTTCAAGGTGAGAAGCTGGACATGAGAGAAATTGAAATCTCTAAAGCGGAAAATGCGCTTCGATTATCGAGTACGCTGTTTGCACCCGAAGGGCTTGGGGGTGTGGGTTGTGCTTCCATGGCGCCGAGAGTGTCGACGTGGAGGAGCCGCTCAATGGAAGGTTCTGAAAGAGAAAACATTACGATACTCGGATGAGGGAATCGGGATCCAGAGTCGCGGTTCACGTTCAGGGTTTGTTAGTACTTGATGTGAAAGTGGCGGGTTAAGTGAAGAAGGCGACGGACTGGGCTTTCATGGCGCCGGGAGTGTCGCCGTGATAGGAGCCGCTAAAGCAACGACCTGGACGTTTATATATAGTGGCTCACTTGTGAAGGGGTTCGCGTTATCTTTGAAACCCAAGCTTGCAAATTACATTGGGGTCACGCTGTTTGCACTTTCGGTGTAGGGGTTCGCATTCAAGGCGCCTAGAGTGTCACGCGTGGTAGGAGCCTCTCAACGCGAGGACCTGGAAAAACACAATGACTCTGACAATTGCTTCTTGTTTGCGCTTTTTGATTGCATCAGCTGGTCGTGCTCGCACCGGATTTAAACTGAAGCATGGTCACAAAAGAGATCCGCGGTGATCGTAGTTTTTATCCAGCTTCGTGTGCCGCTGTACGATCGGGTGACCGGTCCGCAGACACCTCACATCCCACTTTCAAACCACAAGTCGACTTTTCAACAAGTAGGAGATACAATTCTGCCAGTTGACAGAAAAGCGGCAACTTACGTAGAGCTCCGGTGCCGGTTTGCTGTTACTCAGCCCGTGGTCTTTGACGAACTTGCGGAAGGCCATCTTGACAGCAATCTCGATCGCGGTCGAGCCGTTGTCGGAGTAGTAAACTCGGTCGGCCCACCCTGCAAGTCAACAGCAGCTTCCGGTTGGTTTTGTCCGCACGAAGTTGGCATCCAGTCGCAAGTGGTACTGACGGCGGAGTTTCTGACCACTGCTTTCTGAGACCGAGTTTTTCGACACTGAAAAAGCACAGCCGGCTTCCAGAAGAAAACACGACGAGTGACACAAGGTTGGGACGCGAAAGGCCCTGCAAAAAGAACGTTTGCTGTCGAACGTCGGCTATTCAGGTCAGACAAAGAAGCACACCGTTCCTCCAACAGCATGTCTAAATACTCCCTATGGAGCAAGAACGTTCCAGTCCTGAGGCGTCCAAATTGGTCCTACGCTGTCAACCTGCTGCACTTGGCGACTTTGGGCTCCATAGAAGTGCCGATTTTGTGTCTCTAACGACGCCCGGCCTTCGCTTTCATTTCACGTCATAAACACAGCTAAGAGCGACAAAGCGTGATGACTAGATGGTTCAAGAAAAACCTCACCTTTCCCGACGCCCGCCAGCAGCTTCTCCGCCAGTCTTAGCGCCGGCTCGTGCACGTTCTCGGGAAACATGACGTGGCCGTACCTGCCGGCGGCATATGCCATCGCCCGGGTGATCTCTAGTTGGCCCTCCAAAGTAACCCCCTGCGTCCACCAACTCGCGCACGCGTCGAACGAGGGGTTTAGGGTCTCAGGGGTTAGGCTTTCGGGGTTAAGCCCTTCCGGGCTTAGGCTATCGGGGTCTGCAGTTTTGGGGGTCGCTAACTCAGCGCTTACTGCTTCAGGGGTTCCCGAAGAGGGGTTAATGGAAGCAGACTCCGAGGTTTTCGGACCAGTCAAAATGGGGGTTGAGATGTCATAAATTTGACTGCGGGAAACTGCGGAACCGGGGTCTGCGCGGCTGTCCCCCAAGGACGTACGCGCTGTTAACCCGAGCTGCGGTTCTGCGAACCCGGTTTTGGACCTTCCGTGCTTTGACTGCATTTTCTCCGCCTGGTTATCCGATAAGGCGCCGGCATACACGGCGAACTCGTCTCCGCACCGGGAGTCGATCACCGTAACGTCATCCCTGCCGACCAGGCCGTGCTGGGTGAATGGCCACCAGAGGGCGTCGCTCGCTTTCCCGGCCATCGAGCGGAGGCGCGTCAGCCGCGCCACGTGGGCGCTCTCTAGGGCGTCCAGTAAGCGTCCGAACGTGTGACGGTTGTCGAACAGCCACGTGTCGATGGTCGGGCCGCCGGCCGCCTCCTGCAGGACACGTGGCAGTGGCTCGTGTTTGATTCGAAGCTTAGTAGGGCAATCTCCTTGGATAATACGCAATCATTACTAAAAATGGAAGAAAGAAGAATATGAGAAGCTTGTGGACGCGGGAGCATTGAATGGAAAAACAAGCCTAGTTGTGCGAAGACCTTACTAATGGAAATGTCATCACAATTGTAGCAAAACGTGGATTGGACTCCCTGAGGTACTGTCAGTCATTTAGACGCTTCCGAGCTGGCATCAAAGGAACGCAAAGAGCCGAGTTCCGTTTAAAGGTATGACAAAATCTCGTGAAAAGCAGGACTAGTGTTTATGGTCACTTTGCTGCATCCCGAGCGTCCTCTATCGATCCTCAGCGAGAGGTCTGCACAGGAGCTGCACTTTCTCGTTTACCGTTTGGCGACGCCTCCGATAAATTTCGCGCGGGTTTGGGGCCTTGAAAAAAGACGAGCAGCCAAGATGGAAATTGTTGTTCGAAAAGCGAGGCCGGATGGCAGGCAAACCCTCCTCGCTTTGTCACCGACAGAGTGCAAAAAACGTGAGCTTTCAAGGAGCCAAGATGTGTTCTCTCAGTTTCGACTTCCAAACAAGCTACCACAGCTGTTTGCGTCAAACTTGCGATCGGGTCCCAACTTCTCCGAGCAAACTTCCTGGTCTTGAGCCGTACGATGCCTTCCTTGTCAGCTATCGGACGGTTCAAAATGAGGAACCATGCTCGGAGCATTTGGATGGCAGGGCTGACGCAGAGAGCTGACCGCCTGTGTGCGGACTTCACAACAAGAGCTCGTCCGAACAGAGTCTCCGCTTGCCAGCTGCCGAAGCTCTTGAAAACTTGCTTCTACAACTTTGTTCTTTCAAGCTGTTCTCTACTTGTTGAAGACTCGTTCATAAACTTGAACAAGTCCTCTTCCAAGCTTAAGAAAGAGAAGAAGAAAGAATAAGAACGACGCCCGCTCACCTCTTCCTTGGTCGGTAGGCGCGGGAGCGACACCACCGGCACCTTTCCTTGCAAGTACCGCTCGATCGCGTCCGCGTTCCCCAGCCCGTGGTCCATTAAAACGACGGCGTCGGTGTCGAAGCCCCGCAAGAGGAGCGACTCGTAGGCGGCGATCGTTGCGGAGATCCCCCCCAGGCGGCCGTCACCTACGAGCACGCCGGGAAGGCGGAGGGACCTGCAGAGAGAAAGGGGCATAACCATCAATGCTTAAAGAGGGCGTCAGATTTCAAGGTACGCACGTGCATCTGAGTCCTGAGGGAAGAGTGCATCCCACGGCTCAGATTCCTCCTTGAAGATCGCTTATGGCGAGCAAGCTGGCCCCTGATGCGGGGCAGTTTGGTCGCTTGAGTTAGGACCGGTCCTGCAACGGCCTCTTTAAGCTTAAAACCGCAAGATTTGCCAATGGGGACCAGAGATGCCCCTTGAACGGCCGTTTCCGACGAGCACGCGAAGGAGAAAGAGGAGCTTATGAATAAAGAAAGCCCGAAAATGATACTCAAAGTTACATTGAATCCAGGTCTTGACTGGGTCCTTTACATTAGGCGTCAACTTGAATCCTAGAGAGGAAACCTGCTCTGGCCCCAAAAAGCTATTCTCTCGCGGGAGCGAAGAGGCAGTGCAAACCCTATCACAATATCTCCTGAGGGGCGCTTTGAAGCCAAGGAAAGCAAATTAAACCCATTGGCTTGAGGGGGATTTCGTTTGGAGATCGACTCTCTTCCTCGACGCTCTCTCGATTTTTGACAGCCATCAAAAGTCTGTTGACAATGTGCTCCCAGACATAACAAGGAGTGCCTCCGCCCAGTGCACCGGACTTCCGAATTGCAAAGGAGACAGCCATTCCACATCCTTCTGCCCTGAACGCTTTGGCTTGACCAGAATGTACTATTGAATTGGTCCAGCTTCTCGGCTGACTGCTATAAGAACCGACTTTACTGTAGGGACAGGTCTGCAATTTTTATGGATAATCAAATCCTTTTTGCGCTCTTGTCATCCCTGACTGCTTTTATCACATTTTTTGGGGGTAAAAGATCCTACTATGAAAGGCTAATTCAACAAACCGCATGGACACGACACAAACAAGATCTGGAGGATTGGTCACCTGAATATGTCGCATTGGAGGTTTCCCGAAGGCCCCGGGCTTGCGACGCCTCCCGCTGTTTCAATCAGAGTTACCCACTTCCGAAGCATCTCAACTCGTAACCTCTCCTTCACCTGCTGCACCGCAGTATCAACCACTTCCGAAACTGCCTTCCCCCCCTCATTCACTGCTGTTTCCAACCCCCCCAGTATGCTGGACTGCGTGCCCCCCTCTTGATCTGCTGCTGTTTCTACCCCCCCGGCCGTGAACGCTGGTTTTACTTTGGAACTTTCCGGTGCTGGCGCTACTTCAGTGACTGAGAAAAGCTGGTGAGACACAGAGGCGCTGTCGGGAGACGCTCGCTGCGTCTTGCACTCTCTGAGCGCCGTTCGAACAGCCCCAATGACGTCAGCGTCCGGCACCGGGTTGTCTCTTGCAGCGACATGTGGCGACACTGGAGGCTCCCACTGAAACAATGAAACCGTCACAAGCTTTGGCAGGGGTTGCCCGTGCTTCCATTGGTCGAAAATAGAGGCCACTTTCAGCGCCCGCGAAGCGTTTTGCCGCACAAACCGGGCGTCGCAGTCTGTGGGGAACCCTGTTTGTACTGGCTTTACGTAGAGAACGCTTAAAGGGTCAGGGCGCTGGCAGGCGGCCAGAGTGAGGCCGGAGGAAACTATAGTCTTCCCCACATCGGTGTTGGCGCCCCAGACCATGTAGGTGGGAGAATCTAGGCTGAGAGAGCGGGGGTCAAGGAGCGGAATCTGTTTGTCATGGGGGGGTGGCTCGATAGTGTCTGTAGAAGGGGGGGGCTTGGTGGCGAGGTCTCTGGCCGCCTGAGGAAGGAATCCCTGCAAGGAAAGAATAGGATTCGATTGCTAAACTGCATTCTGGAGATCCTCCAGTATACTGGGAAAAGGCCTGTTCAGGTTTCTTCTCAGCACATTCTATGATTTGTCTGGACCTGCTTGTGTTTAGAGCTGCGCAACCTGACAAACTTCAGAATCTAGATCTGCATTGCAACGCACTGCATTCGATGCATCCACATTTCCCTAAATTGGGCTAGAAATACAGAACAATGTTTGGCTGGCAGCAGCTCAAGACTTTCAAAAAGGGCTTTACGACCTGAACCCTCTTTTCTCAATCATTCTTTGCTTTAAACCCATTTTTAGTAAGCATTTTGATTGGCTGACATTACTGTACCACCATTAGCATCACGTAATGCACTCAACTCTACTCGGCATTGCTTTGAGGACAAAAAGACTCTGCTTGCATTCTTTCATCCTTTTAAAAACGCATGCTCTTGATTGGCAAGCTTCTCCGAATCCAGCATTTGAGTGTGAGGCGTACCTTGGCAGCCAGCAGCTTCCATTGCATTCCACTGGCAGCATTGCCCTTGAGGACCCCTGCAGGCAGGCGCGACAAAGGGAGCAGCATGGCTGCTGTCGATGGATGCTATAGATCTGTGACTTAAGACTGTGACACCTTGCAGGGGCTCAAATCAAATTGCCCCTTTCATAAGGCTGGTGCCAGTGGCAGCTCCTTCTAAGACTTGTGATTTGGCCCTGGCACTGGCATTGCCAGGGTGGGACATGCCATTTTCTAACGTCGTGTTTGCGCGCGAGCGCACGCGTTCAATTGAAAAATAAAGCTTTCAGAGCAAAATTGAAAATGAGATAATACCAGTATTCCTGAAACCCACCGTCGCAAAGCAGTCGGGGAATCAGCACCGATTGTTCAAAGCACTGATCAAAGCATAGCACTGCCACTGCAAGCCCGTGAGGGCTGGAGCACCGGTCGGAAAAAGGTACCGGCGGAAGACAGTCAGCCTAGCTTGCGGCGGTGGAGCAGAGCTGATGTCAACAACCCCCTGACAATTAAGCACTCCCCCACTGCCACTGCCAGGGGACTCCAGCTGAGAAGGTTCCGGATACCGTAAACCGCCCAAAGTGGTCCGATGGGTTCCTAAACTGGACCCCTCTGGCAAAGCTAAATGGAAGTACGACGCCGAGACCAAGCTGCAACTTGATCAAAGACTGAAAGCTTACGCTGCAGCTCAAATCCACGCTGGTTAGGTAACCCCTTTCCAGCAACCCCTAATCGAAGAAAACTAAGTTAGGGCAGGCTGTAAAGAGTTAACCTGGCACAGCTGGGCGTCCAGCAGGCCTCCCAACCTCAATATATTGCTTGAATTCCCACAGCATTTATCCAACTTATACAATCATTGAAACCCAGGAAAAACTTCGAATTTGGCAGAGAAAATGCCAGGGTTATGCACTGAAGTGCAACCCTTCCCAGACAACCCCAATGGTTAAGCATAGGTACTCATTTGACCTTCTCACTGACCAGTGCCAAAGTTGCCCCGGGTCTACCCGGTAGACGGCGCTTTTGTTATCTTGACCAGTCTGCAATGTAGGCGGGTCCACTTTAGGACGCCTACCAAAATACAAAACTTGATCCGTTGGTCGGGCGCCCAACCTGGTTTTGCTAACCATCCACTTTTCCGCACCCAACCAACTAATAAACCACTCACATTGGCATGTAGCCTACGCTTTTCTCTCTCATTTGCAAAAAACAGAACGAGAAACGGCCAATTTTGGACCATTTTAGCGCCTGCACCAGATGTGCAAAATACAGAGGGGTCCAGTTATGGGTCTGCTACGGTAGCCTCGAACTGCCAGTGCGGAGCGCTCTTCGTGGGACTCGTCTTGGCATCAAGCTCATGAAAGAGAAGCTCGCAGGGCTGCCGCCACCAACCAGTAAACTGGCAGTGGAGGGCACTCGAAAGGAGCCATGTTGACGCAGCGGAAAGAATTGGAGCGCTACAAATTGTGGATCCGCCACTTTCGTCCGGTTAATGTACCTTATATTGGGTGGTACTAGATATACAACAAGCTCGTTGTTCCAACAAGAAAGGCGAGTTAAAACAGCAGGCACCTGATAGCTCTCAGCTCAGTAACCAAAATCAAGAAGCCTTATGGCAGAGGCCGTCAGCATTACAGGGGCGATCAATGCAAGTACAACAGACACTTTAAGGAATGCCAGCAACGCGACCAGCGGTATGCTCAACAGGACACGGCCGAGCTATATGCAAGATGCTGTTACGTGCTATAGTCTGCCCTATGGATGGGCAGGCTTCATCTCGCATGTTGCATTGTACCTCTCTATATGGGCCAATGCCAGAAGGCAAGCAAAAGACCCAAAGAAAGGAAGGACATGGGGTACATACATGACAGTAGTGGGAATGGTGAGCAACATTGGTAGTACAATATGGGGTAGCCTGACATGTTCAACGCCGTGGATGCTGGTACTTGTAGCGGTATCAATCGCCGGTCTTGACCTCACCGCCTCTCTTTATGCTTTGAGTCGTTGGTGGAGTATAAGCTTTATGGGCACCAAAGGGACATCGAAGAATTTTTTCTACGCCTTCTCGTATTACTTGATTTTTGTGATAATAGGGACAATTGGAGCTGGTCGCATACATGCTGACTTTTGGGAGCATAGTTCGCTTGTGGACTACATAGTCCTTCCCTTCTTTATCTACTTGGTCATATGGATATACATTTGTTCTTTTTGTGCACTGGGTGCTGTGGGTGCTGGTGCGGCACTCGTCCAAGTCGTTATGTTTCTTGCTGGCTTTCTACATGTTTTCCTACTTGATTGGATTATTGCGGGCGCCATGGGCCGCATCTCAGGACTACCAGACCGCCGCGTTGACGCGGCTTTATATTGGATTCTACTCATAGCAAGGAGACTAGTCTGCATTGGATTGGTGCTCTTTTAATGTAGGCTAGTATTTCCTGTATCTGTCACCAAGAACTGTCTAATACGGCACAGCCTTGCTCTTTGGAAGCGCCTGACTCTTCCCAACAGACCGCCTCTTCCGAATTCGAGATGTCCATCTATTCAAGAAGGCGGCTCGTTCAAGGCAACAGGTAGAATTGCTCAAATTCCAGTGGGCCAAGCTCATTTGGGCCAAGTTCGCATACATTGTTACATGACCAGGAATCTTTCTACCTTATAAAGAATAATACAAAGGTAACTTTCTTGGCAAAATACCGTCTTACTAGATTCCAAAGGAAAAATCTAGAGATTTTTGGTCTTGTGACTAGTTCAATTGGTTAGAGCACCGCCCTGCAAGGCGGATGTTGCGGGGTCGAATCCCGTCAGTCCCGTTCTGTTTTTATTAGTAACTCCAGTGTTTGTAGTATGTACTTCCATTTAGATTCTCAAATCTGTGGCAATGTGAGTCGGACCGTATGAGCGCATTTTCACCAACATGGATGTCGCAGCTCCGAAATGAGAGGGGCAGCTGTCCACCTTTTAGACCCTTGTGCACTATGCTATTAGTGTCTCATGTTTCGGTTCTGAAGGGCATCGTTATAAGATTCATGATTATACCTATACAGTGCACCAACAGCTCTTAAAATATCGTCTAGCTGGTACAGCCGCAGGTATGATTCCAACTTCCTTTACAGCAACTTGCGGACTGAGGGAGTCACTGAATTGTGATTATCTTCACTTTCAGAAAAGGTTCCGGCTGGCTTCCGGTTCTTGCAGCCCACGTCATAGAACCCTGCGCTCCATCATGAGTGTTGCGCACAGATCATAAAACGGACGTTACAAACCTTACTGTTAGTACTAGGTTCGTTGCATCATGTGATTTTGATCGAAAAGCATGCAAGTTGCATGTTGAGTACGATGCACCGCGTCCTGCCGCAGTATACGCTGGCAGTCTTTCGAATGAACATTGTGCAATCAATCCAAGCCTCCGGACTTATAAGCGTTAATTGCAAGATGAGGATCTGACAGGAACCCCTCGTGCCTCAGACTTCAACAAGAAGGCCGGCCCGGCCCAATGACAATCCACCTCTACATCTCGATCTGTTGCATTGAGCTCATTGAAGAAATGCACTTGCAAACTTGCTCCAGATTAGTGAGTAGAAAAGAAAACCCTACAGTGCAATACAAAGTGCAGCTTTGCATTGAACTCAGTTCGAGTGTGATGTAAAGTGAGTTGCATAAGTAAGCACGGCCTCAAATCACATAATTTACCGTTGACTGAATCCTGCCAATCGTTGGCAAGGTCACTTCATTGAAAGCCCACTGTGGGGCGCACGCTGACGGGCGCCGTTTCAGTGTCACTACGTTCCCACCTCGTCTGATCCAACGTTCAATATGTACAAATGTTACCAGCAGCCTCAATCCCGCTGATCGACAACATATGGGGCTGAGGTTGCGTGCATCGCCAACTAATGCTCTTACTCAGTTTACCTTCTCCTTTCAATTATCACCTTGCAGCAACGTCGACGACCTGAACAGCAAACTTTAACCTCTTGCAGGTCACTTTGCAAATGCACGTTACACACTTACGCAACTCCAATATGTCCAGTCGAAGGCGGCTAACCAACCCACTGAAACACCGGAATCAAAAGGCCGCCGCCGCCCGTGCATGATCAGCAACTCAATCAAGAATCTATTCTGTCCAAATCCAATCTTTATGGAACGCTTTTGAAAATTCGCAGCCCGTTGGTCAGACGGCCCTCGAACGCGTCTTCTCCTATCCAATTCGGACTGGTACATTTGGACACTTACAAACCCAGATGATCAGTGTGACAGCTAACAGTTTCGTGACAGTGTTCGTTGCGGAGTATCGTAGGTGGAACCTTCTCCGGATGCCACGTGGCCCCCTCGGATGCAATGCGTCTGTTTCGCTTCGCCCCTCTATCGCAGCACTGGCGTCGTCCTTCCGGGGGATCCCCCGACGCTGGCAGCTGCGGTCGAGACGGCGCCCATCAGCAACTGATACTGCTTCCCCCGGGACCACTCGTCGATTTCCCGGGCTCTCAACACTGGCAGGGGGTGGGACAGCTGTCGGGTTTGGGCGTTCCTGCAGGAAGCGAAGGTGAGATGTGAGTCAGAGGTTGACGTACGAGAATACTTGTGGTCGAGAAAGCATAGCCTGCTCAATGCTCGCTGCCGATTCGGACTTCATCTTTGCTCTCCAACTAGAGCGCAAACCCGCTCGAGAGCATCTCTTGACGTGCTTTCCAACTTGGATATGCTCGTCTGCACTTCCTTCCATGTCTCCCTTTTTACTATTCCTCCCATTCCTTCGTCCCAAATGAATATAACCAGCCACCTCGATGAAGTGACAGGGCTCTCCAGGTTTGGCTGTGCCAGTGAACACGGGGCTTGAGAGCGAATTTACGCAGGTCCGCGTAACACAGCGCATAAAAACGGACTGAAGCGGAGACGCCCACACAGCCTCTTTGGGCAACTGGCTCCTTGGGTCAAGGAAGCGGAAAAGAATTCTCGTCAACAGGCGCACTTGGAGGGGGGAGCAGGTAGCACATTCGAACTATGAGAACGAAAATGTATCCGCCGAAAGTCGTAGGCGGAAAGGGATCGCGTTCTTGAGCCCTAGTCTCATAAGCCCGAGTCGCTTCAGCGCCCCCCTCTTGCTGACCCAACCTTTGAGCAACATACCAAGCCAGGAATGAAGTAACAAAGGACAAGTGGGACGCAGAAAGCGGTCTTCCTTGCTCTTTGGATATTTTACACATTGATTCCAAGAGTTTCTTCTCTGATTTCGAGAATTTCAGGGGTTTTATTCGAAAGAAGCTCACCTCAGGTACCACCCAAACGGGCTGTTGCTCGCCTCGTCGTACGAGCGGGCTTGGTTGAGAAATGAGTCGACGTTCAAGTCGTCCGCAAGCGACGGGCACCCCCCCGCCAGCTTCATAAGCACCGAAACAACCACCTTCGGATCCTGCACGGTTCGAAGCAAGGAGTCAGAAGGGACGGGTGGGAGTTGCTCAGAATGACGGTAGCTTTGCTGTGCTCTGGGCGCTCGGAAGTGTGGCAAGATTGGCGGAAACGTTCCGTTGATGGACAGCTGTACCGAACCAACTTCCTTGATTCGTGCAAGATAAAAACCGGCAGAATCTGATATAATAAAAGCTTTTCGCGATTTGATGTGAGCCCATCTGAACCGAGCGTCCAAAAGCAAGAGGAGATCGCTCGATGCGCTTTCTCGAACAACTTCAGCAGCGAAAGGACTACTTTTGGGACCTTATCAGGAACATATCTAGGGGAATGGAGGATTGGCTTGTATACTTGCGGGGCCTCGAAGTAAGTTGTGTGACTACGGGCCGTCTAGAGGCGTCAGACAGACGGATTCATGACTGCCACGTTTATCAGCACCGAAAGAAACGCCTCAGTTCAAATGTTAGGATGGGAAGTGGCGGGACAGAGAAGTTGCGAACTACTCCCGCACGTATCTGACCGCCTATCTTTCGAACGTCGACAGAAAATAACGCCTTTTATAGTTCTGCTCAAATGACGGGGTTTCGGCAAAGAGCCAAGATAAATGGAGCGAATCAATCTACATAAATGGAGCGAATCAATCTACGCTCAAGAAGATTCGCTTCGAGGACGAATCTACGGCCGTCTGAAAGAAAGACGGCTGATTCGCGGGGCTCAAAAGGCAGGACGTCACGATGATAGGAAGTGCTCAAAAGTGTGTATACCGTAGCTCTCGCAATGGTAGTAAGATAAAGGACAGGGGCGTAGTGAAGGAAGCTACAAACTCTCAAAACGTGAGATTTGACGGTGAGCAAGGAACAGCTTTGCGAAGCGCACATCATTTTCGCCAGTTTCCCCTCACCAAAGTTCCATCATTTTTCATCTGCTGTGAGTTCCACAGCCAGCCCAGAAACGCTGCTACGAGCGGGTGCTTTGCGCTCAAAGAACCATCGAATGGGGAAAGGGCACGTGGCAATCACCTGTGCCACGAGAAGCGCCGCCCGGTCGCACGTGAGCTCCGCAGCGCGCAGCCAGCGCATGAGCTTGTCCTCTAGGTTAGCCGCAATGAATCGGCCCAAACCTGCAATAAACACAAACGTGCTTTTTTAAGCTAAGTATGTCGGACAGGCTCAGGGGACCCAACAATCGCAATGCAAAATGATGATTGGAAGGGAGGAGGGGCCCAGAGCGGATCATTCCCGGTGCGGAGTGCAATCAGCCAAAAGTTGAGCACTCCGATCCGTCACGACTAGAGCTCGACTCAAGTCAATAAGCAAGGAGGGACTTGAGATGCGTCCTCGGAAACATATAAAAGTGGTCGAAGAACAGAAGGACAATCAAAGCGGATGATCAAGAGGTGGCTGACCTGGGAGCGACCCCGCTGACATCGCGAGGACGTTTGCAAACGTCAGCCAGACCCCGTGGTCGCATTTCAAGTGGCCCATCTCGTGCGCCAGCACCGCTTGCAACTCCGCTGGCGTCAGCAACTCGACCAAACTCGTGTGAACGACGATAAACGGTTTCCGGCCCGCGATCGCGAGCGTGTATGCGTTCGGGGTCGGGTTTTGGCGAATGTAAAGGTCGGGTGCGTCCATGTCGAGAATGTCAGCGGCCTCAGTTAGGAGTTTGTAGACCCGGGTTAACTGCAGATCGGAAATGGATCGAATTGGCTTGACCAGGGGTTGGAGTAAAGGCTTGAACGCAGCAGCCTCGATTTGGCAGTGGTTGAAAACCCAAATAAAGCAGCGGAACCCTCAAGTCTTATAAAGCGTTATTGCTATTTCAAGAGGACGGAACCTCCTGGGATAGAAAGTTGTGACTTAAAAAGAAAGCGAAGGCCCCCCAGGAGTCAAAGGAGCAAGCAACGTGCCAAAAACTTCAACTTGCAGCTTGAAGAAGCCAGGTTGGCTGCGAGTACTGAGGACGACTTGGAAAAGAAAGAAAGCTGCGTGTACAGCTTTATCAATAGTATTACATTCGTTTGAACCCTCCGTCAAATAATTGCAAAAACCGAATGTCCGAATCTTGCCAAAAACTCGAATCGTATAGAAGGCAGTTGCACTTGCTTTTGCACGCTCACGAGGAACCAATTGCTGCTGCGCTCTGACAAGACAAGAATCACCCGAATGTTCAGCCTCCCAAGATCCATACGAGTGGCCAACTTTTCAGACCTCTATAAAGGAAACCCACTCAATGTTTGTCCGGCACACAAGATGAAACCAAATTATGCCAACCAGTTGCAAAGTAGAGACCGAAAAATGCAATGATATCGTGCATTGAAGGAATGGACTTAATGAATTCAGCAGTCAGGGGCACATACCTGGTGCTCCCCAACCCGCACCGACGTGGCGATATTTTCGAGGAGTAGCACTTGCTCCGCCACAGGACTAAAGAGCATCTTTGCAATCTCCTGTATCCCAGGAAAAGCGCGGAGGATCGCCGTGTTCTGCAGGCACGGGGGGGGCAATGGATAGAGAAGACTGAGATCGCGATTACACTTCATTGAGAAGGCTTGGTAGACGAATTTCCTAGTCTTTTCATAGAATCTCCTGCATAGGATCTCCTGTTCTATGTGTGGGGACAGATTTGGTACATTCACTGTTCACAGACTCAAAGCAGAAAGTTGGAATCACTGATTTTGACAAGAAGACCTGGAGTCCAAGTCTCCCAAAACTAGCCACAAATCGCTATCCAGCATTTTGTTGAAATGCATAAGCAGAGAGTATGAATAAGTTCTTACTACTGGAGTTCTTATGAGTTCTTAAACCTAGTGGACAACTGAACAAGCTTAGGAGGGCGCTGAACATCTGACAGCCCATTAAACTGGCATTCAGTTAATATATCAAAAGAAGCACCACCTCGTGGGCTTGCGAGCCGGTAAATCTGCTAAATGAAGTCCCACAAGCATCGCTTCAGGGCGGAAGGCATAAAGCGGCAGACTCCGTCAATCCAGGACAGCTCACATCTCAGATTTTCTAGAGGGGCACACCATAGCTCTGCTGACATAAGAGACTGAAAAAAGCTCAGCCAAACAGGAAGCGACGATCTGAGCCTAATTCAACCCGTTCATTAAGTTGTCCAAGCTGTACATAATCCCTACCTGTCTATCCAATGGATGCTGGAACTCCGCTGCTTTCAATCCCTTGAATATCCGTGGCTGCTGTTCTGTGCGAGCACCACTGCTTTGATTCAGGTTCAGAGGCGCCTCATCAAGCACTGAGGCTGAAGCAGTAATCCTACGGGCTTGCCGTTGAGTCGGTTGCAAAGTCCTAGCTGGCGAGCTACCCCTTGGATCAAAATCAAAACCACTTCCGTAGAAACAGCCTCGTCCCATACTATTGCAGCTTACATCAGTGTGACTACTTGAGAATTTTGAGGTCAGATTCTGAACTTGTTTCAAAAAGGTCTGCTGGTCGTATCCTGAACACCTGATGCTTGGCCAACTGCTGAATACCTGACCATGATTCACATCATGTTGCTGTGTACCGCTTGTAGAAGCACGTGCACTATTTGCGGCCGCAAGGGGAGACTGGAGGGCCCGCATCTTTGCAGCCTGAAAGGCTGCGACCGGCGTCATTTTATAGGGATTGACAACTCCAGTAATCGCCAAAGCTCTACGAGCAACAAGAAGGGGCTTGCAACAAACTGCAGCACAGCTCAACCACACGTACCCCACAACGATCAACCGCTTGCAAACGGGGGCAATGCTTTTAATTTACTACTATTAGGACTCGAGCGAATTGCTCTCTAAAATACTTTTGGGTTCTACTAGTAGGTATATCGGATTGCAGGGGTTGGACAAAGCATGAAGGAGACTGGTGAAAAGCACACACCGTTTTGCTGCTTGCAACTTGCAAGAGGTCTGAGCTGCGGTCGAAGAACAATGACGTCGATGGCGCGGCTTGCTTCGGTAAAGGTCAGCCAGGTGACGTACTGCCGGGATCACGCCGCTTTTTGCCGACCCGGCACGTATCAGCCGTTGCTCGGCCTCCCTTTCGCCGTTCCTGTCAACGATGCGTGGTAACGGTAAAACACAATCAGTCGACGGTCGAGAGCGCGCCACGCTATTTTGTCTGACGGCCACGATGCAAAGACTCTAAGACCGTACTTTGCGGAGGAAGCAAGCACGTGCATAACGTGCACCTCGGACCTCCGACTCGGACTCGGACTCGGAGATCGCCTCACTCCCGACAGGCACTGTTGGCATTGCACTGTTGCACTGTTGCAGTGCAGAACTGAGAACGCAGTCGACCTTTCCATGTCCTGCGCCTTGCTCTATCCTACCTCTAATCGTGGATGATGTGGTATGTACCAGCCTGGCCCCGTTGACCGAGCACTGCCAAAGAGAGAAAGATGGCCGCGATCCAGGGAGCTAGCAATGCGGTACACGCTGATTATGAACGTGCTGGAAGAAGATAGCAGTTGAGCGGCACCCATTATGCATGCACAGCAGCCGAAAAAGGTGGGAGAGATATAGGCAGACAGAAAGGGCCGCAGCAGAGTGAATGACGCTGCGAGAGGGCAGAAGAATGTGGCACGCAGCGTGCGCGCCAGCTTAGTGTGATCAATGAGGCGAGTGCGAGAGAAGCTGGGGAGCAAGCTCAGTGGTGATAGTGAGCTGAGAAAGGTGCCAGCTTTGATGCAGTAGAGGTGGTTAAGCTCTGTTGAAAGTGGTGGATATGAAACAGTTCACAGAGACGCAGCAGTTCTGCTGCAATGTGACGGGCTGTCCCATGGACCCAGAAAACAGCTGAGTTGGGCTTTGAACATGGTGTCAAGGTGCAAGCTTGGAAACAGCAGTTGGCAGATGACACCATTGTTTGGAGCTGCCGCGGTTGATCACCTTGGGGTTGAATAGTGTTGGAGCTGACAACATCAGGAGAGAAGGCAGAAAGCTGACAGCTCATTCAAAAACATGACAGCTTATCTGAAAATAGGGCACTGTGTTTGTTCAGGAGCTAGTGTTTGCGATCAGCGAGACCCACAAGCGTTTGTGCAACTCTTCCGTGCGTTCGCTTCAGACAAGGCATCCCCTCTTTGAGGGGAAGCAAGTTTAGAGAGTGGGCAACGAGCTGTGACGTGTTTCATCACACGCCGCCTCCTCCAGTTGAACAAACACAGGGGCTGTTTGAGCGGAAAAGAGATCCAGCGACAGCGGAAGGAGGGGGGTGGATCATCACCGAGTATCAGGGAGGGGCCAGAGTAGTGAAAGTGGGAAACAATCTGCACTGCGAAAAGAGGGAGGGGGGAATTTGGTGCAAGCATGGCGGTACAGCTGCATCAGCTGGGGGCGGTTATGCAGTACGTCGTGTTTGGGATCTCCGTTGCGCTCGCCCTCTTCTTCATTGTGCAGACACGCCGGAAAAATGTCAACTGGGAAAGTGAGTCGGTACTACTTGAGTCAACCTTTGCTGTTTTCCTTCTCTCATTCTGATTCTCTGTAAGTGAGCTCTAGTTTTGTAGTTGGTGCACTTTTTAACTAGCTTGAATGGGGCAGACTTTCAGTAGGTTAGCAAGGGACACTGCCCGAAATTTGATGAGTGATTCGAGGTAGTTTACTTCAAACAACTAGCTAGAGCTGGCATAGCAGTGCTTTGGTTCCGCCATCTGAAGTAAAGTGAACCTCTCACTCACCTTGGAGGCAAAAAACTCCCTCTTGCTACAGGGAACTTGGGTAATCCTCATTCCACAGAGGCTTTCATTATACTTTTATGCTTGTCTAGAGAGCACGCCTCTTTTGCATCATCTTACGAGAAGGCAGACTGGCCATTGACTGAAGAGCTAGTACGTCTGGAGTCTCAATCTCCCAATTCTACTGGAGGAAACTGGAGGAATTCGTCTGATTGTTCGACCAGGTTTTCAAGGTCATCGTTGTCAGACTGCATCCTGGCTCGTTGGGTGTCTACTTCTGCAGAGCACTTCCGGAAACATTGAAGTCGGATATCAGAAAAGCACTGGCTCGTTCAAGATTTGCTGCATAAGATATCAAAAGCACAGATGTTGTGGTTTCTCCTCACATACCCGGGTAGTTGGGCTAGCGTTTCATAGCGTCCAGTTATGCACGTTGGGCGAACTTTGCTGCTGAATCTGTTCATGACGACTTCTGTGCCCAACTTTGGGTGCATAAGCTGGCCTCAAAACAAGATACCGTCTTTCAGATGGCGAGATACAGACAATTGGCAGTTTAATGTCGCTTGCAAACATTCCTGCTCCTTCTAAACTTTGCTGGCACTTGCTGTTCGGGATTTTTCAATCAAAGCGGCCCCTTCAAGCCCCTCCCAAGTTCTCTTTGGTTTCCCTGGCCCTCGATATCAACACAAATACTGTTATGGTACTACGAGCAGTGGCCTGATGGGCTTCCGTTTGCAACTCCCTTGACGCTACCCCAGATCGTCAAAAGACTGTCCACTCATGAGTTCCTGCACTCGTTTTTTCAGTCCACGATTTCATCTAGGTCGTTGTTAAGCCTTCATCTACCTATTCAGTCGTCTGTGAACACCGTCTTAGCCTCTGCTAACCTTCTCAGCTCTCCGTTAACCCTGCAGTCATCTTTGCCACCGCCGCCCTCGCGACCCTCTACATGCTGGAGCGTCAATGGGGCCCCGCCGGCCCCGCTGACATCAGCATGACGAGTTCGGGGCGACGGTTGCCGTGGTTCCGCTATGGGGAGTGGCTCCTGACGTTTCCTCCGTTATTGGCGGCGGTCGCAAATCTGACGGGGCTTGGGAGGCGGAAATGGGGCCAAGGAATGGCTCTGTTGGGCGCGCTCCAAGTTGCGCTTCTGGGGGGGGTCACGGCGGCATACAGCACGGGCCTTGCGGCGAAGATTGTTTTTGTAAGTGGGCCCTTGAGCCTTGACGTCGAGCTGACGTTATGCTGCGGCCTGCAATAACTGACATTGATATTTGTCTGACTGTGGCGCTCTGTCAAAATGGAACAGCGAGCAAAGCGCCTCAGCTCGAAGGTGGCTAATGGTGGCGACCGATGAACCGATTGCAGTATTTGTTTTGGTGGCCGACGCCGCCGCCTGTTTGATCATGTCCTGATTAGTGTCGTCAATCTGAGAGATTGCGTCCGGACATCAAGTTTTCTAGCCGAGACTCATAATCGAAGGATCCAACGCACCAGACTTAAGGCCTGGGTACGGATCGAGCGTAGATTCACTGAGCTCATTTCTCCAATCGAAGCTCTGCAATGATCTGATTTGCTGACGTTGCTCATTCTTTTCCTCCAGGCGTGCATTGCGGCAGCTGCATATGCTGTTGTCCTTGTGCTGACGTCACTCACCTTCGGGCTGACGTATCGTGAGGTGCCCCTCTCCCTGCGGGGCTTCGTGTCGCTCCTGCGCGCCCTGCTGCTGCTGACGTGGCTTGTCTACCCCGTCACCTGGGCGCTCGGTCCAGCAGGTGAGGAAAGCATGATGTCAGCGCCACGTCACCAAAGCCGTGAAAGCTTTGAAACAACAAGCCGTCTTGCGGGTACATGATGAGAACAATCCGTATGTTACGACGACTGGATCGGCTAGCCTGGGCGTCACGAAGTTGGTCGGCCGTAAATTTGCACTGGACGAGCGTTCTTATGCACAGGAAGCCTGATGCGCCAACAATGTGTCGTTTCTATCTGAAAACCAGTCCAGTGTGCTAGCCTTACCACTCCACTGTGCTAGCCTTACGAGTTCGCAACAGTCTTCTTTCTGCTGAGAAAGCGTCCTGCTTCTTCATCAGAAGCCTTAACACCAATGTCCTCAAAGCAGATTGCTGAACGCTCCTTGTCGAACGGCCTCTCCGCAGGTTTCCGCCGGATCTCCTTCGACGGCGAAACGGTCGCGTTCGCTTTTGCGGACATCTTCGCCAAGTGCGCCTGGAGCGTTCTACTGTGGTACTTCCGCCGGACAGTCCAAGTGTCCGTTCCGGCGCAGTTCTGGGCGACGCAGGCCGACGCGCAGGTGGGCGGGGTTCGAAAGGTTCTCGTTCTAGTTAACCAATAAGCTCAGGGTCTCACCGAAGCTGACTCGAAGGATCACGCGCTTTGCACTCGTACTCATCCTTACCCCCGCACTCATCCCAGCCGTCTTTATGGGTGTTCGGTGGGCTTATGATTCACCCATCTGAATCTGATTGGCATTCGGCATGTGGGGACCAGGATTTAAGTTTGGAGTTCGGGCGTTTGTCCGGAAACATTGTGATCGCCACGCGCGACCAATTTAAGCACCATCCAATAACACGTGTTTCAATTTAGAAGCTAGCTAGAAGCACGCTGTTGCCCGCCAGAAAATCTACACGTCACCCTGCTCTGAGTGGATGAGCAGACTCTTCGTGTAAGTTCGACATGGCGAATCTATCTTTCACAACGTCGAAAACGAGTATGGTGTTTCTGCGTCAGCCAAGCCGAACCCAGCTGACGTACGCTGTTTTTCTTGTTTTTGGTCTCCGCAGGCCGCCCGGGCCGCCTCTTGGTAAGCTGCCATCGCCCAGCCGACGTTTCAATAAAAGGTCGCTGTAGAGAATTTGTCAAAGCAGAGACTTGAAATTCTGAGTCGTATGCTTCTTTTCCTCTTGGCAGGCTGCGCCGGGCGCCGTCGGGGATACCGGAGTTGCCCAGCAGCTCCTTGGCAAGGGAGATCCGGTGCTTGTCTCCGGGCGCCGTTTTCAGCCGGCGGTCGCGGAAGTTGGAGAGGGATCCCCCTCGGGCAAAGAGCCGCTCCTATTGGAGGAACCAGAGGTCAGGACTTTTTCTTCTGGCATGAAGAGACCTTCGATTTGCGCGTTATCTTTTTGCATCTCTGCTTCCACAGCGTTTAGTGGAAAATGTGTTGTGGACTGGATGCAGACTGGCGAAGCCGTGGATTTGGACACCTTCGAGCTCTCGAACACATTGCGCTTTTGGAAAAGCCCAGCGCCTGCGTCCTTTGCAGTCCGCGCAGCAAAATTACGGACGAATATAATCCGGAGAGACGTTTTGTATCCCATTCGCTCGCAAGCGTGTACTTTGAATGTCTTGAAGGAGTCTCAAGTCCTGCCTTATCCTTGATTTCTGCGCAGGAGGTGCCGCTGACTGGCTGGCCGCTCGGGCTCGCACGTACGCGTGTGCACGTGGCCCCCCGTGACGTCACCCGCCCCCGCGCTTCTCCCCGGTTCTGGTTTCCCGGTCTCTCCGATCAGATCCGCACAGAACAGGCGGCCTACAGCCCGACCGGAACGCCCTTTCCGGTCACTCGGCCCTCGTCCCTTCTTCCGAGCCCCAGACAAGAGCTAGAAACGGCGGAAGGGGTGACGGTCTACCGGAATCCGCTGGCTCTGACGGAATCCGGAGAGCAGGAGGTAGGCGACGCGGCCGTCGCGCGCGCGCGCGGGCGCGAGCTCGCGATCGATATTCCGGGGGAGGGTTCAGGCCAGCGGACGCCGGAGTGGGGCGGAGCGGAATCCTCTGAGGACCGGAAACGGACTTGGGCGGCGTTTATCCGCTCTTTCGGTGCGCAAAAGTCGCCTCCTGAGACCAAGTCCGAGGAAGGCGAAGCCGGGTACAAAACGCTCGCCCGGCCGGAATGGCCGGGCTCTATTTCGGCGCGCAAAGAGCGCCCGGGGGAGAGTCAGTCTCGGTTCTGCCTGCGGCGACGGCCGAGGAAACCACACTCGCTTCGGAAGTTCCGACACCGACCAGCCGGCTCGAGAGAATTGTAAAAGGGCCGGAGGGATCCGGGGTGGACTCGTCCACCATGACGTCAGCGTCGAGAGCCTCCCCTTCCATGCTGACGTCAGCGGTCAGCCCGCCCGTTCCGCTGGTCGAGAGGGGAACCCCGCGCGCGACGCCCCGGCGGCGTCCGCTGCCGTTCTTCGATCCGGAGACCGGGGAAGTTAACCGGGGAGTGTTGGTGGATCCCATTGACGAGGAGTCTCCAGTGCCTGACGTCACGGAAACGTCACCGGTGACCTCATCCAGGAGGCGCCGGATGAGACGATCGGGAGTGACGGCGGAAGGCGATAGCGACGTCGACAGTTTTGATTCCGTTGGTTCCGGCATGGAAGAGTCCGACTCCGGGGAGTCAGGGGGCGGAATCTACATCGAAGAAGCAAAACCCAAGTTTAGAGTATTCTCAGGGCGCCCCTTAAAACCCGATGCGGGCAGCCCTCCGGTTACCGTAATCCGGTCCCCGGATACCGGCGCGGCGGAAGCCGTTTCTCGGCGATTGACGTACGAGCCCTCGGGGCCTTCCCCCGCCCCCGCGCTCGTAGGACAGCTTTTTCCGGCGTCGAAGAACTCGCCCCCGGGCGCAGAGGCCGAACTTTTCGACGAGGAACGGCGGCGAGGGGACGGCCTGATCCTGGCCCGCCCCGCGCGCCGGCGGTTCGGGGACGCGGACCCGATGAGCCCGCGCGCTCGTAGGGTTTTGGGGCGCGAGGGTTCGGAGGGTTCGGGCGCGTCTTCGTCGCCGCGCGGGTCGCGGGGCGACATCGTAAGCCCTCGAAGCAGGAGCGGTTTGTCGCGCAGCCAGTCGGCGGAAGACCTGAACAGGGGGGGCATCTCCGTGAGTTTTGCACCCCCCCAGAGGCGGGCCGGCGGCTCGTTCGCGTACTACAGCGGGGGAAAGTTGGCGGACGTCCGGAGCAGCAGTTCCGAGAAGGACTTGTGAGCATATCTTTCTGTGACACGCAAACGAAAAAAGAGGATCATGCAGGGAGACGCAAAAGAATGAAGAGAATCATGCAGGGCAGTTGTCGATTGTTGATCAAACCCTCAACAAACCCGCATATCTATTCGCGAGGTTTCTTAACACTGAAGCCAACGTCTCATTTCCAAAAGCTTTGCTAGAAGCTCTTGAGTGTGGCAGAGGGCTCTTGATGGTCGATACGCACTGTTTTGGCAAGCAGATTTGCTCTTCATCTTTTTGTTGGACGCTTTTTTGAAATCGCTAGAGCCGTTGGCAGGCTACGTGCCACGTGTTCCATCAAAAGTAATTTTTAGATTGTGGAAGCACATTCAAAAGGTCTTCTACAATCCTGAAAAGAATCTTGATGTGGACAACCCCTAGCACAGGTTCAGGGGCTCGACTTGGTCTGGGATTGAAAAGGTCTTCGGGACACTGTCAGTTGAATTTGAAAGTTAGGTTTGAAGTCTATTTAACCTTTATGTCCAGAGATGAACGTGATACGTACGACCGCTCCAGATTGCAGGATCTCGAGCTTTCCAATCCTACTCTTTTTGGCCACTACGTATGGAAAGTTACGGACAACTTTGAGGTCCCCTTTCCAAGAACGAATGCTTCCTTTTGTCGATCACCTTTACACACGCGCGAAGCGTCCTGTTGAACGTTGACGTCCCTCTTGTCGCATCCACCGCTAAGGAGCTCTCTTGAAAACAAAACAAACAAACAGCTTTCATCCATTCTATCCGCAGTTCCGACTATTGGGGCAGAGTCACCGGAACTCCGGCGTCCATTCGGTCACCGGAGGCCGAAGCGGGCCCAGCTTTGGACGTTCCGTTCGTTCCGGCGCGCAATGAGGGGCCGGAATCATCCGCCACGGTGGGGCCTCAGGGTGACGTCGGCTTTGGGCAGCGTGAAATCAGCTTTGAGGAGCGTGCCGTCGGCTTCGCGGGGGCTGACGATAGGTTGCAGCGGTACGGCTCGAGTGGTGTTAGTTTTGAGAGTGACATCAGCGCGGTGCGGAGTGATCCGGGGCTGCTCCGGCGGCGACCGCCGGAAGCGGAATTCCGCCCGGATCTCGGCCGGAGGTCGCTTGGGAGCGCGGAGTTCACCTGGCAGCTCGGTGACGCATCCGGGGGGGACTCGGACTTCCGGCGGCGGTCCTTTCCGGTTCCGCAGTCCCGCGACCAGCGGAACGCAACGGAAGACATGCGCGAGTTTTTCCCCGCTGCGCCGGCGCGGCTGCTCGGAACGGGTGAAAGAGTGTCAATTTCGCGGCCGGACATTTCCGTTGAGCTCGAACCGCGGATTCCGGGCCCGGCACCGGAAGCGTGGGAGGAGGGCGCCGCTCAAGAAGTCTCCTTCCAGCCAGAAGCCGAAAGGGATCTCAGCGGAATGACAATGACAGTACAAGCGGGTTCTGACAGCGGGGCGTTCCGGTCCGGAGAGAGCGGCATCGAGGCATCGAGCGGAAACGGAACACTGTCGAGTCTCGAGAGCGGAGCGATCGAGCAGCGGATCTCAGGGCTTGGGGAGGAGTCGGCGCAATTCGCCGGGCGCAATACGAGGCGGCCGTCCCCTTACTATTATTATTCCGGGGACGCGGTTACTCTTCCACCGGTCGCTTCTCTGGGAAGATTGGAGCCCATTGTCGAAGTCGGGTCGACCCCGGAAATGTCCCCCGAGTCGGCGGAGATGCGGCCGCGGACCGCGATCCGGTTCTATTCGCCGCAGTTCCGCCGGCGGTGAGCGGAATATACTGCACGGAAACTGACGGCCTGTTGGATATCAGTACGACCAAACGGACAACTAACTTATAATCGACAGACATCCGGAGGGCGATCAAACTAGCATCAGGGGGTGACCGGAAAAGATCTGACCGTTTTTGTCAAAGGCTTTGTACAATGCTTCTGTTGAGCACCGTTATGTCTATCGCATCCACTTGAGACTTGCAAGATTTCTGCTGAAATCGGACCGCGCTTGCGTTAAATCAAGAAGGATAAGAGAGAACGATACCTGATTTTGCTTGCATAGGGTTCTGAACCGTCCGCAACCATTTGTAGGGTTGCGTAGGACTCTGAGAGGGTCACTCTTGCTCACCGTTAGAATGCTTACGCAGGAAGCGAGATTGGTTACATCCAGACCCATTATCTGCCTTGTGCCATGCGCCCGGCCTGCCCCAGCTCGTCACCGTACTGTTTTCACTGAAATTGAGTTGAGAAATCAAAGCACTCAGTTATTGCATCAGTGACCTGTTCTTCATACTCAAGATACCGTGGCATGGTGCGGTTGAATCCATTTCAAAACAGACCAGAGTGCCACTTGCATGCGTTACTTGCACATATTTCAGGCAGTTGCAATATCTAATGCGGCACATCACTGGCTGCTTACACAATCTGTTTCGACCATTGTTTGAATACGTGTTTGTCACGTACGGTAGCTCATGAGTATTGGCCGCGCGGTACGTGTCCGATGATACAACATCCATATCGCGGCCTATCCTCAGATCTTCTCGGGCTCGACTCGCTAGCTCGGGGACTGGTCACTTCACGCCTACCGGCCCACTTTAGGGGCTGCGCCCACTGTAGAGTCTGCATAGAAGTTGCAATTAACGGTATTATCCTGATTGCAACTAAAGGCAGCGTTCCATCTAACGTAAGTAACTGTAATCTCTTGCTCTGTGTGCAGAGAGACGTATAGGCACGGATCGAAATCCCGTTGTGCTTGAATCAAGTCTGACGACGCCTGTCTCATGAAAGTCGAAACATGATCAAAATTCCGCGCGTCAGAAACAAGCATGTTTGCGTCGGCCGTGCTGCAGTCCATATCACTTCCTGCTGTGGACACATTGGAGCCGACCCTCTCGTCTGCGCCGTTGTAGCGCCCGCCCTCAACGCACCGGCACAACCGGCGGTCGATGTCGGGGTTTGATCTCTGGTTCTCAACAAGGTGGCGAGATTCCATGCTGTCGGTAACATTTGACTGAGACGTCGCACGCGGCGCTGGCGGACCGAAGCAGCTTAGAACAGCGGCATCGGTCACAACAACTACCAATCTATCTCGGAGAATTGAAAAGGGGCGTTCAGGTAGAGAAGAGTAGAGTGAATTTATTTGTCACGTGATGGCCACACTGAGAAGTACGGTTCCTCCTGGTTTAGAGCTATGTCAAGGACGCTTTTGTGCCACGTGCAGGAATCCCTTGTGGCAACATGCAACTAGCGAGACTGATCAGAAGATCCCAACGGAGAACGCGTTATCCGCTGCTAACGCCTCTAGTCGCTCGCGTGTTTCCGCCGGTTCCGCTCTTGAGTAACGGATCTCTTTCATGTCGCACCAGAACTCAATGGGTCCATGTATCTGGGCCTCTACCAGGAAGGAAGCTTCGTCCGTTGCGTCCGAAAACTTCCGGTTGACGAGTCTGCGGATGTCCGCACTGGAGAAACCGCTCAGAATGTGGGCAAAGTGCTCACACGTGGCGGGAGTGTCGAAAGAGGACATCGAATCGCCGAGAGTGAAGGTAGCCCGTTTCCGGACGTCCGGGAGGAGCTCAAAGAGGCAGTGTCCGTACGAGAAAGCGCATCCCTGGGGGTGTTGGTACAGGTTAAGCGCGCCGTATTTTGGGCGTTCCGAGGGGATGGCTCCCTTCCCTCTGTGATACATCCCGGCAAAGAGTCGCCTTTCCCCTTCGTCGCGACTTTCTCCAAGACTGCCCGCTGAAATGTGCATTTCAAACTGGTTGCGGTAATGGGTATCGTTGAGAAACCCCTCGAGGACCGTTGATTGCATGCGGTCGGTACGATTTTGCAGGATCGAAGTGGATAACGATGGGCGCACTTTCCCGGACGTACTGCAAAACCTGCGCGAGCGCGTCGCGCGCAAAACCCAGGTCCTTAAAACGCTGTGCCAATTTCGGGAGGGCTTTGTCGGACGCTTCCTTCGCTCTCCGACGCGCGTCCCGCAGAAACTCTTTTTGCGTGACCGATAGTCCTAGCCGGCCCCCAAACTCCTCGTCCGCAAGCCCACAGTTTAGGCCCCGGAACAAGAATATTCGAATAGGAATATTCGGAATTTTGCCGCCAGGAATTGGAATATTGGGCTAAAATTTTTCAGATATCTGGAATATGGGGTTTGGATTTTTTTGAGGATTGGAATATCAAGTTTGGACCAAACAGGCCAAAGAATTGGGCATTTCGTTCTGAGATTGAGCATTTTGTAAGAATATTGTATGAATATGGAATATTTCAAGCCCCAGGCATTGGAATACCGCCCAATTTGGAGCTAGGAGTATGGAATATCCAGATTCCAAACCCATATATTCTTGTTCTAGGGCCGACACAGTTTCTAGCCTGACTTGCGCTGTCCGTTTAAGTTGCCTTCTCTTCCAAAGACGTTTCCTTCTCACGGCTTTTCGCTGAAGCGTTCGTTTTCGAACTGGCCAACTCGCTCTTGTTCGAAGGCCCTACCTCTCTTTCAAAATCCAAAGCTTCCAAAGACGGAACGGTCTCAAGCCTCTTCTTTATCTCCTTGGCAGGCGCACCCCTCACCCTGGACTCTCCAGTATTCCGTCGAGCAACGGAATCCGGCGCGGCACGCCGGCGAGGGCGGAAATTGTAGCAGCCCATCCTCGACCCAGCGCGAGCGGCGGCGCGCTTTCACAACTCCGCGAGCTCTGCACGCATGTCTGCAGGAAAAAGAGAGTGCCTAATGTCAATGACTTCAACAGATTGCCAGTCTTATCTGCTTGTCCAAATTTCATGAAGCTACCGTTTGCTATATGGGCGCGCGTTTCCAGGGGTCGTCACTTACGAAAGGGCAAGTGCTTAGACAAGATTTCTCATCGGTGTGAATTGTCTGAACACTACTTCTTGGCCAGAGTACCCAAAATACCCTCTTCCAAAAACGCCTGCGTCGGTTCTGAGCGTGAATCGTACCAATCTATTCACAAGTCAGGCAAAGTCTGCGAAATCCGGGGGATATAAATATGCAGACATTGTTTGCTTTGCATTGTATGATGGACACAACGTTGCTTCCACCGATCATAATCTAACGTAAGAGGCTACGGTCAAAAACTTTGCCGGGCAAAACGATGGATCGCAGCTGATGAATGGATAATAGCAGGAAGGCAGGACTGAATGAGAACCTTGAACAAATTCAACGTGCACTCCAGGGGTAAGAGGGACCACATTGCTGGCAAACGAGGGCCCCCTTTCGATCGTGTATATACTTTGAGAAGCATGCTTCGTAGCATAAAATTAATAACCCTGATGACAATCAGTTCGAAAAGCAAGAGCTTGCTGTCCAGGTCCCCAACAGCCAGCATTGAAAAACCTCCGAAGCTGCAAGTCATTTGATTGCATGTAAGGGCTTGTTCTAAATACTCACTCTTCTACATCCGCTTTGCGCTTGCGGGTTTTCCCCATGCTCCACACCGGAAATGGGGTCTCACTTGGCCCCGCTGGTCAAACGCCAAAGCAGGTGACAGCTGGCACCTCCCCAGGATCGCCATAGGAGGCGCAGGCATAACGACGAAATGCGACAATGCACACCCGCATCTCAATGTAGTCTACGCAGTTGAACAAGTGTCCCGCGACTCATGGTGTTCGTGACACTCGGGCTGTTCGTCAAACGGCGATTTAAAGCACGCTGCGCTTGCCTGGGGCGCGCTCGCGGCCGCGGCCACCGGACGACGAGAGCGCCCTGCCACCCGAAATCATACAGAATTCCCGCTCTTCAATACTGCGCGTCTCTGTGTCCAATAGGACCGCAACGGATGATCCACATCCGTATCTCTAAGGTGAACGTCTCCGTCCTCCTAAACCAAACGGCAGATTCATTGAAAGTGACCCATTATGCATTGGCCTACCTAAACTGTAGATTGCAGAAAGTGCGCGCGCGGCAGCCGTGCTCAATTGCGGGCGGCCGCGCTGCCCCCTTAGCTACCTGGTTTTCGGTTGAACTCATGCCTGGGTTACCGTCCAGGCGGCCACGGAGTTAACTTGGACGAGGTCCTCTCTTCGTTATTTCTTCTCAGAAACTGGGATCTTTTTGAAACAAGAAGGTCCATTTGCACAGGCACCAGGCCAGCTCCGCAGATAGAAAGAGACGTGTGCCTGCGAGTTGGGGATACACTGCACAAGGCGGAGGCAAAATCAGCGGTGAGCGGAATTCACCAAAACTTCTTTGACTCATTACTGCGCAGCATTCTGTTCTGCGTGCTTTGTCTCCTGGAGTGACTGAGATTCTCGTGCAAGTTTGAACAAACGCTACGAACGAACTTTGTGAATCCTTGAAGAAGGGTTGATATTTTTGCTCGCTCCCTCCAAGTTAGACAAAAAACCCGGCGAAATCGGAACATAGCACTGGCACCAAAAGCTGTATCAATTGAGGTGCATTTTGTTCAGAGTCGAGCCTGAGATGTCATGGAAGTTGCTTTCAGCTTATAAAGATTCGATTCTGAGGTCGAAATATCATTGCCCTTTGAGATTCTGAATCCTCCCTCGTGCCGAACTTGTTTCTCCCTCTTTTTCTTCAGAGAAATTTGGAAGCAATATTCAGACCCTTTTTTTGTGGCAATTGAAGGGCCTACAACCTTTCTCAATTCTGTAGAGAGTAGTAGCGTGCCGTCTTCAAGCTGTTGCAGCACCATGAACGGGCGCAGCGTGTATGTGATGAGAAGGGCGTAGATGCAGACTTGCCTTTCAAAGCATGCCTTTCAAACGCGATCCTCGGAGTCCTTGCTTAGTGAAATTGTAGGATTGAAGAAGAAACTTACGTCCTGTCAGAAGGCCCCCTTCTATCACAGGGAGACTTGGCAGTCGATCAAGCTTGGATTTCGCTGATTACACGGTCTTCTACCAATATTTCTCAACAGCTGTTCCAAGGGCAGTCTTCTACAGATGGTAACTGTAGGAGCGAGGATTCCTCGTGAGATAGGGAACGCCCCTTCTGCTCATAGGCGAGACTGGTTGCAGGTCCAGAAATGCAACGACTTTAGGGCGACTCGAGAGACCCGACAGCAAAAGCCCTGGTGGATTCCAGGAATCAGGCGGCTCTTGAGAAGGGTCTGTACATGTTATGCACTCCAACGCTAGCCGCTTGTTCTCTAGAGTCACATTTAGAAACGGTTACATGCTCGTGCAACTCGACTGAGACTATTTCATTTCTGTATGCAGGTACTCGTCGGCTTCGAATCGCTAGGGGAAGTCAGAAAGACTCAGAAATCATTGGTTTGTGAAAGTTTGTAGTTTTTCGGATAGCTTCTGATTAGAAGTTTTGTGAAGCACTTGACTTTTGCAGTAGCAGATTCTCCAGACCCTCTCCTACTCTTTTCATAGCCCTCTCCTAGCCCTCTGCCAGCAAAAGACCGGGCTACCAAGAATGGGGTGCTGCTTCGGCGTTTCCTGGAAGGAGGCAATGGGTTGGAGACTGAAATTGCCTGCTCTTAGGCTCGCTCTTCCGGGGCAGCTTCTAACGGGGTTTACGCTTAGCACGCAACCACCCGCTTCCGCATTCAAGGCGCATGACTGGTCGAACTCTGCTATCGAGGAAGAAAGCGGAAACAGACGACTTGCCGGGTTTGTGCAATCTTTGGAAGCGCTGAAGCGTCAGCCAAAGCGGCGTCTTTGTGTTAGACAGGAAGCCGTTCTGCACGACGCGCGCGGTCGCGCGCGCGAGGCGTCGGAGGCGGCGCTCCCGGGTTTGCGAAAGCGGTTTGCGAGACTAGGATTGGGGGGAAATGCGCTCGCGCGGGTGTTGGAGTACGTCCAAGAAAGTGCGCCGATCGTCATTCACTTTGACCCGCGGCAGCCGTTTAGAAACTTTTCCACAGTCCTAGAAGTGTTCCTTTCGGACACAGAGTACCGGAACCAATTCGAAACGAACATATCGAAGGGCCATCTCGGGCCTTCTCGTGACACGTGGGAGCGAACCCTCTTCAGGGGAGTGTACCATCGGGGGGATCCCCCGAGCCCCGAAGTGCGCACAAAGTATGGCGCGCTCAACCTGTTCCAGCAGCCCGAGGGATGCGCCCCAGCAGGCTACGGGTCCTGTTACTTTACGCTCTGTTCGGGAGTCCGTAAACGGGTCACGTTCACGTGGGGAGACTCGTCTACCGACGCTGCACAGACGCCTGCCACGTGTCAGCATTTCGCCCACGTGCTGCAGAAGTTTTCTGATGCGGACGTCCGCAGCCTGGTCAAGCGGGGGCCGCGGACAAACGGGGAAGCGTTTCTCGTGGAAGCGCAGATACACGGACCCATCGACTTCCGCTGCGACGTCAAGGGAGTCCGGTACGCGAGCGCGGAATCCGCGGACGTCCGGAAGCAGTTGGAGGAGTGGGCGGACAAGAATTGGTTTGCCGCCTGTGTCTACGATTGAGTCGACGTTGGTCAAAGGGCTGCCTAGCAGTCTCATCTTGAAAAGAGTGATTATTTGAACCGCAAATGTGCAGGATGTGGTTTGGTATAGCTGTCCAGAGGACGAGGCCGACTAGAAACGCGGAGTCATTTTGCACTTCGAGTTTTTGAGCCTTTCCTATCTTCTCTTTGCTTGTGCTCCTTGTTCAAATCTCTCTGAGAACTCTCGCAAGAGGTGCAGAGCAAGGAGCGTGATCGTGATGTTACATGTTGACATAAAATCCCCTACGGGGCAATCATTTACAAGTTTACCGACACAACAGATGCGAGTATCAACATCGAGCAGAGGGCTAGTCTTGCACGTGTACACGTGACGTGAGCAAGTTGCGGCATCTAGACGCAACGCGTGTTGGTTGCAACAAGGCGTCCGTAGCATATTGCACAACTGGTGTATCATGCAGCAACCGAACGATGATCTCGTCAACGTCTGCAGTTTACCGACCAAAAGAACTATTAATCCTTCGCTCCTGTGGTAAGGACTTTAGTACGTCCCCATGGCTGGTTAATAATGTGGCATCGGATGAGCGAGCTGACCATGCACTAACGAAGGACGGAGTTCTGATCTTCTGTCGCCGCAAGGGGCGCTCTAGCTAAGAAAGCCCTCTGGGCTCTGATTGTGTCGCTTGATTTATCATTCGCGAATCTATTGTACCCGCATTCTAAAACAGAGTTGAATGTTGCAATTGTCTCGAGCCTGAGATGTATCGACCTCCGTTCCTGCAGACTCGGAAATGATGGTCGATCGATAAGATGATGTCACTCCGTCGGAGCGCGCGATGCCCATGACATCCATGATCCGGCCGCCTGTCTGATGCATAAGGTCTTCACAAGGCAGGCTTTAGCGCTAGGCCAATTGGTCGTGCCAGAGCTCAATGATATTCCAATTGATATCATGGTAAACTTACGATCCAATTCTAGCTAGTGAATTGGAGATTGAGCTATAGCTCAGCCCAGCCTGTCACGAAAATGCGGCCCGCGCATGCAGAGTCGACGTTGAGCTAACATGCATCGCGTTCAAACAAGTACACGATCATGTGCGCGGCTATAATTGTTTTAGCACATGTGCGGTCACTGCCGCCCAATTTGACGGATGCAAGCTGCGCGCGGCTGGCCGGCCGCGCCCTAGCGCAGGCCGCCTGCAGTGCGGCATGATGCCAACTCAAGCAGCCGTGCTATGAACAGCTGGCATCGCAAGTGACAATCGACATCCAACGAAACAAATCATTAGCTAGCTTAGTTTCGCACCATTGAACCTGAGACGGTAGCCGGCCACATGCATGCCATGTAACAATTCATTCACAGACCCAGCGCCGGGAACAAACATACGACAAGGAAGTTCCATTAAGTGATTTTCAATCATGATGATGAAGTGGGGGGCAACTCTCTTTAAGACGCGCTGCGAATATGAGCTGAGCCTCGAATTAATAAACACTTTCGGCCGTCCAACCTGGCTCTCTTGCGCCATCTTTGGAAAGGCAGAAACCAAAATGCAGGTTGAATCTAGAAACTCGATCCTCTTGACTCGTTCAAAGATATGGGAGCACCACTGCGCTGCTGACACGGAGTGTGCTGGTTTTGCAGCGACCCTAGGCAGCTCGAGCTCCCAACAGCCCACGTACACAGAATTCGTGACTTGATGAAGTGGCCGCCCATCGAAGTAACAGGTCGAGAAGATAACTTGCAAAACCTGCAAGTGGGAAACATGATTTGCACTAGCACTAAAGTCCACTTATCAGGCGTCGTGTCGAGAGAAAAATGCAAGGTTTGGACAGTGCACATCTTTCTCGGATTTCGAAGAAACGGACTGTTCACGGCTTATTAGGAAAACCACCAGAAACTTCCCAAAGGCCATCCAATAGCGCGCTTGATGGGCAACGCCTCGAAACGTCATCCGACGGAATGACTTCAACAATTGAACTAATGTCAAAAGCATAGCAGTCAACCCTGACTCAAGAGAGCCTCACGTTGACTTGGTCCCGATAAGAACGGGCCCAGATTATGTGTAGAGCGTCCTTTGAAAAGATCAAGAAGCTCACTTGGTAAATGCGTCCGTCACAATCAACATGCGATATGAATCAAAGAGGTTCGAAGTGCAACCCAGATAAAAAGGAGGGAGAAGTGTTCAGAGTCCTTACAACAAAACGGCCCTTTCTTCGATCCCGCTTTCGGAACATTGAAGCACACCGTTCTTACACAGCGGGCTAAGCACAAGAAATTTTGCTAGCAACGGAAAGTTTCTGACGACCTTTGAACGTGAACGGAAAGCCTGTCCTATCTTCCCTGTTCCTTTTCTGAAGCTATCACTGACAAAAGCCTGATCAATCGCGTCGCCTGTGCGTGTGAGCACAGATCCTAACACGTCGATTAAGCGCACTAGAAAGAGTAACGCTGACCTTTCCCCCTGGTCAGATCGCACCGGAGTATTCACCGGATCCCAAAGGACCTTGCTGTGCGGAATACGGATGTCAATAAACGGGTGCGTACCTCAGAACTCCCCGCCATAGCCCCCCGACCCGAAGTAGTCCTTCCTGCCCGCCTCCGACGTCGCCGCCTTGCGCTGCTGCTCCAGCTTCGGACAGTTTGCGATCCTGTGCCCCAAACCCCCGCAATAACCGCAACCCTTAACCCCGCTCGCTTCTTGCAGCGCCTCCATCTCTTCCATGGGGTCCTCCAAGCTGGCCAGGAAGGGGGGGATCCGCTGCCGCGCTTCTTTCAGCAAGTGCTTCAGATCCAGCAGGATCGTCTCGCTCTGGTTCTTGTTGATGAAGGTCGTCGCGATCCCCGTCTTCCCGGACCGCCCCGTTCGCCCGATCCTGTGCACGTAGTTCTCGATCTCGCCCGGCATGTCGAAGTTGACCACGTGCTTGATGTCCGGGAAGTCGAGCCCCTTGCTCGCGACGTCCGTCGCCACCAGAACGTCCTTCTTCCCGCTCTTAAACGCCTGGATCGACTGGTCTCGCTCTTCCTGGTCCTTTCCTCCGTGGACCGCTACCGCTTCCACCCCCTTGAGCAGCAAATACTCATGAACGTCGTCGACGTCGCTCTTGTTCTCGCAGAAGATCAGCACGGGCGGCGGCGTCTTCTGGAGGCACTCGAGCAGGTACACAATCTTCGCCTCCTGCTTTACGTACTCGACTTCCTGGATGACGTCGAGGTTCGCGGCGCCCGCCCGCCCGACGTTGACGACCACCGGTTGTACCAGCGCGCTCTTGGCAAAGTTCTGAATCTTCTTCGGCATCGTCGCGCTGAAGAGCAGCGTCTGGCGCTGCGACTTGAAGTAGTCAAACACCTCCCGGATGTCGTCCTCGAAACCTAGATCCACCAGGCGATCCGCCTCGTCGAGGCATAAGTACTTGCAGATGTCGAGGTTGAGTCGCTTCTTGGCTAACAAGTCTTTCAGCCGCCCAGGGGTTGCAACAGCGATGTGCACCCCTTTCCGCACCGTGTCCATTTGCTCGCGCATATCGATCCCCCCGATGCACAGCATGCTGCGCAGCTCCGGAAACCCCGCCCCCTTCAGCGCTTCGATGAACTCGTTCACGACGTCGAACGTCTGGCGCGCCAGCTCGCGCGAGGGGCACATGATGAGCGCGAACGGGCCCTCTCCTCCCACCAGCGGAAAGCGCACCTCCTCCTGGAGCGAGAACATCACCGCCGGCAGTGCAAAGACAAGCGTCTTTCCAGACCCCGTGAACGCAATCCCGATCATGTCCCGCCCCGAAAGGATCACCGGGAGCCCCTGAACTTGGATCGGAGTTGGCCGGTTGATCCCCTTGGCTTTCAACTTGGCGAGGATTGGGCCCGGGAACCGCATGTCCTTGAAGTTCTTCGCGGGAGGGGGGATGTGCTCGCCCTCGACTAGGATGTGCCACTTTTTGCGCACGTCCTCGCACTCCTCGTCCGGCATGCGCCGCAGGTGCAGCGGCGGCTTCCACCCCGTTTTCATCGGCTCCACGTACACGATCCCCTGCGCGCGCTCTTTTACCGACATCAGCTCCTTCCGGTCCGACAACTTCTCGAGCATGTCCCGCTCCTCCGCCGCAATCTGCTCCTCCTCTGTTATCGGCGCCGCTTCTTTCTTCAGCTGCACCGCCTTCTCCAGGAGCGTCGTCGGCTTCGCGCTCTCCCCATCCTCGTTGCCAGCATCGACCCGCTCCGGTTCGGCTAACCCCGGGCTAACCGCCTTCCGTGACCGGCTCTGCTCCTCCATCATTTTACGCTTTTTCAGGGGGATGTACTCCAGGTACTGCTCCTCTTCCTCCTGACCCCCCTCAGTTTGCGGTTCCTCCTCTTCTTGCCTACGCCGGCCATACTGCCGCCGGGGGGGTGGGGGCGGCATACTCCCTGCCGGCTCTGCCTCATTTCCACTCTGCAACCGTTCCGCTATTGCCTCAGACCCGTTCTCCATACTGCACCCTGCAATCGTTGTTCAGCGATACGTCCCACTCGAAGGCTGATAGTGGCACAACTGCAAAGAACCAGTTCTCCAAATCAGTGCCGTTAGCAAAGGAGCGCCCTGATACGAGCTAGAAAATTGCAAACTTTGAAACTAGGGTTCAGGACTGATCACTGGAGCCTAGAAACTCTTCTTAAGAGCAGGCTCTCGCCTTTGTAAGGACTTGAGAGAAACCCTAAAAAGCTTCAGCGTCGCAAAGTTTGAATGCGACAGCGTAATAAAAGTTCTCGTCTTCTAGTCTCCAAATCTTCATCAAAAATGTCAATCACCTCGAAAGTTCCCAGATATCCTGTCAACTCCACTGGAAAAGACAATATGCTCGTCCGTCACGTGGAGAGGCAATCCAAGTCCAACCACCATTAGTACGGAGGCAGCTGGAAACAAGTCAATCCACGAACTTCACAAAGCAACTGCGCGAAGCAGCAATAAGGTGGCGGAGCTGCTGGCAAGTACACCTCAGCTATCCATGCTGCCGCAGATTGCAGATTTCAGAGAAGACTATTAATTACGACTCCCGACCCGCCTCCAATGAATGACTCACCTGAAAATGAGCAGCCGTCTTCACGTTGTCAGAGATTCAAACTTGAGAGCACCCTTCTCTTTGCTTCACGCCCTTCTTCACGAGTTTGCGCAACAATGACATTGATGGTTCCTTTTGCTTGTCTACTGCCTGGCAGCTTGCCAACGGTGACTCCCAACCATTGGCATCATTGCTGTCCCCGCTCACGGCAAGATTGGAAAAAACCAAAGAGAATTCTTTGACACCAACACAAGGCAACTCGGAAAACATTTTGTATAGAAGGTCCCTGACGTCACACCTCATGCCAGGCTCAAGGGTCCAATAAATAAAAAATGGTCTTCAAGAAATGACTGGAAGCCTCCATACGGGGAGGATTTGCCTATAACTCCTAAAAGAGTAGTAGGCTTAGAAGTTAGAACTGAACCTTCGTCCTGGGTTCCTCGCGGGATAGTAGGACACCGAGTCACGATACCGCTGTCACTTTAGGGTATAAAAGCGGACATCTCCAGGCTCCGACCTTATTTCTTCTTCCCAACTTTCCGCGCTCCAGGGTTGACGGGCAGGGTCGATGAGGTGACGTCAGAAACTTGCTGACGTAGTATTAACAGGGTATTTTAATATTGGGCAGTGTGTTCCATCAGCTAGGATTTATCATTTGGGTCTTACGAAATCCGTATTTCGATCTGCTGCGTGCAAAAAATCCACCGGGCTCTCTTTCGTTATGGAACAAACCTCAACTTCCGGATCAACGTTAACCTAGCCTCTGGCCCCGGAGATCGGCCAGAAGGATGACCCAGTTGATGACCCAGTTGATGACCCCGTGTCGCAAAACGGGCAAAGAAGACATTTGTAAAAGTGTTCACATGCACTGTTCCACCAAGAGCTTGCGTCACTGCGGTGTACGCGCACGATATCGCTGGAGTATGATCAGTCCGGTACAGCCTCAGAGTAGCCTCCCGGTGGAAGCTTGACACAGGTGGTTTCAACAGCACAGTCCAGGTTTTGCAGGGTTACGCTGTCAAACCAGTGAGGTTTATGGCGGGCCTTGGCCCCTTTAACCACCCTGAGACTCAAGGGCTTGTTGTATGAGGTACCCGTACTACGGTTAAGGTAGAAGTATGGCAATCAACCGCCTGCAGAACCCTAGGTCACATTTCAGGTCACGAAGGGCCCGAGACTTAACCAAATTGAGTCGAGTTTTTTGCATTGGGTTCGAGGCCCCCAGGGGGGTCCTAGGACCCGGTTCTCGAGGTGTTTCGACCCCTCGAGCCACCCCTACCAACCGGGGACTCTTGGCTCTCTCAGAACTGGGGGGGGTCATCTTTAATTTTTCGTAGATCTCAAATGGCTGTATAAATGATGGCGGAAAGGCGCTTGGACGACCTCGGCCCATGCAGGGATATCGCACATTTTCGGGGGGGACGAACTGTAGAAGACAATTGGGGTTTCCAGTCACCCGTCTGAACAAAACCCACAAAAAACAAAAAACAGGGGTCTGAGGCCTTTCGTGACCCGAAACGTGACCTAGGGTTCTGCAGGCGGTTGAATGCCATACTTCTACCTTAATGCATATTGTTTTGAGGGTTTCATTTGCCGGTTGGATTCCCCGGGACACTGTGTAGTACCCGGTCGGTCAAGCTGTGCGGTAGTATGTGATAAGGCCGCAAATCAGGCTGACGTTGTAGTGTCCGGGGTGTCACCAGATTCTACGCGCGTCGCGCATCAACAATATCGTACGGCGTGCGATGCCGGCCTTGGTAACACTTCTGCGTTAACACTTTTACAACTGTCTACTATGGACTACTTGCGACTACTTGCGTCCCCAGTGTCAAGCTGCCCAGTGCCCGGTGATTGTAACGGTCCCCGGCCCCGCCCGGGCTTGGATTCCCCATAATTGAAATTTGGAAATCTGCAAAAGATCCGTGCTTGCAAAGAAGGATCCGCGCTATCCCTGTGCAGTCTGCTCGCGACTTGTGCTCGTCACAGCACAGCCTCAGGATCAGGGCCCAGGGGGCAATTCGAATGACATCATGTGGGCGATCAAAAGGGGCCATAAGGAAGCGGAGGTCCACCTGGAGGGCTGGCGTGATTGAGCAGGGCGGCAGGCCGCAGTCTGCCAACCCCCTGCCAACCCAGGGTCAGTGAAAGGAGTGGGGAGTTCACACTACCGCGGAGCATTGGTGAAGAGGGGTTTTTGAAAGTGATCGGATCAGGGGTCAAGAGTAGTCGAAGGCGGGGTCAAGAAGTTGCATGCTGATCCTCAGAGGGTTTCTTCAAAAAGTCTGCCACAGTTGTTTCTAGCAACACTACAAACAGGTATGTTAAAAACCCTAGCCCAACATTCTGGCATGACTGTTCTAGGCCCACAGGCCCTTTCGTGCATTTGAAGTAAAACTCACCGTGAGAATTGTTATGAGTTGGTCGATTTGTTAAGACATCTGAATTTAGTCTCTGTGCCTCAAGAAACACCCAGAGATATGGCAGGGCTGGCCAATAATCAGAAGGAGGGTCTTTTGCATGCAGATAGAGATCAGGCTTTGTTCTCTGAAGTAAGATGTTTGGCACAGTCCATGTGCGCCTACGATTGAGAGTTTGTCAGAGCATTTCAAGGATCTGTGTGAAAGTTGCAGGCGTGCACTTTACTTCTGCACTTGCACAAGCTGTTAGGACATCTTCTGTGGTTCGACTCTGGTTGTCTGTGCCTTGGTCAATCAGCTCTTAGACTATCCTTTTTGACCTTTGTTCAGGCCAAGGGATTGCTTGGGGAAGTGTGTTTACTTTGATCAGCCTGTATGAGGGGCCCCAATGTAACAATGTTGTCACATTCTTATCTTCGTTGGATCAGAGTCTCAACCATTTTTGCACCCTTTTGACAGCAGATCGCACAATGGAAGCATTAGAATGGTAGTTGTGATGTTGTTTGTTAGCGAAGAGCTCAGAAATGTTGGTATTCCGATGCGCATTGTGGCAGATTGTTTTTGCAGCGCAGCAAGTTTGTAGGCGTCTTTGCAGCAAACGGGTCATGTATTCCAATCTAGGAGCACTCCCCTTGCGCCTTCTTTTATCGCTGATTTGTCTCTGGAGGTGTTCTGAACATCAAATCAAAAGGGCAGGAGCATGAAAAAGTTTCATGGAACAAGTATCACTTTGACGTGTAGTCGTAGGCAAGTGGGTTGGCTTCAATCAGCTGAAGAAAGCCATTTGTCTGGATGTTGACTACCAACGATGCATTGTGTTCACAAGACATCAGCCATCGGTAGCATCCTCACGAGTCAGCTTCGGGCATTCTTTTGAAATGGCCGCAAAAAGGATCTGCTCGCTGGATGAAGACATTTCTTGACTCCAGAGTGGACACACCAACAGCTGCCTAAGGCTGAAGGCCTATTCTGGTGTAGCCCCAGCAGTCAGTTGTATGGGCAAGCTTCAACCAAAGATCCTCATCTTGTGTGGGACCAATTGCGGCAGCTTGTTGTGATCAATGCCTAAAAGCGGGCAGCACTATGAGCTGCAACAGCAAAGTGATGCCCCGGAGTTACAGACGGATGGCGTTGATTGGCTGCTCTAAATTAGTTCTGTTGCTCCGCGCAGATCAATGATGGGGCGGGACCGGGCCTCCAAGGATGAGGCGCGGCTTACGCGTGAAGATTCCAAGGCCACTAAAGATGAGGCGCGTGTATCGAAGGCAGCGTCAAAGCGCGAGGGCGAGCGGCTGCGGCGGCAGAGCAGTGACTTTGACAAGACGGATGACGAGGGGGGGCTGAAGAAGCACCGGTTCAAAAAGGCGATCGCGGCGACGGTAGGGGCGGCGCGAAAGCTGGGGAAGAAGAAGAGCAGGCGGGAGCGGCACAATGTGATCCACATTGAGGAGCCGCCCCTGTCGGAGCATGAGAAGCAGGAGGTGGGACTTATGAAATTTTTTGAGATCCGTCTTGAGGAAGGCGTCTTTATATGCTGCCCTGCTTGAGAGATGGGCCGACCAGCTAGCTGAAGATTGCTTGCAATTGAAACAACGGCTGGATGCTACCAGGTCGCTTGTTCTTGGTTCTTTCCTCGCAACCCACCTGTTAGTAGACTGCCCTGGGATCCAGCAATTAGCGATAGGTTCAGCAAGGGTGCCTGCAGTTTCTTAGCCATCTTTTGGTCAGGAGTTGGAGATGGAGTTGAAGGTTGTGCATTCCTGATTTCAAGCTACTTATTGTCGATCATGAGCCCACCACTGCGTTGCATATCATGCGTATCTGGGCAGAATCACGCCAGCAACAACCATTGCAGCCAGAAACAAATGTCCTGTCACACCTCATGCTTTGGAGTTCATTCGATAGGAAGATGAGAAGCTGGAGTTTGGCATGGTTAAGTTGGTTCACTCGCTCAGTCTATCAGCCACACAAAGGGGCACTTTGCTTGGATGACGGTTTTGGTGGGTTCCAGAAAATTCTTTATATTCTGCAGAATCTCTGACCACCATGTTTTGGTCCAGAAATCTCAACAAGAGAGTCCAAAAATTTTGTCAATCTTTGGATCTCAATTGTAGTCACCAGGATCAGAAGAGGATGTATTCAGACGAGCACTCAAATCGGAGATTTATGTTGTACGGTGGTTCAAATTCCTGAGAGGGCTCTTTGGATCTATCTACGGGCGCTCGCCGCGGTATTGTATACATTCCAACCTACTGAGCCGCAAACAGACCCTTGTAGCTTGGTTTGATTTTGAGCATCCTTGTCCCGTTTCCATGCAGAATTGTGTCAATATTGAAATTCTGCCTCTCGCTACAGGTTAACCAGTTTCGCACCATGCTTCAAGAAGCAGAGCTGCTACCTGCTCGCCACGACGACTATCATACGCTCCTTAGGTGGGCATTTGCTACTCCAATGGAGTATCCAGATGTGGACCCCTTGGGGCCAAATGACTACTTCGATCCATAAGCTTGCCCGTTTTCTAGGACGGTAACCAGCTCAGGTAGAAGCATTCTATTTCTGCTAAGGCTGCAGACTTGCTTTTTCTGATATAGCGGGTATCTCCCAATCCAAAAGTTTTTCCCCACTTGCATCTTGTAGAATAACGTCATCTCTGACTTGAACACTCTTCGAAACTTTGGTTCAGACTGTTCTTGAGCCCTCTCATGTCCAATTATTGGGTCCTGGCATTTGCTGTTGAGGCAGGCACATGCGTCAACAGATGTAGTTGTCTGTGAAAGAGGTAGGTTATTGATCACTTACGTTGCTTTTCAGATTCATCCGCGCCCGGAAGCACGACCTAGCAGCTGCTAAAGAGATGTGGACCAAGTACATTGAGTGGAGGCGGGACTTTGGAACGGACACCATCGAGAAGGTCAGAATCCGATTTCGTTAGAAGATAGGTCCCTCTTTTAGTGGCGTCTTGCAGGATTGTTGCATAAAAAGCGAAAATACAGTGGCAGAGCGTTCAGGCGTAGTGACCAACTTTCGAAGCTCCAAGGCTCAGTGATTCGGAGCTCTTGAAGCTGAGAATTCAGGACTGATTTGCAGGCTCTGTACTTCAAGGCAGGTGACAAGAGGTCAAGAGCACCTAAGACCCAGAGGTTTTGTTTTGTGGAGGGGTGCTCGTCTCAAGCCTGAACCCAAGAGACGTGAGGCTTATCACTTAGTTCACTTATCACTTAAATCTGCAAAGCTTCGAATCAAGAGAGGAGCAGGTGATGCAATATGACTTGAAGGCCACCCACTAGATCTGGAAAACCGGTGCGCCTTGGTCAGACCTCCAAGATCCTTAGTTCACAGATCCCATGCTTTGTCGAGCTTTTCGAGCTTAAAATTCTGATACCATTTGCAGGACTTCACGTTTGAAGAGGTGGAGCAGGTGAAGGAGCACTACCCGCAGGGACATCATGGCGTGGACCGCGAGGGGTGTCCCATCTACATCGAGCGGATTGGCAAGGTGGACGCACACAGGGTGGGTGCTCCCGCAGCAGAGCTTCAGCCACTTTTATTTCATCCGTTTTGAAGAGCGTCCCACCTCGGCGGAAGCTGATATCAGGCCGTCCGAATGGATCCTTGCACTTGTAGGCTGCAGGTCGTAACCTACTGATGTGACACTTTTCAGAAGCGAAGAGTCTGTCGGCAACATCTCAGGGATGCTGAGCCAGAATGATTGACAGAACAACTAATGATTAGCTACCGGCCACCTATCGACCAGCCATCCAAGATACGATCTGGTACGATTGTATGCAAGAATCGTCCTGTGGCAGCAATCGGTGACACCAGTGGGAGTCCTCACACTGAATTTCTACTTGGCTAAGCGAGCTCTTGACAATGGTTCATCGCTGTCGTCGCAGGTGCTCAAGTACACGACCATCGAGCGCTACCTGAAGTACCACGTGAAGGAGTTCGAGCTCATGTTCAGCGTCAAGTTCCCCGCAGCGTCCATTGCGTGCGGGCGCCACGTCGAGACGAGCACGAGCATCATGGACGCCGAGGGAGTGGTGAGTTTCTCCCCAGTCCTAGTTTTTTGCTAGCCCCGTTGCAAAGACGCCAGGCAAGTCGCGCAAGTGGATCTCTGGACAAATAGCGAGCTCCATGTTCCCAAGTTCAAAAGCTTTTGCCTCCCACGGTGTTCCAACAACGAAGAGCCACTCTGAACACGTCAACAAAAGTCCAAGCGTTTTGCGCTACTCAGGTCGTCGCCTCTGCCTGACCGTCAGCAAGATGCACGACGAAAACAGCAGATTGACGGACATCCTCGCTCTTTTGCAGGGCTTTAAGTCCCTGAACAAGCCGGCACGCACTTTGATCCAGGCGATTGCTGCGATCGATGGGAGCTACTACCCAGAGGTACGTTTCGTAGCGAGTCTAGGGGTGCTTTTGCATGTTCTTCGACACTGCCCCTCCATCGTTTACCGGGCTGAACTCAGGTCAATATACAATCAGACGAATATGTTCCGAGCTCCCGAGCAGCCCTCACGCTTGTGTGAGCACCCGACTCCTCGGGTGGACTCTGAACGGAACTCTGAATCGTCAGCAATCAACTTTACACACCTCGAGTGGGCTGTTCTGAGCACTTCTTGATGAACGTGCATGAAGTCGAGTTGACGGACTGGTCGTCTTTTGAAACTGGAGTATCACGATGAGTCACCTTGGAGCGCTCAGAAATAAGGAGCAATGCAAGAATTTGGTGGAAGGAACGGCAGGCGGACCGCAGAAGATTGGGATGGCTGGGGGACAGGACAAAACCGCGTTGCTATCGGCAATTCTTTGACGTCAAAAGATGGACGCTTCTGATTCGTTGTTTCCAAGCGGTTTTGCAAAGTTTGACCCCAAACCCGGTCCGGTAACCTGTCCTCACGCTGTTGAACTCCTTGAGGCTAAATGTTGCAGACTGGGCTTGTTATGTTAGGATCGGACGGCTGCGACGCGATTTCGGCCATCTTGAGCTTCTGCGGTCCGCCTGGCGGTGTGAGTCTGAAGCCCGTTTACTTGCCTCCTTCTGCAGACCATGAAGCGAATGCTGATCATCAACGCCGGCCCGGCCCTGCGGAGCATCTGGTCCATTGTCAAGGGCTGGATCGACCCTGTCACCGTCAAGAAGATTACGGTGAGCGCCAGAAGGATCAATGTTTTGTCAGTCTTTCATTTGACGCTGCCTGATAGCAAGTTCGAGTTGGTAAGAGCGGAGAGACGAGGCAGACGTCGGGATTTTAATGCATCAATTTTTGCTCGCTTTGTGAAGCGGTCCTGTGGGAACGAAGTCTGGTTGCAGAAGGAAGCCAGTGAGATTTTAGTGACTGCATCTGGATGAGAGATTTTGCAGTTGCCTGTCTGGCCGCTCGTTCTATCACGGAGTTATCTGGGTCCAGCTTCCGGACTCTGCCCACTTCAGCAACATTGGATATATCTTGCGCCAGGTGCTGTGGCCGAAGTAAGTGCAAACCCACCACGAAAGTCTGCATACCAACTTTTCGGCTGGGGCAAGAAAGCGGTCATTGGGCGCCCTCTTTAGTACGATAATTTAACACTTCTCTCTCGCGGCAGGTCCTGGGCACCAAGTACCACAAAGAGCTGTTCGAGTACATTGACCCGAGCCAGCTGCCCGACTTTCTGGGTGGCACGTGTCACTGCGAGGGCCGCGGAGGGTGCCTCTCCTCCGACAAAGGCCCGTGGACCGACCCCACCATTCTGCAACAGCTGGCGCTCCGGCAGGCGGCGCATGGGCGGCTGAGCAATGGTTATGGGCACCGTCTGTTGGGAAGTCAAGGGAGCGAAGGGTTCGGCCACTCCACTGACGAGGAAGGTGAGGGCGTTTGCTTTGGGTCGGCGGGATGTGGGGTTCTGAGGCGCAACTTACCTCTTGCCCTACTCGAGCGAATTCGAACACACCCCAGCTTCGTCAAGAGGCTCAAGAGGCAGCAATCACTGACGATCAGACTGAATTTGTTTCCTACACTAGCAGCTTCTAACTATGAACAGCCGTAGCTCAGTGGTTAGAGTGTTAGGTACGATTCTCCCTGGCCTGCACCCCAAACAGAGTGACCACGTGACATTCCGCTTCATTGAATTGAGAGATCTGCTACACATCTGCGGTGTTGTTGGTTGTCACCATGGATTCTGCGTTTGCGAACAGCAAATAAGCAATGCGTAATTTGAAAGGACTGGTCCGCTGCCGACAGCTGTGGGCCAATCTGTTGCGAATACTCTTTTGCTTTGGCCTCACCTTTGCCACAGACCGTCCTTCAAGCAATCGAAACCCCAGGTATGGAACACGTCATATTTCAAAATTATCAGGTCTGCTTCATGTAGGACCCAAAGTGTATACCCCCGCCCAGAAGAAACATTCTCCCATGAGATTCAACATCTCACAGGCATGTCAGATTCACAAAGAAGCTGATCCGGCGCCTTCGTTGTTTCTTGCAGAGACGGAGGACGAGCGGTCGCCGCAGTTTTCGAAAGATCCGTCCTTCTTCCGGCAGCTGTCAGGCATGAGCCGGAATGACTCCAACATTCCGGAGAGTGGCGATGAGGCGCAGAGCGAGCTGCCGGCGGGGCGCCAGCTGGCGACCATCAAGAGCGCCAACGCGAACTCGGGCGAGAGCACTCCGGGTGAGCGGCGTTTCCAAACTCTTTTTTGCTGATCAGAGTTTTGTTCACTGGTCTTTTTAACGGTATTGGAAGAACGATCGTAGGGAGGCCGCCCCGGCTTTTGACCAAGGAACCTTTGCAAAGGTTTGGGATGCAAATTTACGCTTGCAAAGGTCCGAGAAAAGAGCACACACCAGGGCCTCAAGTCAGTGACCAGTTCTGCTTGAACTTACGCTGTGGACGTCAGACGATTGGCAGCCAGTCTCGCATCTCTATGCGCAGCCATCCCAGGGCAGTTGCAAGTGCTAAGTCAATGCAGATGGCACTCACTGCTCAAGCGAGCAACAATACACGTGCCTACCTCTCACCGCGCTCCCGTCGGTATTGGTGCAGGCGCCAGCCCCTCTGGGTCCCTGATTGAGGCGGTCGCCGCCCAAGAGTATCAAAAAATGGTCCGTCCGTCAAACCTCAAACCCGTGAGCCCAAAGCCAGCCCCCCTGGAACTGCCCGACGACCGCCCAGAGCCCACCGGCGGCATCGGACACACAATCGTTGACGACCGGGGCGAGAACCTTAGAGATTCCGAGATCCCGGGCCCGTCGGACAGCGGCACCGTGAAGCTCAAGGCTTCCCCGTGGACCGTGCGGAGGTCGCTGTCGGCGGGACGGGGGGCAACGAAGGCGCGTCGATTGTCGGAGCAGTGGACGGCAGACGCGCCGAAAGAGAAGCTGGTCACCAAGGAGGAGGAGCCCATGGCGGGTGGGGAGACGAAGCCGGGTTATGCTAACCCCGTGTGGAGGGTCTTCCTAACCCAACTCCTCCCCGCCCTGGCGTCTCTCTGGTCGTTCTGCTTGCGACACGTGGCCGGGGTGGGAGAAGGCAGTAAAAAGCAGATGCAGGAAAGGGGGGGTGGTGTTAGGGCGACGGAGAATGGAGAGGTGGACGAGAGGAGAGCGCGGGCTGCTGAAAGCAGGCGTGCAGAGGTAAGGGTTGACACCGTTCACGACGATTCAGCGATGTTAGTGTTGGGGGCACGATGGGGTGGCGGTTTGCCGACAAGTTCTGACGATGTCAGAACATTCAAACAGAACTTTGATGGAGGAAGACAAACGGGAGCAAGAGCAAACAGCCAGGTCAACATTTGTGCTGGTGCAAATCTACTTGGATGACCTTGGAGCTCGTACGAATATATTCACATGACCATTTTGTTGATGTTGGGAGCATGCCGGTGCCTCCGCTGTTTTTCGCTGCCCTCCTGATTATATGGCTTGCGTGCTTGATTCCTTTTTTGACAGAAGGATCGTTTTGACGCCATCTTTTTCAGCACGTTGCGCCCTTTATAATCCGCCCGTTTTCCCAGCCATCTACGGCTTGTGGTAATCTCTTCGGCTTCGCATTTGGTCTGACTGACCCTAACGCCAGCGTTCCGTTGTTCCGCTCAGGCGAGCGACTCCGCCCTGGCGGAGCGGATAGAGTCCCTGGAGGCCCAGGTACGGACCCTGGCCGTGTCCCTGACGCGCCCCAACAGCCCCGAGCGCCCGCCGTCGCTGACGGGGGACGGGGAGACGCACAAGAAAGTGGAGACACTGGAACTCGAGCTAGAGACCACGAAAAAGGTGGGAATGCGCTCTCGTTCGAGCTCCACTGGGCGTGCTATTTACGTGTCTTCTTGGTTTGCGCTAAACGTACTGTACAGGTTTACGCCCACAATTGCCTGCTCCGGTAAGCCTATGGCCGCACCTGCTCTCAAAACTTCACACAGATTGTGATGTCATTGGACCGTTCTTAACAGACGCCAGGAATACTGTCGCAGTAAGAACCATGCCCACAGAATCACTGGCTAAATCTGAGCTCGGGATTCTAGTGGACGATGCACACACGGGCGCTCCAGCTTTTGGAGCAAGATGGCCGTAGTTCGAATCATTTCCCCGCATGTCAGGAAGCATCACTCTTTGAGGTCCAGGAATCGTAGCGTGAACGGAGGTCATTTGGTCGAAAACATCCCATGAAACGGCATGGCAAGCCGCACCCGCGCCGCTATGCTGACCCATGTTGATCTCTGGCGCTGCGCAGGAGGTCCGGCGATTATTGAGCAAGCAGAACGAGCTCGAGAGCTTGATCAAAGAGCTGCCGGCGAACGTGAGTGTTTCTTGTTTCTTCTTTTTGAGTCTTCTTCTTCTTGCCGAACGCCGCTCCGTTTTCTTGGTCAGGTTGACGCTGGTCCGTTTTCTTGTTCAGGTTGACGCCGGTCCTTTTTTTCCACTTTAGGGGAGTCGTGCTTTTGCAGGTTGTTCGACAAGTTCAAGTTCAGTCCTTTTGTCTGCTTCTAGCTTATCTTTTGTGCGAACAACTGTTGCATTGCGCGCTGCCGTGATTTGCAATGTCAGGTCGAGGAGCGCAGAGCTACTGTTATCCAAGTTAGAGCATTGTGTGCAATACATGACGGTGTATCCTGATGGACAATCTTTTTCTGCGTTATGCAGCGCAAGTTCGCGTGCTTCTGACCACGTCGCTAGTCCCGCTGGCGGCACACTATGCCACGGGACACACAAAGTCGTCAAAGGTGGGGTAAGGTCGAGCCGAGTCCCTGCAGTCAGGTGTCGTCTGGGAAGCAGTTAATGTCGGGAGTGAGGGTCCGTCCTGTAAATACGCCCTGGAGGCGATAGGAAAAATTGCGAAGGCTATAAAAATCGTTCACAAACACCTAAGTCTGCGGCGGTAGAGTCGAGCGACAGGAGCATAGTTTTTGAGTCGAGAATGACGTGTACCATAGCGCATGCCTAACACTGATAAATGCGTGCGATGGCAAGGTCGAGTCTGTACCAAACCGACAATTACGAACCGGCTGGCACTCCATTTTTCTCAGAGCTATTCCTTACTTACTGGCACTTGAGCCTGCAGGACGTTCTTGTGCATGCAGCCAGAAATGCGTCTGCTGGAATGCACTAGCTAGGTCTTGATCAGCAGATGGAATGTACGCTTGTGATTAAATGTTCTAGATTTGAATGGCATGTCATGCCATGGAGCTAGTAGATAGATGTTGTGCAAAGACGGAAATGTCGCAGTTTAAGAACGAGTTGGGAACAGGTCGAGGCTAGAATTAGATTCAAATGATGTACGGTCACGCAGGGGCGCATATGTATAGCTAGAGCTATGTGCACTCCAAATGAGATGTTCGACGAAACTGGGGCCCGGCGCCCCCAATGCATATAGCTGATGCGGGCAGCACAGCTAGCTTGACATGATCGCAGCAACGTCCGGCTGGCTATAAAATGAATGCAATGATCATGTCCAATCACATCATGCGCCACCATGAAGTGACCAGCTAGTGCATACTGCCGGCCGGTATCAGCATGCAAGATGCATATTCTGATGTCTGCTAGGTTATGCATGATCGAACCAGCTGGCGGAACTTCGTCGGTCGCAAGCATGCCTTGAGATGATGCCTCCATGGTATCAACGTGAAACCGCTGGTCTCTGAGTCCTAGGCATTCTTGGAGAACCTTGAGAAGTCACCTATCATGTTGCTAATTGATGCATGTGACCAGAGGTTCGTGCAAGCAGAAGGACGACCCTGGCTGGCTCAAATGATGACCCTTATGACTCCCCGAACAACTGTATTCCCATGCACTGCTCCCAAACAAAAGTCTCGTCAAAATCGTGCGGAATCCGCAAAAAGCTCGTGGTGCCTTGGTGGATTGTACCACATTCAACCTGTGCGCTGAATGATGTGCACCCCGCTATCCGTATCAACAATATTGCTGATTTCGCCAACTTGCAAAGCGTATGTTGCGTCCTCAAAGGGCTTCTGCATTTGGCCCCGCTCAAACCAGCCTGCACGAGAATTTCAGATTCTGGGACTTTCATGAACAGCAGATTCCATTGTGATGGTCGCTGCGTGTTGTTTAGTTCTTAAACCTGATAGCAACAAGGAGCTAAGTCTAAGGACACACAATGCTTCCAAAGCATCTTTCCCTCCGCAAAGTAACCGTACAAGCTAGTCCTCGACTAGTATCATTGTGAATTCAAGCTGCCTGCCTTTTGAGCGAGAAAAAGACCTGCCATCGAGCTTCCCCGTTCACAATTACAATCAGTTGTGGTTGTTGGAAGAGGTACACAAGACTAGGAGGAAAGTTGGAGAAGGGTGAGGAAGCTAGGAAACGAAAGACTGCCTGCAATCAGAGCAGCTCTGAGGGGGCTTTGCCTTTCGACTGAAGATTTTGCCACCACATAAGATTCTCAGCTCCTTAAGTCCCTCTAGTCACAGGTTTTCTTGATCAACGCAAGGACAACAAAATGCGCGAGCAACTCAAATGAAGAGTGCCAGCGCTTTTCTGAAGCAGATTCATGTTCGAAGTGAATGATCGCGCGCTCTTACCCATGTCTCCTCCCCTCTTGGCTGAGCTGCAGTGCGACTCGCGCTCCGCTAGCTGTCCAAAGTCCGCTCTCCCCTCCACGATAGCCTTCCGATACTCCGTCAGTTGCGCGATTGCGTCCTCCTTTGTTGTCTGCCTGATGTTCACACCTGGATGCAATCGGCCATCGATGTTAAGAGTAGCAAACCATTCCAGGCCAACCGCAAGACATTCGACGGAGAGGCCATGGCAGCGTTTCGAAAGAGGTGCATTGGGGCGGGTGGCGTGACTCACCGTCCGGGTCCTTCCAGGAGGCAGGCCGCCTCGAGCCCTGGTGCTTGATCAGCAGATGGCTGGCGCGCACTTTGTCCGCCATCACTTAACCCCGTTCAGCCAGCTATATGCGTGCGCTCTTTGAGCTGCAAAATGGACTTTTCGCGCGTTGTGTGCAAGCTGCCTCCTGTCTTTTCCCCTGCTTTGATTGATTCTGAGCTTGCTGATCAGCAATCCTGCTCTGAAGACTGAACAGTGAACCTTCGATGAAACGGGTGCAATTCATTGTCAATTGATTCCGAAAAAGGTATTTCACGGCGACTGCAGACAGACAACGGCATCCCCCGGGCATGCCGTCCAATCGGCTTCCAGGCCCCAGAGCCTGGGGCAAAATCGATAGCGGCCGGGCACAGTTTCTCCGTGCCGGTTTTCGGAATCCCGGATGCGCGCGTCGCTCTTCTCCTTGGGACGCTTTTCACATACCTGATTTTATTTTCAGCCCCTCCCCTCATTTCAGGAGTACGCAGGCGTCTTGCACTGCAGGGCGATAGCAGCAGTAGCGATCAGAGAGCTGCGTTGCAGGGAAAGCGCCATCAATGGCGATCAGCAGCCCCCGAGCAAGGCTATCCCAACGCCGGTTGCCCACACAGGGTTGCAGTCAGGGGCAACCAGCTGTAGACTCTGCATTCACCAGACTCCTCCTTCTTTGTGCATTTTCCCCCAGCATTGCAATCCGTTGCAAACCACTTTCGAATGCGAACTTGCGTCATCCTACAGCTGCCAAGTCGTCAAGACAAGCCGACGTTGTTCAATCTGGGAACACCGCTTATGCCAGGGGCCGAGACTGTAGCTCTGTTTCGAGATTCCTATTGCCCAAATGTAGGACGGGGCAACATAGATTGCTGCCAAACTCCAGCTTCAAAAACAGGGGCAGCGGCGGATCTAGAGGACCATGCGCCGCCACCGCCGACGTCAGTGCTGACGTCAGCACAGCCACTGAGCTGCCGCCGTTCCTGCCAAAGGAGGCGGAGCTTCTCGAGGACCCGGACGCGAAAAAGTTGGCGAGGCGAATAAGGAGGCTGCCAGTCATGGTGAGACTGCGAACGCTCTTATTATAATGCTGATGGTGGCAAGCCCTTAGGAAAGAATTAATGGATTGTCTGAGAAAGACTGCGGTTTGGGGTGTGGCCTCAGCTGCTTGGACTGTACTGCTTTCGATGAAAGTGGGCAATGCTCTGACATCTGTGGTTTCACTGTGAGGCTGCCGAGCTTGAGGATGCATCTCAACCGGACTTATAACCAATTTCTATATGATCCTCATTCCAGTGCTCCAGTGCAATAATAATGTCAACAGAGTATTATCCACAACGCACTTTCTCTCCCTTGAAAATTCCTTGGGGGCAAAGTACACTGTGCAGCCTGCTTTCACAAATCTCGCCATGATGTTGCGATGGTCGTTTCAAATCCAGAGGCGCCACTTGCAAGACCAAATTTTTCGACATCAGTAGGAGTCGGTTGTAAGCACCACAGCCCTGATATCTACCAGCCTTCTGCTTTCAATGTCTTCTGCTCTCGTGATGCTGATTGAAATCGTGGGATCTGTGGGTTTCCTGGAATTTGTGTGGGATTGTGACATTCGTCAAACTTTGTGGCGATTGTGGGGGTTTGTAGCAATTGCCGGGTTTGCGGCGGTTACTGGAATGTCTGAGCTTCTGGGTTGCCCCTCACCACTTGGAGACTCAAGAATCTGAACAGTGAAGCCTCCCCTTACGTGCTTACGTACATGAAAGCGGAATTCCACTCAAAACATGTGAGAACTTTCCACAGGCGTCCTTGAAGGGCAGAGCCCGTCGACTCCAGCTTCGAGAAGATTTCGGAGTCTCGGACAGAGGAGACCCCTCACATGTGCTGATATGATCGAAGACTTAAGCAAAAGTTGCGACCACGCTCAGAAGATCTGCCAACGTTTCTTCTTGTTTGCAGACGTCCCTGGCGGCAGAGCCCATCGACTCCAGTTTCGTCGGCCCCGATTGGGCCGGACGATCCGACGGTCCCAAGGTTGGCTCGAGCGACCCGCCCGTTGTTCTCCTTGCGGGATTTGACAGGTGAAGCACCCCCCTTATGACGATTACCAACAATGAAAGTCAAGGTAGCCAGAAGAAATGAGTGCGTTATGATTATATTACTCAAAGAACGGAATGGGCAATCTGAAGCCTGGCCTACGTCCTGTGGCTTCGCAGGTTCCAGCAAGAATGTTGGATCATAAGCTTTAGAAGTGTATTCCGGAAGCTGAGTGGGACCCCTTTTGGTGACCACATTCGCTCAGCTTAGCTCTCTGCCCTCATTGGTGATTACCTTCCGAAACAGAAGTCTACTTTCCCTTTTAGAAAAGCGTCAAGTGACTTCTGAGTCCTGAAGTAGAGTCTCTTTGGCCGGGTTATATCGCACCTTAAAAAACATGCCTCAGCGGCGAATCTGTCCTTTATTGAGGTATTTGGTTGCCGAGGGGTTTTGGATTACAGGACGCCATCTTTAGAATTACGTATCCTTTCGTAACAGTTCACACTTTTGGGTTTTGGCGGAACACATGCGAACTCCTGAGCCTGCGAGCTTTTTCAACCCATTTATGCCAATCGGTTTCTTGCACAACCGACAGGATCTCCCCAGAACTGGCTGAACAACTTTCTATGCTTTTCTTCGTCTGTAAGATGTGTCCTGACCTTCATCACAGTTGAAGACACCTAAATTCGCAAGACAACCCCACAATGACGCATTCGTCCGAAGTTATAGTTCTTGCGTTCAGAATCCTCCTCCATTGGTCTCCCGTTTTGGATGAGCACTCCCCTCTTGGTGAGCTCGGCTCTCCTTGACCTGTCGACTCTTCGACCTTCCAATCTGTTTCCTGCCTTTCTGTAATCTACATTCTAGCGCCCTCAACCTCCAGCACAGAAGGTTTCGAGAAAGTCACAATGGCAATCTTTCAACCAAGTCTATTGGGCCTGAACATACCTGAATCCACTCGCAGCTCGTGCTTGGAGTATCGGCGGCTTCTCCCTCAGCTCGAGCGCGGCGGAAGCGAGGTGTGGGCGGTCGACCTGATCGGGTGGGGCTTCTCCAGCGCAACGGAAGGGAAAGGTGCGGCTCAGGCGAGCGCCACGTGTCCCTCAAGATGCGTCGTGACGTCACACCAGAACTACCTGTTGCATAATGATCGCGTCAGCCAACGCCGCCGACGAGGTGTTGGAAAGCGCTGACGTTTTGGCGTGTCGACTTTCTGTTGTTGTCCGTTCAAGCCCCTGCATCGACTTTCGACTAGGAGACGCTGTCGTATCGAAAAACTACATGTCGCATGGACGGTTCAACTTTTCGGCCACGCGCGCAGGCCCTGCGGTGTCGTCTTTCGGCCCAGCGGCCAAGCGCGAGCACCTCTATAGCTTCTGGAAGACGTATATGAAACGGCCCATGGTGCTGGTGAGTTTTTACCTTTCCCCGTTTGTAAACTCTGCTGTCCGACCCAATCAAAGTTGCGAATCGCAGAACGATGTCACCAGCATATCCGAGGCAGCTTCTCAACAGTCGGCCACCGGTCAGAGTTTGGTTTACGTTGGGAACGGAACCAACGAAAGCCATTCAATACGAAAGGCTTCGCCAGTTTTGCATTTCAAGGGCACTGCTGTAGATAGCGCGTTGAAAGCTCGACCCTGACTCGAGTCCCCCCGTTGGTACTTCCAAGATGCCCTGTGTTTGTTTCGAGATGGACGCGGATCGTATGTGGAAGATTGGGATCGGGCGCAAGTTCTGATTCCTTAACCGTCTCAGGTAGAAGGACTAGCAGCCCAAATCGGAAAGGGCAGTGAGAAAAGATGTTCCATGTTTCTTCAACTCATTTTTGAGTCGTTAATGCGGGAACAGACAGAGAAGAGTAGCGGAGAAGGGATGTGAACCCCTGCATGCGGATTATTGATTCTGCGGTTCTTCCCGTGAAAGGCCGGACTTGATCCAGAACAGCAGATGTTATAATTGCCGGCTTAAACAGCACTTTGAGATCGTCCAGAACCCATCAAACGTCCTTTGTAAGGATTCACGCATACGGATGCTTGTCTGCATTCAGGTGGGGTCCAGCCTGGGGGGAGCGGTGGCCGTCGATTTGGCCTTGGAGCATCCCGATGCGGTGAGTTGGTCAACCTCTTGCGATGTCAAAAGTATCGCACACCATTTCAGCAGCACTAGATGTCCCGGCGTGCGTTTCAGAGTTTTGCGTCTCCAGCGGGCTTTTGAAAGTGGAAAAGAAACTCGTATTCTGAAAAAAACTTACTTGGCGAATGAGAAGTCTCGATGTGATGGTAACTGAGTGCCAAACAATCCGCCGCCATAGAGGCGGAGCAGTTTCCAGTCCAGTCTCCCGATTTGAAGCATGAGTTGTCCTTCTCCGGTCCGTACGACTGACCCCCTTTGCACTTCAATTGTGTTCCGGCTCTTCGCTTCCGCCACGAGTGCTTCAAGATTTGTACGAGCCGCCATGCAGCGTACTATGACGTCCGCCCGCTCAGAACTCCATCGTCTTCAACGTTCCTGCTGACGTGTGACTGACGCGTCGTTTGATGCGTTTGCAGGTGGACCGCCTGGTGTTGTTAGACGCACAAGTAAGCTCGCCGCTCGTGCTTTGCGGTTTTTAAGGAGCACGATTGTCTATCGTCCTTCGATTTCTTCTTGTCTCGGCCACGTTGTATCCCGCTTGTCAAAAGCGAGAATGACCGGTCTGCCAGAAGCAAGTAAGCAACTTTCGTGGTCACTTCTTCGCAGACGCTAATACTAACGTTTGAGAGCACCCTCTTGAAAGGCAAGGGTTGTCTGGGACTCTAGCTGGCTCCAGTCTTTGTTCACGGCTTTATCGTACATTTGTCTTGTGTGGAGACAGACAATCAAGAAAACGATCCGAGGGGGCCGCCTTTAGAGCTCGAACCAGCAGCAAAGTTTCCAGCTTTCCTACGATTTACCACTTCCCTATTTACTTTCGCCCGCATTGATCTGTTCATAGCGTCGAGCACTTGTGTGCGTTCTGGCACCTCTTCCAAGCAGCTCTTGTGACAACGAAACGGGACCCTTGCAGTCCATCTGAATTAGCACTCACAGGAACCCCGTCAAGCGATCTATGAAATGAAACCCTAGAACTTCAATAGAGGTACCAGGACACGCTCTTTCTCGGACTTACCTCTGGGCTTTTGGTGCGCAGGTGTTCATCGACGGGGTTGGAAATAGGGCCAATCTGCCGCGATGGCTAGCAAATGCGGGGGTGAGGCTTGGACACATTCTTGCGAACCCTGTGTCTCCTCTTTCGTATCCCTCCTGCGGTTCCTTCCTAGTTTGATACCGCCCTTCTGCTTGCGGGGTCTTTGCCGCTTACGTCAACGGCTCTTTTACAACATCCGGTAGCGATACACGAAAGTCATTTGTGCTCACTGGAATGATCCACTTTTGAAAATCGCATGAAGCGGCGGCGTTTTGCTGAACCGGTTTCACGTCGTTGCGGGAGCATATGCTCCTGTCAGGCCTGCGAACTCTGATTCCTTTCCTTTAGAACTCTCTCGGGGCATTCTGATTAAGAGAAAGGCCCACAGTCGCGTCAAGTGCACGCTACGACGAACCTGCTAAAGTGGCCTGGAATACCCTTGGCAGCAGGACTTATCCCATCGCCTCTCATCTTGAACGTGTTAGAATATCAGAACTACGGAAGCGCACATCTTTACTTGTACGTGAGTGTTAAGGACCGGAACGTTCTCTCTTCCGTCATCAGACTGTTCACTTTGGTAGTCTCAAAGGGTCGGACAAGATCAGAGAGCACGAGCATCGCCAACGTTGCCCGGCTGACCTTCCGCTTCGAGCAGCCCTCTTCCGGAGAAAAGGCTACCACTCTCGTTTCGCTGTTTTTGGAGTGTGAAGAGCGATCCCTTTTCCAGGTGCTTTCTTTTCCAGTCGCTCAAATCCCTGGACTTTCAATCTTTTTCCAGGTACAGTTCCTGCGAAGTTGGCCGTTACGTGCTTACGCCGGAGGTTTAGCCTTTTACAATCGAGCGGAAGCGACTAAGGGAGCCACCCAGGTACAGTTTCTAGACTTCGGGCTGCGGCTTCTCGTTTGACAAGGCCGTGCAACAGCGTTGGGAACTTTGATTTGATGAGCCCATGCTGAATGCTTAAGAGCTTCAAATAAGCTTTCTAGACGGGGTTTTGTTGAAGACTTACGGGCTCTTGTTTTGATGAAGCCATGCAGTTTCGGGTGTTAAACGTCAGCTCTGAACACGTCATCTGGAGAGGTTGGAAAACCGCCAGAAGTTTCGCACTAATCAGATTCTGTGCTCTTTCACAAGGGCCTTGCCTGAGCTGTACGCTCTAGGCAAGGTTACCGGAAAGTGAGCTCTCAAGAGATGGGTTGAAAACGGATGGGATCTGGAATTTCCGTGTCCCGGTCGCCCTTGTTGAGTCGCTTCACAAAATGTACCTAGTCCCCTTCCCGTGCGCATGCAATGCACAGGCCAGGCAGTTGCAAATAGATCTTGTAGAAACAGTTGGGCCGGAGCACAAACTGGCTAATTAACGACCAAGAAATGCAGCGCTGTCGTCCATATTCTGAAGTCGAAGCTGAACGCTTAGATGCCCCGTTGTGCTAGGTTTGTTATACTCTTGATGGAAAGCAGGAAACAGGACCCGTCCTCTCACTCCGCGGCCCCCAGGCTACAAGTGGGCAATGCGGTGTTCATTTTCTAAGGTCCGGTAGCGCTGCGAGTTTGCGCGTTGCAAAGTTTTGGGAAGTGTCGGGGAAGAGATCAGCTGAGAACTGGAGTGAAAATCACGGTCGCTCACTGGCGTGCAGGCGGGGCGGCTGCACTGTTTGATGCCGGGCTGGCCCGAGGCGATGATGAGCTTCATGAGCAGCGGCGGGTACAGCCTCACAGCCAGGTTGCCACAGGTGGGCGCACCGCGCTTTGCAACCCGAACTTTACTTGGTGTCTTTCTCGTGCTCTTAATGTTGGGTCCCGTTTTTTGCATCATTGGATATCACTTCTGGACCAAGGCTTGTATAGGAATGTTTACTGAAGTGGCAGAAAAGCGGGATCCGGAAGGTATCTGGTACCTCCTAAATAAGCTGCTTAATACAGTCCTCAGGGGCGCTTTTACCGACTTCACCGGGCGTACTTTCCACGTCGAACAAGTCGAATGGTCAGAATAGAGTATGAGAGGGGTGCGGATCTGCAGTCTGTGCGTCCTCACTCGATAAGAATGAAGTATAAGTAGCACGAGTTTCTTTTTGACGGCGCCTCTGTCTGTCATCTTTGGTAGCTTCAGCATTTGCCTAATCGGTTACCTCGGACTGGCTTGGCCCTCTCATCGGCATGAAGAAATCCTAGGAACGATGCAAAGCTGTTTGTGAAAGTGCTTGGATTGCCTTGGGGCATATGGGATGGCTTAGGAAGCCACGAATACGTGCGTAAGACAAATGCTTTCTTTCCTCACTTAAAAATGAGTCCACACCACTGCACCGTTGGCATTGGATGTCGTATAGACAAGCTCTCGGCGCTCTGCGCTGGGAGACGTGTGTCTGTAATAATGGACTTCTCTTTGGCGTCACAAAGGTGATTATTGGAAGTTTGTCAGGGGATCCCTTTCAGACGATGCGCGCGCCTGTGAGGCGGACCTTTGTGCGCTTCTCTAGAGAAGCTCCGTTGTTTTTTTGCTACGTCAACCTATCGTATGACTTTTCGGGAAGCCGTTCAAACCCCGTTGTCGTCTCTTGGTGAAGTCGCTTTTCAGCCAGGGGAATATTGCGGCCAGCAAGCTCTTTGTGCGCTTCGCAACAAACCGGGGTCCCGGCATTGGTAACGACCACTTTGACGGATTATGGTTCTAAATGATGCATCGCCATCCTAGATGAAGGTGGAAACGCAAAGTTTCTTGGTGAGCGATTTCGGGCCTTCTTATCGCCGTTTCTGGTCGACCGTTCCCCTTTCACCCCGTCACTGAAAGCGTCTGGTGTATCCTTTCAATATAGCCCCTAGAATCATCTTGCTATTCCGTGACAGTGCTGACGTCAGTGCTTACGTGTCGCAGTTGGATAGGCCCAGCCTCGTATTGTGGGGCCGCCAGGACCGTATCTTGGAGCCATCGTATGCTTTGGTGAGTTAGCCGCGTTTTATGCCTTGTGATCCGTGGGAGCTTCTGCTCTTCTTAGGCCGCTTTTAATGCTTGTATCTCCGACGCGACAACAGATGACGATGACCTGGCAGTTGGTCATTCTAGATGCTGTGGATAGTCGGACTGCCCGATGTCCGCTGCAGTACCTGCTGCCGCCTTTGGAATGTCCGAGCGTCTGCAAAGCCGAGCATGATAAATTCATTCAGAAAAGTTTCGGTTGCCAGACAATGTGCACTCTTCAAGTCGGAGGGATCGACCCTGTCGATGGTAGCAAGGACCCGTGCGTTCGCAACCCCAGGCCGAAACTCCAGTACATGTATCTTAATCCATTCTGGACTTGGGAACCACCGCGCGCAATGTTTCGAGGGTCCAGAACTTGTTTGTTTGAGGGCCGCAGAAAGGGCGTTTTCTTGAGCGCGCTTTCTCTTTGTCGTGCAGCGCTTTGAAAAGGAGTTGGCACGCTCGAGGTTGGAGTGGGTTGAAGAGAGTGGCCACCTCCCTCATATAGAACAGCCCGAATTGGTCGCCGAGAAGATTCGGCAATATGCCGCAGAGTCGCTATGAGGGACGCTGTTCACCGCAAGCTCAATGCTTGGGGTGAGCAAGGTGCAGGACCCTCCGCGTTACAAGCATGCAATGCAACCTTGTATCCTATCGCCGTTCTGTGAAGTTGCTTTTCCTTGGGGTACGTTCTCATGTCGGACTCAAATTCAGATAATGTCTATCTAAAAGTACCCATATGAACTTAAACCGCACGTTGCTGCAGCAATGGTGATGTGTGGTTGTGATCTTGAAGGAATTAATAGGTAGTGATGTAGGCCTCCATTGCAAGACTCAACACCATCTGTATGCACACTACCATGCAGTGCGGCGTAGTTCATTTCAATGATGCGACATATCACGCGGCGGCTGCAGCGGCGCGGCGCGTATTGCGAGTACGACGGTCATGTCATGCCATGTGCACGCGCTGCGTCTTTGTCAGTACCAAAGGAGCAGGTTATAAGTAACGGATATCACGTATACTGCAATTAAGTGGGGCAAATTAATGATTTGTAAAAGAAACCGTAGCCTCTTGCTATAGTCCGCGACTTCCGACACACTAGGAACGCGTGACCAGCTTGGCAGTTGAATGTTTCGTTGAACTGCTTTCTAGCATATACTGCTGCAATTGCATGAGCTGTGCCAGAGACTCACATGGTGATATTTACAGAAAGTTGAACAGGAGATGACAATCAAAGCCATCAGTGCATGTGCATGTCATACTCATGGTGTAGGCATACTCAGCTAGCATGGCATCATTACTCAAATAATCAAACATGGTGTAGGCCGTTACGATGCACTCGCGTATACTAGCTGCCCTATACCACGTTCGCACATGGCCAAGATTGTGAGCTCTAAGTAGTGGTTACCCGGCTGGGCTTGGCGAAAACATTGTTAGTACCACCGATGTGTCATCACCACCTGGATGGCACTCGTTGAAGGCCGGACAGAACTTACATTTAAGTCCGTCAGCTAGATCATTGGTTCAAGATCAGTGAGGATGAGACATACTGCTCAAAGCACGTACCGCTCCTGATACTCAAGCACACTCAATCCGCATCGCAACTTAATGGTTTTTGAGTCATTATTAAGTGACCATCCCCTTTCCAGCCAAACACAATTGTTTCTAAAACTCTTGTGTTATTCGACTTGACCCTGACTTTACATCTGTGCTTAAATTAATCACAACTAAGCTGCATATGCGCCTTCCAAGTTTTTTCAAAGAGGCTGGCTTTGAAGAGTTTGAATACCGGCCAACTGTAACTTTATTTCAATGTGTTTCATGATCTGAGTATACAAAGCAATTGAGAAGCTGTAATATACATATCACCTAGCTCAATTCTGCGGCGTTGTGCACCTGATGGATATAGCTTATGCAGCCCGCTCGGCTTTCAACTCTGTTCCTTTGATGCTCGTTCCAGCGAGGCTGCGTGCACGTGATAGACGGTCCTGCACTAGTTTACCACACGACGAACTGACGGACCAAAAACCCGAAAAACACTAGTTTTTGAGAAACAGAAGCCGCTCGCTAATCTTGCGCATCTGCAGCCGCAGATACGGGCTCATATGAGGCTCGGTACATGCAAGGTGTGCCCATTGGGGACCTGCGAAATCACCGTGACCCCCTGCTGGTTTCCTTTCATATCGCGTCGTGGGTTAGCTGGGACGGGGCTAACATGATGCTCGAACTGCAGTAGGTGCTCTACTTGGTACAGCAGTCACTAAAAATATGTACGTCCACCAGCACTCGATCTCGTTTGGAAGCCACATCTCCTGTCACGCCCCGAAGAAACGGCCTTCCCAGCGCGCTAGGGCTTTGCGCGCGCTGCCGCTAGGTTGCGCAGTTTGTATTTGGCCTTGAAGCAGGCCTGCCGGAACTTGCGCGTTTCATGCGTCAGTTTCACCGACGGCGCCGCCTCGATGCTGTTCCGCTCCGCCTCCAGCCGTTGGATCGCACTGCCAATCTGGAGCGGACGGAAAAGGATCGCTTTAGACGGGGCTTTGCTTGGTCAAGTGTCCGAAAGTGGATTCAATCAACCAGTTAATCGTCCACGAGAAGCTTCATTAGAACAAGCTCATAGATGAAGCGATACACGGGCTCGGCTCGGTTTCTTCTAAGCCCCAAGCGCCGAAATCAAAATCAGATTTGTAGTGCGCTTTATGCGTCTATTCCCTGGAACGCGGCTGGTCCTAGAAAGACGGAAAAACTAAAGGCGCGTGCGCGTCATCTACGCACTGCCAACGGGAACGAGCAGCTCACTCAATTACGTTGAGATGCTTGCCCTCACGTCAAGAGCTGTTGTAGGATGGGTATTTTTCAAGACATGGTCGTCGAAGGCAAGCAGATGGGAACAGGATGGGAACCGGTAACCTTGAGAAAGATCAAGAGTGACAGATCACAGCTCAAAACGGGGAGAGTCCAGGGCAAAGGAGGCAATCCGAAGGCAATACGATGATTCGCCTCAAGGAAAACAGCAGAGGGCTGCCTTACCTGCTGCTCCGGCCCGCCGTTGTCCTTGGCCCCCAGTTGTTGTACGGTCTGGATGAGCGCGTTCATGCTCTTGAGCTTGCGGTGCGGCCACCGGTGGATGCCCATGTCACGGCACCGCTTCTTCAGCACCTGCGCAACGGCCGGAGCCACGTGTCAGACGGCGAGGCCCACAACGAAGTACGCCGCGTTCAAGCACTTCAAGCAAGTGCTGGATCGAAAGCAAATCTGCTGCCACGGAAAACGTCAATTTCTCTTGGTCTAACCAAACGCATTAGGACTGAACTTTCTCTAAGTTTGCGGCGGCTCACCGTGAGGCCGACGCCCAGCCGTTTGCTGGCCTCCGAGATGGGCATGTCGAAATGCCTGGCGATCTCGTCGCGGCTCAGCTGCCGGATGCGCTCGCTCTTGCTGGACCCGTTCTCCGAACCAAACCCGGTTCCGGGCGATAACCCCGCGCTCACGGACGGTCCTAACGACAAGGCAGCCCGTAGCTCGTCCATGCTGCTAGTGGAGGATGACGTCGGGCTACCGTCAGCCAAACCTCGGCTGACGTCTCCCGCGCTGCGCCGCACGAGGCCCTGCTCGAGTGCGGCAAATGCGGTGCCGATGGGGTCAGGCAAACCGAACGGGGTTGGTGTGGCGGGTATGGCTAACCCGGGCAGGGTTTGGGGGAAGGAAGCGGGAAGAGTAGGCAGGGGCTCCCCGGTTCGGACACTGTTTGTGGCAAGCGGGTTAGATACCTGGTTGATGGGGCTTGCCAGAGAGTTGACGAGTTGACTAAGCGCTCCCCAGGTTAGGGGGCCAGAACTGGGGAGATTTTGGACTGAAGTTGGGAGGGCTGCTTTTATGTCATATGGAGAATTGACCGCGGCAAATGCTTGACTGCGCTCAAGCGACGGGTATCCCTCCGAAGTGGCGAACTTCGTGTCAGGGTCAACGTCGATCTGCCCCGGGTTATGGTTGACCCTCTCCAGGTGTGTGCTCTCCAAAGGGCTCGTGGCAGCCGACCATTTTGACACCAACGACGCAAACTCGCGCGTCGGCCAGCGCGCGGGCTGCGGCGTGCAAGCCCCTGACGTCAGCATGGCCGTATTCTCGGACGAGGTCGCGCCACGTGACGACCAGGCAGAGAGTTGCTCGGCGGCGGAAACTCCAGGTGGGGGGTACGAGAGGGACAGCTTCGCAGCCCCCTGGAACAGGGAATGAGATAAGGGGGCTGGCGGCAGGGACAGCGCAGGGGGATCCCTCGAAGCTTGGCCGTGGGGCTCGGACTGGTAAGAAGCGGGGACAGCGATTCCGGCGGAGTTTCTTAGGCTTCGTGCAACGGAAGGTTTTGGGGGTTTAGGGCAGGTCTCGCCAAGAGACAGGGCAGAGGGGGGGTGGGGTATGGAAAACCCTTGAGAGGGGGAAGGAAGGTTGACTGTGCTGTGAGGCAAGCCGCTGGTGAACAGACCCCCCGTGTTGTGGGGCATCTCAAACTGCGGGGATGGGGTTTCCAGTGAAAGGGCGGGGCTAGGGTTTGGAGGGGAGCTAACGCAAGAGGCTGCAAGGACAGCGAACGGAGGGCTCGGTCAGTTAGACCCCTGTGGCCGGAATGGCGAGGATATCTTGAGTAGAGAAGCAGGTTGGAAGTTCAAGGCAGCCATCAACAAGTATGTTAACGGTTCAGGAAAGACACCAACGAGAGCGATCTCGAAGCTCTGAACACATCTCTCGCTCTGTATCCCATGACAACCAGCGAAACGTGCAAGAGCAGGAGTTCGAGAATAATACAAGGTGCATTGCAGATCGGCAAATTTGTGTAGGGCTCGTTAAGTTGTGCAGATTGCAGGGACTTGCTTGCCAATGCTACAGGAGTCTCGTAGCACGAGACGCCCAACACATTGCCAGCGAGTTTGCACAATATGAATGCCGAGAGGCACTTTGCAGAGCAGAAATTGACTTTGAAGGTCGGGAAACAATTGACAAGCAAGTTCTTCAATCCAGTGTCGCAGTACAGAAGACAGTCCCACCTGCTGCTTGGGTGAGCGCGGACAAGATGGACTGCTCCCATCCACTGCTTTCCCCCCCACCACTCCTTGATATCTCTGGCAAGAAAGCGCCAGACAGCAAGCTTCTTTTCGGGGGGGGAGCATCGCCCCATGTGTTCTTAGAGAGTTGGAAGGCATGTCCGCCCCGTAGAGAGAACGCTTCAGGCTCAGTGATGGGAATGTCAAGAGGTGGGACTTTGAAGCCGCGGCACGTGGGGAAGCTTTGAGAGGCCGGGGTGGCGGGGGGGTGGCCGGAGTTCCTTCCGGAGGTAGAGGCAGCCTCAGACATGCTGCAAACAAGGATCAGATGGTTGGAACGCTGCAGAGAGACGATGCTAGGGAGAAGCCTCCTCTCAACAGAAGGTTGCCTTGTTCCAAATTGGTGTCCATCAGGTGTTGGCAACACGTATGAGCACGCATCTTGACATGGGAGGAAGAACGTCGAAGTGCCTGGATTGCCTGGATTGCCTGATTGTTATTGCCCCCAACTTTGAAATTTCAATCCTCGTGAATTATTGGCTACAGAATTCTGCCAGATGATACCCATTCATTTCTGCCTCCATCAGTCTGAAACTGCTCCACGTAGCCTTCAGTGCATGAGCCTTGCGCGTGAGTATAAATCCCGTCTGAATGAAAATTTGACTGCGTGCAAGTGAGAGACCTGTTCTGAACCTGAAATTTTCTTAAGCCAACTTCACAGATTCTGTTAGCATCGTCTGAGCGGCAAGGGTTTGTTGCAGCCTTACCCTGGCGCGATGCTCACCAGCCCCTCCTGCTGGGCCTTTGCTATTACTGCCTCCACAAAGCACAGGTCAGGATACAGGGTAGCAAGCGCTGGCAAGAGGGGGTTTCTGCAAGAAGGACAGAGGCAATAAGAGGATTGGACTGAGCAGTCTGATGCCCATACAATTGCAGGGCGTGGAGTTGCTTGAGATCGTAGGGTGTGTTGATTCAGCTTTGTGATGTTAGGATTCTTGGGTCTCCAAATTGTACATCAGAAGGATACAGACAACTGCTTTGCTTAAATAAGCTATTTGCCCCTTCTGATGCAACTCATCTTGACCTGAGAACAACTCTTCCTTCATAATTGAGTCGACTCTGACTACTCCATTAGCCTGAAGATGGGGAATTGCTGTGTCACAGTACAGAGCCTGGAAAGCTGAAGGGATTACTCACTTGGTTGGGGATAGCAAGGGGCACAAAGGTGGAGGCAGTTGCAGGTTAACTGAGAAATCCAGGAGGGACCGCCAGCCCTGGCAGAGAAAAGTCCTGCTTTGCAGCGTCACGTACAGAGTAGCCTCACTCTGACTTGCTAGAAACCTGAAGAGGGTGAAAAGGTAGCAACCAGGTTGGCGCATGTCCTTCTTACAGGTCTAGACATGATGACACCATAAGCCGGCTGTGCAGTGTGATGGCGGCATATGTTGTGCCCATAGGGATCGCTTAGGTGGCTTGGAGGAGTGTCCTGCTCAGCTGGGCGGAGAGAAAGGAGAAAAAAAGTGTGCTCGGACTCCTGGCCCCCTCAAAGATGAGAGAAGGCACAGCTCAAGAAGTTGAGGATGCCATGCAGGGGGGACTCGACATGGAGACTTCATCAAGAGGCTCAATTCTCACTTTTTTTCTGGCCCACGCAGAAGGCAGTAGCCCCCAGGAGACAGCAAAAGGTCTTGAAGAAGTGCTTGCAGTGCACCATCTACAAAGTGTATGTGCAGGCTCCGGAGCCTCTCTGCAGGATAAAAGTAGCAGTCAATGTTTGTCAGCTTGAAACGTGCAAAAACTTGGCTGTAAGTTGCTGTGAAGGGGCAGACTTCCTTGTCAAAAGAAATGCCCCTTTTGAAAGAAGAGTTGAACCACTGATTACAGACACCAGCCAGTCAATCCACATGGAAGTTCAAAGTACTCGTCTTGATGAATCATGATACCTCATCCTTCAATAAAGTTGTACAAGCACGGCAGCAGCTTGACCTGTTGCTGTAGTCAACCTGTCTCCTCTTGGGACAACAACTCTTGCTCAACAGATTACGTGCTTGTTCCAATATTGACTGCCAAGAGCCTTCCTGAAGCTGGAAATTGAGCCGATCAACCCTCATGAGAAGTACTTTCTAGTTCTTCCTCCAGTAACTGCAAATGGACTCTTTGGCAGATTCGGCATGGACAATCCCGTCTCTTTTTTGACAAATCTACTCAATGCTTGACACAGTATTGCCCCTCAGTCTCCCTAAGTAAGGGTGATTCATCGGCGATGACCCTGCATCACCACCTCTGATTGCCACCAGCTGATGCTGTCATATACCCAGATTATGAAAACAGAAACTTTGGAAGCCTTCTTTTCCTTTATACACTTTGTCGTAGACATGGCCCTCGCCCCTCCTCTGAAGAAGCCAGCAGACTACTGATCTGTCCCTCCAGCCCTAAGTCTACACACCCAGGCCGATCCCTCATTGTTCAGAATCTATGGTGAGCTATTCAGGAGTGCCTCTTGAGTGTGCAATTTCACAGGATCTGTATTGTGCACAGCAACTTCTTGCATACAGCAGCTAATGAGTTCCCCAAGCAAAACTCCCTGGTCTTGCACAGACTGCCCCACCAGGTTCTTGATCAGCAATGTAGATCCATCAACCAACGTACCTGTGTTAGCGGTGTGCTGGTAAATGAACAGCGACTCCAGGGAGTGTTGACTGGCTACAGCCCCATCATCCAGCTCCCCTAAGGATGTTTGATGAAGAACATTGAAAGCTGAACATTCCTCATTGGAAACAACCACCTGGCCCCCTTGCATTACTCACTCGAAGGCTTTTGCAGCTGTTGGCTGTGCTCGATTGCAGCTCAACATGTGTTGGCTTGATGCTTGACTTCCATGTGATGCACGCAATGCTTTTAGCGACAGGCTGTCCAGCAACAGGCTCTCCCAGAAAAGAAATTGTTTCTCGAAATCGACATTCCGCACCGATCAGAGCACACCGCAACTGTTTTGGCAATCAAATATCCACCTGAGGCAGTTGTTCAAGGGGGTGTAGAGGGATTGGAAACATTCCGCACAGGCCTGATTTAGCACCAGTATAAGTCAATCGTGATTTGCTGCCTTCTTCGCGTCTATTTCACCCATCCGTGTCAGAGATCTGTGTTGATCGGAAGCTATCACCGTCTCATTGGGGGATAATGGCGCCATGCTTTGAGTGCACCATTTGCTGCTTGCCGATCAGGACGCTGCTGCTTGCTGATCCCGATCAGTCGGATCACTTTGGGGGCTGACATCTGGTCCTATAAATGGTTACAAGGCGTCGGTAGTTGGCAGCCGACCCGACAGCTAATCCTACGCAGCATCTACTATCTAGCTAGGCGCAATTGTGAATGTCGAGGTTTGGAGGGGGAGCTGAAACAGTGCGGCCGTGCATACAGGACTACCCACCTAAACCATTAATTTGGCAACTTTGACGGGGGAGCTTCGAGCTTCTCACCTGTTGTTGCTCACCCGATCACATACGCAAACCCAGTCTCACGCCCGTTTTGAGAAAACCTCTCAAAACACCTGCCGTGTCGATTTGGACAAAATGCTCAAAAGTGCCGGCCGGTTTTTGAACAAATTGCTCGAAATAGACGGTCGAGTTTTGATCAAATCGCTCGTATTCTAGCTGCGCCATTCGAAGAAAAGGTTCGAATTTGTGGAAGCCCCGGGCACACACTAAAACCAAAAGGACTTGCTCGGTTGTCACTCGCAGTGGTGTAACCCTAAAGCGGGAAGGCCCGGTTGCCCCAGGGAAGTGCCCGGCTGTCCCAGGGTTGCCCGCGAGACCCTAATGTCACAGGCAGGGCCCGGTTGCTTCTCGGGTGCCACGGTCCCTAAACTACTAGTCTAGAGGGAAGTGTCCGTTGTCCCCGGGAAGTTGCGGCCGCCCGAAGTTGCGGCCGCCCGCTGCCCCGACCAACCACCCATAAGGGTACCGTCCTTTATGTACCGCGATCCCGGCGGTCTTCGCGATCGATGTTGTGGGTCGCGATGGTCCACCTGCATCGACGGTGGAGATTTCCCGAAAACTACCCGCACGTCGCAACGGCAGACCCGGACGGACCCGGTCGCAAATTTGAACAATTTGTTCGTATCGCCCGACGCAGTTTTGAGCATTTTCTCCAAAAAGACCCGACCGGATACGAACGATTTGTCCAAAATCGATCGCCGTATTTTGAGAGATTTACTCAAACTTTCAAATTGGTGTTTTGAGAGGTTTTCTCAAAACGGGCCGTGAGTCTGGGTTGAAACCGCGTACTACGTCTACGTTGGACGGTTAGTGCCTACGCGGCACGTTGCCCAGCTGGCAGCGGCCCTGAATGCTGCCTGCGCATGCTGATGGACATGAATCACATGATGCTCTACCTGCCAGTACCTGGGGCCTGCCTGGGCGACAGAGTAGGTACAAGCAGTTGTCAGAATCTATTCGCACCAAATGACCATGCCCATCATGGAACCGAGCTTGCGTCCATTGGCATTTTGTTTCCTGCAGTGGCTCTGCCAATCACAGCGCGTTTACGACTCAAACGGGATCCTGAGAAAAGCCTTTGCCACAAACAGGGGAGAATTTTTCGGAGTGATGACGCCGGCAGTGACGACAGTCTCTAGCGTGCCAGTTTATAAGTACACGTCTACGGTCTCGCCGCCGCCGTCGGACATTGAGTCACTCTAGGCTCTTGACCGGTCCCCAGCCCTGTCTCCGGGGCTTGAAGTTTCGACTCCCGGTATGTGGATGCCGGCATTGCCGGGCAACGAAACGGTCGGCCGATGATCGATCGTCAAATTCAACTTACCTGGCTCAACAAGACACTGCCATCTGTCCTTGAAAGCGCTCGGCAAATGCTTTTAGGAGTCGGCGTCATGATCGAGTTCGACGCTTCGCGACAGGGGCCTGACATTTCAAGATTCCGTGTACTTCGGAGGAGTAGCGCTGAGGTTTGAGCTTCAATGTTTGGGCACTTAAACATGGGACCTAGGCTCTGATATTTAACCTACCTAGGTTTGTTGATACCGTATACGGTATGATGTGTGATCCGTGAAGCATGTAAAATTGGGTTAGCAGGGGGTTCAAGTTAGCGGTAGGAGGTCACTGGTCAGGTCAAGTGTGGCTTTACCCTTTAGCCTGTTACCCTTCATCTACCGGTACCGGTAGTTGCTCGAATCCCGTAAAGATATGAATTTCGCCCGATACCTATTACGGCTTGGTACACTACCACAGTACCTAATAGGTACATTGAACAGGCGTACGCGGAAGCTCGGGTTGCGAACCGGTCAAAATGACAACCGGTTAACGTAATACCGGTACCTGGAAATGACACGGTAGGTACCTAGTAGGCTCGTGAGTATCGTACGACGGTACCTAGTACGGTACCTACTACTCGTAGGTACCCGTGAAAAATAGTAATACGGATACTGTACTCCGCCGGTAGCGGGTACCGGTACTGTATTCACGCTACGGTACTAAACCGGCCGCCACACTGGCAGCATCGGTACCGGGTACCCAGTACGTCGTGCCGTGTGGATATTACTAAATTTGGGTTATCATCAATTTCAATTATTGTAGACCGTGGAACATTCTCTAATATAGGGGTCTGAAATCTGAATCCCCGGGTAGCTAATCCACACCATGATGGCCATTGATGGGGCCAACTATGGACCTGCCGACCAGTTGTTATGGCCGGGGGATAGGCCGCATGCGCATTACGATAGTTGCAAAAGCGCGTACGTGCAATCAAGGTACCTTAATTCCGAAATTCTCTTCGTGTAATCGGCCGGCGTCCTCAGATCTCTCCGACTCGACTCTCAAACGTTCTCTGGCAAATTCTGCGAGCTAGGACAGGTAGCTACTACCGGTAAGTTCAATGCCTACCTGGCCTAGCAATTCCCGGGCCCTCCTTGATCGTAACCAGTGTTAAGATTAACTTTTTGGGATGGGAGCCCTGGGTCACCCTGCCGGTCATTTTCGGGTGCCCGGTGGGCACCCCAGGGGCCCGGATTGGGTGCCCAGTGTACCCTTGCGGCTGGCCCCCTGGGGCGCGCCATTGGGTGCCCCAAGCGGGCGCGGCCACCCCGGGCCCAGTGGAGCGTCGTTTCTTACATGGTTGGTGCATAACCGTGTGCAAGCTTTTGATGCGCACTGAGTGCGTTTGAGATTCTCTTGCAGTGTCATGTTTTAGAAGCCGGTACAGCTGTACAGTTTACAATAGTAGCACTTGCAACACTGGCCCCGTGTGAGTTGGATGTCAAACTGGGAACCCAGTGTTCCACAAGGACTGCTGGTTGGGGGCCCTGCTGACTGCAATCAGCCCCCGAGTACACAGAAAACCGAGGACTTGTGGAGTAGTGTGAATTATAGAGTCTCAGATTATAATACTGGCCTGAGTAATCTGCAAGAAGGGTTTCACACTTTTGTTCAAGGTACTCCCGAGGGCACCTTGGAACCCAACTTTGGGTGCCCGCCCGGGCACCCTGGCACTGTTCGTTGGGTGCCTGTTGGGCACCCTGAGGACCCCCTTCGGGGGTCCCGGGCGGCCATTGGGTGCCATTTTACCAGGCGCCGGGCACCTAATCTTAAAACTGATCGTAACCGTTGAACCTGAAATGCATGCAAGATCGTGATCTCGATTGTGGACATCCAGGACAAACCGTTGAACGACATCCTACTCAAGCCCGGCAGAGGAATCTCGATGTACAGATTGCATGGAAGCTCGAGCTCCTCTACAACAAAGTGTTTGACTTATTGAATCTCAAAGAATTGCGAATATAGGAGGTTGGAACCGCGTGAAGTGTACTAGCGTTTTTCGCAGGATTCGATGCCGATGAGTCTTTTTAGTCGTTTCCGGCCCGCTTTCGGCAGCCCCAAGTCGACCTGCGGTTCTAGATCCATATGAGGAATTTCGGCTGGTTAAAAACATTTCTGCAGGTCGTATGTCTATTCATCAACGCAATTGAACTTTGACTAGTGGCACAACCGCATTAGCTGATAGCCTATGCAAAATGCGCACTTGTTCCTACATACGTCACACGTGCTAACATTAATAAACATGTGTGACCATGATGACGCGTACACACTGGGCCGCGTCACTCTCTAATGACTAATTTGTAATGTGCATCGTCAGCATCACAATGATGCCCGCACGTAGCAAGCATCAAGAAAGGAAGAAGGGAATGCAAGTGGTCGAAGGAATTATTACGCCCCACCAAAGTCATCATGGCTCTGACATGTTGAAGTTAAATACAAGCCGATACCAATTGATTCCGAATCTCATTGAGACGTACGTGAGGATGAACAATCTGAGGACACCACGCTCATCAGGTGGAGACGTGGGACTCCTATACCTGGCGATGGTCGCCGGAGCGCGGGTGCCAAACCGCACGGCGGCCCCTGGGAGGCGGCGACGACCTCGACTTACGAGGAATTATACACCCTTTTAACCCCTCACGCGGCATGACCCGTAGTGCGTTTGCGAGGGATCGAACCCAGGTCCCTCGCAGGCATTGACGTCATCATTTCATCACCCAGTGAAGGGGAAATCCCTACGCCTGAGCCGCTAGACCAAGCGTAGGATGACGTACGTACCGTAGTACGTACCCACTTAACGGCGTGAAACTGAGAGCAGATCTTTGATACCGTATGATACTTCCTACTCCTGAGAGAGATGCGGTGTCGCAGAAGTTCGATCGAGCACTGAAAACACCAGAACACTGATCCACTCCACTGCTGAACAACACACGCTCCAAACGCTCATTGATCATGAACACGGAACTGATGAGACTGAAGTGGATTTCTATGCAGAATCGATCGATCAGTGCATGGACGGGTTCGGCCGACATGCAACCTACTGCACAAAGCTCTCTTTTTGATTCAACTACCAAAATTCTACGTGCTATCGTACTACTAGGCGGGCAGGCGGGCACTTGGTTCGGGGCTTGGGCGCATCGTCAGAACACATGTGCAAGGGCGTCCGGAACTCCGAAAATGGGCCCTCGATGGGGGGGGGCTGGTGGCTGGTGGGGCCAACATCTAGAGGGGAAATTACCCCTAGGTAAACTCGTGCATCCAAAGGGGAGGGGGGGGCTGGTGGCCGGTTTTATTTTCGGAGTTCCGGACGCCCCTGCACACATGTCTTGACACGATGCCTTGGTTGTAAACTGGTATTAACAGAGGTATTGGTTATAATGTCCCGGCCACAATGAGTTAGTCAATAGTTAAAATAGGTCAATGGTGACAGAGCCTTAATGCAATCTTTGTGGTCCTCTAGTCGATCTTCAGCTCAAACTTCTTCCCCACTTCTTCACTCGTCTATAAAGATGATTCCAATGACATGGACCACGTTGAGTGCACAACTTGAACTTTGGCAACTGAGTGACTCGTATGGACAGCTCGCCTTAGACGGTTGGTGTCGGGCGTGGAATTCCGGAGTCACTGTGTACATTCGACGGTTGTCGACATACTTACCTCATAAGTTGGATCGTAAGGCCTGTACTAGCCACGTGCATCCATGCATTTTCTACTGGAATCCGAGTCTGACTCGGAATCTTGCATGGTGGAGCATGCGGCAGTATAGATGCACGCACTGCAACATGTCGGATATCGAGCAGTGAGCTGCTCACTGAGGACCGTCAAGTCGGACTCCCCACGTGCCGCCTATAGCTTTAACAGCTGGACGGGGCCTCATGCATGGGACGTTTAGCTACGATTATACATTGGGGTTTTCAAGTCCCAAGCACAAAGCCCGGTTATATATGGATGCATGTGGAATTAGAACATGTGCAAGCGAGTATAAAGGCATGCGTAGACTCGCTAAATTGCATGATAAAGCAACGCGCCGGGTTTGGAAAGGCCAACTTATCGCTCATGCAATCCGACAACCGTTGAACGTACATCATTGGCAATGCATGTCATGCAAGAGACTAAGTCGTTCTGCGTCAACATCTGAAAGCTCAGCACTGCATGCGCCATGCCAAACTAGAAGTAGACCATCAATATACCAATATATGATGTTAAAACCGCGTGTCGATATTCACGACCGGTCCAATGCACGCAATAATGTGACCATCCAAGCCCCGCTTCGAATGCAACAATGCACGCCTTCATATACTTACACGAATTCCAGACCCCGATCCTAGTGTTAAGTTCTGTCTTGCCTAATGATGTACAATTGCTTTCTCTTGTGCGATTGAACGCCACTCTTGCGAGCATTGGTTTGAGGTTGAGACTCAAGACACCAAACAACTCGATAACACCTAGCAACAATAGTACAGCAATCTGTGACACGCGGCACGTCGCAGGGCAGGCAGGCCGGGTCGCAAAACAGACGCCGAGTCATCTTCCGTATGTGGCAACTAAGAGCATGCCGCAATGTTATGCGGAAGGCGAAGAGCAACTGCTCTCTCGCGTCACAGTAAAATGCACGCGCAACACCCCGCCGTTTCCGCGTCCTTAAGATCAGACACGCCGCTGTCCAGTACGTCCTCGAGCCACTTAACAACCGTGTTGAAGTCCGGCCGCCGCTCGGGCACGGGGTCCCAACACCGCTCCAGAATGTCCGCTAGGGGCTTCGGGATGCCCGCGAGGGGGGGGCGAGCGTTCTGGAATCGGAGGCGAGAGGCGTTTACGATTTAAAGAAGGAGACCAAATGAAAGGGGGGTGAATGTTCCGGGAGAGGAATGACAAACACCTTCTCAGGTTCAATGCAACAGTTTCTCGAATAGAATGATGTGCCGTCCTAAGCTTCCACGGGGGTTGCGCAAGAAGGCGTTACACTGTGATGATAAGACAGGGAAGGCAAACGTAATCATGCATTTCACTGTCGCTTCATTCCCTATCTAGGATTAGACTGCATTTCAACACGACCTACTTCCGTTTCTGCGAGGGGATTAGAAGTTGGGCCGAAGATGACAAGATCATAGACAGGGCCCCGGTCCACGAATCGAAGCGTTCTGAAACATTGCCGACCCAAACGACAGCCGTAACTACCACTTTCTCTAATCGTTTTTGAAGTGAAGTTGGCTGGGCGGCGCAGGCGAGAAGAGCCCAACCCAACCCGTCTCTAAAGGTGTTACTTGGCACTTGTCAACAACGACGTGAGGGTAGTATTTAATAAGACGGCAGACTTCACAGCGTTGACAAGTCCACAATGCAGAGGCGGGCATTGATTCCAGGAGGTTGAATGCCAGATTCGAAACACGAGCGGGCAACATTCGAGAGGTTCTGTTAGAGTTACGCTCCCATCCTCATCCAAGCTGCCCGGCTTGGCAAAACCATACATGGATACAAATTAGCAACCGAGAAAGGGGGAAAGGCGACCGGCCGGAATCATACACATCAGAAGAGGGGCATTCCTCGGTTGTCGAAAATTGAGCATATGAAGTCAAACCTTACCCCATCCTCGCATTGAGAAACGCCGAGCTTACGTCAGACTCAGAAGAACGACTATGGAACAGCCCTGAGACCCATGCATCAGCGCCAGAGTCTGAATCAAGTTTAGGCTCACATTCGGCTCGCCTGGCTGCTTTTGAGCGCCTCGCTTCGGCGCAAAACGTCCAAAGTAGGGGAAGCGAGTTTTTCGTATTCTAAGAGAACCTGCTCTAGCGGCAGAAGAACACGTCAAAACAAACCTTCGCAATTGAGTCCCGATACTAACGTCTCAAAACCCGTGAAATTGCGCCTGTAGCGAGGTAGCCTACTGGTGTAAAGCTAGATGCCCAAAACACCACGTATTGCACAACCCCACAATCCGAAACCTTCAAAGATCAGAAGAAGAGTTTGCGGCAGCTCACACTTGCAACGACGGCGTGCGCGAGCTGCACGAAGGAGAAGCCCTCGAAGGGCAGCTTCATGGAGAAGATCTCCCACGCCACGATGCTGAACGAATACACGTCCACCTTGCGCGTGTACGGCCGGTGGTCAATCACCTGCGCACGACATCAGGCTTGAGATACAGTACCCAATGTCCGGTTGGGCAACAATTAAATATTCTTTGACTCGCCCAAAAATTTGAATAAAAAATAAATCCCAAATCAAAATCTACAATCATTTTGCCCCGTACGAAAACGAAATAAAATAGTAGAATGAAGCTGCCCAAATTCCGTAGCATGCGAAATTAAGCACTAGGCAAAAATTTGCCCCACCGGACAATCGGTACGGGTATGTTCAGGCCTGATCTAGGGTTCTGAAACTTTTGTCATGTTCTACAAACCCAGGTGAGTTCGTAGTGAGACGGCTTGACGTGCTGAGGTGACGCGTCCAAGGCCCCGTACTCTTGACTGCGTAGCTTCGTGGTGACGGCACCTCCTTTTTTGAGTTGCCCGGGAGTTGAGAGTGCCATGCCGCTCTTGACCAGGGCGACCAGACCGGTGGGACAAAGGGCATAAAGTCGCCGTGGATGCCAGTAGATGGCGCAACTTAAGAACCAAAACCGTCTGCCAATCCTTCTGATTTTAAGAAGCAACCAGTAGTCACCACTGAGCAGGAAGAAGTGAAAAACTCGTCACCGTCTCGCTGCACCGGCCTGGCCCAGGCCCGTTCGAATGTTCCATTAGTCCAGGGTACAACTGAGGAAGCTCGCACGCAGACAAGAGGAGATCAGCAGTTTAAATGACTGAAAGAGTGAAATTGGGGAGAGGCGCTGGAGCTTGTGTGCGCATGGAGGATGTATAGGGCGATCGCTGGAAGAAGAAAAAGTACGGGGAAAATGATAGGAGAGGAAAGGATAGTGTCAGCAGATTTCGATATAGCCGCAGAAGGACTCTGGTAAATCGAAATAAGGAGTGAGGCCTTCTTCTTTAATGGCCGTAACCTTCTTTGCTGGTGTCAGTTCCGCACCGCACCTCGACACAAAAACCCCGAAACCTGAGCCACGACACTCAAACACTCCTCATTTTTTGGAGAAACGTTGCAGCGCGGCGCGGCGCAGCTCAGGTGTCACCCAATGAATGTTGCCTGTTCACAGCGCACCTCGATCCAACAACTTCAAAGGTTCCCAAACCTCGAAACTCCCAAAATAATTGAGTTGAGTCGGTGTGTGCAGCGCACCTCGGGGGCCATTTCCTCAGTTTATGCCTGCCTTGCGGCGCACCTCGCGCCAACACCCCTGACATTCGACCCTCGAAACTGGACATCCCTAGGACCATTAAGGTGTTGGGGCCGCGCACCTCAGGGGCCATTTTTCGGACGTGCCTGTCTCGCGACGCATCTCAAAACGAAGTCTATGCTGCCTGTTTCACGGCTCGACCCAAGAACCCAAAACCCCAAAACTAGAAGGCGAGCATCGCAGATGAAAACCGTTGCTGTAGCGGCGCACCTCGGGGGCCATCCAGCGGATGGTGCCTGTTTCGCACGTCATGTCCCCCGGGTCTGCTGCCTCCTGGCGCGCCAGCCCAAAGTCGGCGACCTTGACGCGGTACGAGGGGTCGATCAGCAGATTGGCGGACTTGAGGTCGCGGTGCAAAATGTCCTTATTATGCAAGTACCTAGGCAGGAGACAACGACGCACGTCAGCCAGGGGTCTATCGGGGGAAAAAAGGTGCGATGAGGGATTTGCGTAGCTTGGAAGATTCAAGGTGGAGGTTTTGCTAGGGAGCCTACTGCCAGGACTCCATTCAAAGGTGGCTGAGATGGTGTAGGAAAAGGGGAGTTGCGGACGCTCGCAAATCTCTGTTATTCAGAGGCCTAGAGGCTGACAGGTAAATGCTGAAAGTCCTATGTGCGTAAGCGTGGGCAGGCTGGAAAAGAAATGGCAGAGAAGTCAGGTTTTCGCCTAGAACGAGATATGGGCTCCAAAGCTCCAGTAGCAAAGGCGGCAGAGGAAGCTAGCGTTGCAGTTCATGTAGGTACGCGGATCTACGCGCACATTCTGCGCTGATAGCACGGCTGTAGAATGAAGAGTCGATGGTATTTCACATAGCCTCAACCTTGAAATGACGCCAGCCTCAACGCGCCAAGACAAGCATTCCCCTAGCGCATGACAGATTTTGTTTCTTTAAAAGCGGGTAAAGTCCGAAAACGGACAAAGCTCGAGCAGCGTAGGCACCAAAGCTGCCGCCCAACTAGCTAGTGCCCAACGGACGTCACAAGCTATCTCCACCGGAAAACTTCCGACGTGGAAAAAGATCACCGACATTTTCGTTCATGGGGAATTCCGTTCGACGTCCTTCCGACCGACACCAGGGCGAGAAGAAGGCATCGCCCTCGGAGGCAGTTTCAGCTCGTCTACCGTCAAAAATTCGTTCGAGAACTGAGGACACAACCGGCGGGCAGAAGATAGGAAGGAACACGTTGCCAAGATGCAGTTGCGACTCACGCCATGCCGCGCGCCACGTCGAGCGCCATGTTGACAGCCTGCTGCAGCGGCAGCTTCTTGCCCTGCCGCTGCGCGGTGAACGACTTGAGGGATCCCCCAGCGATGTACTCCGTCACAATCGCCCACTGCTTCGCCTCCATGGAAGCGCCAATAAACTGCGGTATGGAAGCAAGATTTTAAGGCTTCCGACATCCGCTGGTTCGGAGTATTTGGGATTCAAATAAACTTGTCTAAACCGAGAGTGCCATCCACAGTAATAAGTGCACTCCCCCACAGTAATAAGTTAGAAGGAAAAAAGGAGGACCATGTAAAGCGAGATTTGAACTGTCATTTCGACGACCAAGCAGGTTCGGATGATGATGATCATGATGGTGTTCACTATAACGTAACCGGCTAAGGTAACGCCTGACCTCGAGAACGGTTGCAGGGGGGAGGCCACTCTGATATTCCGCATGCTTTTGGATGTCGGAGGAAAAACTGTCCACTACATACACAAAGCATGCACTCGAGAATTACATGCCGAGAGGTTCAAAGATGATCCAAGAGCGGGGGCCCGACCTCGACGATGTTGGGGTGGTGCAGCGCGTGCCAGACGGAGACCTCCTGCTTGAAGGCGTGCAGCGCGGCGCGCTTCTCCTTGTCGCTGCTGCTCTCCGGGATGTGCAGCAGCTTGATGGCCACCTCGCGCCCGCCGTAGTGCCCCCTGTGTACGCTCCCAAACGACCCCGACGCAATCTGCACAGGAAACAACTCAAATCATTTTCATTCCAATCTCAACCCTTGCGGAAGAGCAAACCGGATGAATACAACTTGACTTAGAAGGGAATTTAACGTCGTGCATTCTCAAAGCGAGGATGCCGAGCTGGCGTCAGCCAATCTTACGCCAAGCTTTCAATCATGTCCGTAAATAGCGACATGTGAAAGGGCAAAGACCATGACCAAACCCCGGCTAAGATGCAAAGTGGATAAGTACGGGAGGTAAGCGTCTGAATGAAAGAGCGTCCGGCAAGTCAAACTGAGGTCGAACTTGTTGTCTGGGCTGGTCGACGGAAGGGCAAGTGATTGCGCAGTAGGGGCAGCGTCATCAATGCCCACGTCACTTTGTGAGGGGTGTTTCAAGAATGTGACAAAGAGCAATGACCGGCAAATTGAAAGCAGCTTGCACCGGACCCCTTTGTCAATCATTCAAAAGGAAGACTGCTCTCTTTCAGTGTTACGTCGAGTTACAACCAAAGTGCAAAATTGCTCATGAATCGATGTAGACCGATAGCTGATACCCAACTTAGAGAGTCGACCCAAATTTTTCGAATCCACTTTTAACTTCAAACGAGGTTCATAGTTCCTTCACTCGCCTCTCATCCATGTCACTGCTTTCTATGCAGAAAGATTTTCAGCGGTTTCAAAGACGAAAGGGCTGCACTCGGTACCACAGCACCGAGGCCAAACACCCCAGTCTTCCGATGATGCTTGCCGGAATGCCGGAAACTTCCTGACCTCTACCAAGAAAATGATCTACTACTCAATCAGTGGAAGGTAAGGCGGCATGGGGATCACAATCTTATTCGTCCCTATTAAGCTTCTCAAGTCGACTTTCCAAGTCGATTTGCTTCCCACATAACACAGAATACGACAAGAGTTCTTTACGAAGCAGTGCATGCTCTTGTAGTCATTGCTCTGAGAAGCAACAAACGACGGCTCATGGCAGCGGTATCCCTTCTTGCCACGATTTCACAGAGTACTTAATAAGAGAAACCGGACGGTCAGGTGACGACTCCAACGCTCAGCCACTTTAATTGTGGGGCTGATCAGAGCGGATTGTCGGGTCCGCTGCCGTAAGATGCACCAGTAACAGGTAGACGCTTGAGAGAGCCTCAACTCACAAGAGACTGGGATCCGGCGGAAGTGTACAGTCAATGTTTTCAGGTAAGATTGAAGCATTGACAAGAATCTGGAACTTGAAAAAAAACAACCGGAGAAAGTCTGCACTGACTGTACGAGACCTGCCGAACTTGATAGGAACGGGCCAACCTCGAGGCAATCTCCGCTTGAGTATTAGTGGGTGGTGCCAAAAGAAGTAGAAGACTGAGCCGCAAAGCAGAAGCACTAGCACAAAACGGCCCTTGCCTACTGGCGTCACTCGTCAAGCCCAGCGCTGACTACTGTAGATTAGGTTCAAAATAAGATGAAAGCTTACGAGGCTGGAGTTTGACGGAGCGCACACGACAGGTCGTCTGCTAAGAGTAACTCAAATTCACCCCCCCACTCTTTTCCTCTTGCACAATTTACAAAGCAATCAAACAGCGCAAGGTCCTCCTACAGAAGGATCCCAAACCCATTTTCAAGCTCTCCAAAACATTTCTGTTAAAGAAACACTTTTTCGCCTTTGCTCCTTCAAACTGTTCAAAGCACATAAGGCTATTGCACCTCTGCCCCTGCTCTTCTCTCAACATGGTAAGGAACCGCTCAAAACCTGTATTGTGAAGCGCTCCACCTTAGGAAGCACGCCCACCAAATGGGACCTGTTTAAAGCAGCATACCTTTCTTGTTGCAGCGAAGGGGTCGCCATCTTAAGAAGCAAGCCGTTCTCTAGACCAGGCGACAGAAAGATCTGGAGGGAAGTGCGACCTGGAAAACGTTTTCGCAGCCCTCAATCAAGTTGACCTCAGAACAAAAATATGAATCTGTTCAACCGTCGTTCCGCTCTTTTCACAGGCGAATGGCCCACAAGCCTTAGGCGCAGCCACTCACCAACTCTCCCAGGTCCACCTCACTCAGGTCTATTTGCCAGAGCGCCCGCTTCTTTCCCGACACACTGTGCTGTAACCCCAACGCCCGAGAGCTGCTCCGGAACGTCCCGCTCCCACTACTGCTGTTGTCCAGGCCCCCCGCCGGCACTTCCCGCCTCTCTGTCGAACCGCCCACTGGCGCACACCCCCCAGATTCTCGCGGAGCACTCCCTTGGTCACCCCCGTTTGCAGTAGCATCCGCACTTCTGCTCAGAGGCTCAGCGCTGTCCGCGGTGATCGTGCGCATGCTCTCTGAGAGGGCCGTATCAGCTAGCCCCTTTTCTCGCAACCTCGACGGCCCCATATTCTCTGTCAACAAATTTGCCGATTGCGCTTCTTCAGCAAGAACGGAGTCCTGGTTGAACAAGGACGTGCGCAACCGAGGGCGCGAATGTCCATCTTGCAACTCTCCAGGCCTGCCCGAAAGACCCGCTTCAGCAACGCCCCCGCGTTGGCCCGTGTCAAAGTCCTCAACACCATTTTTACTTTGAGAGACAGACGACATCTTGAAACCACCACAGCCCCTCTTTTGGGCACACGTAAACCTGCCGGGCTACTCGTGAACGAAACGTTCAAACTCTCTGCAGATAGCCAATGAATCTGCAACGAAACGTGCCGCCTTGGGCCCCCTTGAGAACGACGTAAGAAAGACCTTATGACCTGACGATGCCTGCTGAGCCAAGCTGGCCTAGCACTGTGGGACACAGTAAGGGGCGAGCGCCGGGACTCCTACTGCGAGCAACTCCCCTCAGTCACAGAACGCCCACTTCCAATGTTGGCAATATGATGACCTCGATGCTTTGACCAACACTGGCAACAGCAGCTAGCTCGTACTGCATGAGCTCTCGTATGCAGCAGCTGCCGCCTGCGCCTTACTAAGCCTGCCACTGCCAGCTGGAGCTTTCGTCTGGTTCCCCATCTAGTTCTCAAAAGACCGAGTAACAATACCCGCTCAGAAGTCAGTATCCAATCATTGAGTGGCAGGCTCTATATCGACGTCAGAGATTCTGACACATGTCCGCCTGCCAGGCTCCAGTCACGTGCAGGGGTGCTATATGAATTAACTAGGAGTTCTGGCATTCGAATTTTTCAATTGCCCGAGGCTTCATTGGACAGCCTGGTTTACATGGGGCAGAAAGTTGGAACTCGAATGAAACACGGCTAGACTTCGCCGCGCGTCCTAATATATAATGGTCAGGCCCTCTATTGTTTTCCTATATCTGCTGGCATGCAGCTGGTGAGTCGAGGATCGGGCTGGCAGGCTGCAATGCCCAAGGGCCATATGCCGCAGATGTGAATTGTGTACCTAAGAATCCAACATGATCTGGCCCGTTGTAAATAGCATTCTGCATCCCGATAAGGTCACTTTCCTCACGTCCACTTGACACATGATGACACAACTTTTTAGTCGGTCTTCTGTCCATCAATAAATACGTACTACAGCTGATCAGGACCTCCAAATCTCGCATTGACGATGCAGACTTGGAGGCCAATTGTTATTGGACTCAAGTCCATCCGAGGAACCAGCATTGAGGCTCAAATACAAAAGAGAAAGTAACAAGCATACCGACTCCTCGAACTGCTGAATGTATCCATTGTTTGGTATAAGTGTCAGATTGGGCTGTGGAATGTGTGAATGTGGATGATAACCTAGTTTGTGTGCTACCGCGTCTGCCGTAGATGTCGGTGCTTTCAGGAATGTCCGTGGAATGTGTCGTGCCGTAATGAGTCGAGGCTGT